CTTTTCATTATTTGTTTGCTCACTGATGGAGTGAACAAGTCCATTGTATAAAGCTATGTGTATTCTAAATATATTCATCTGCTCAAGATTGTGGCTAATTTATGGCATCCCCCATTTGTCAGCTGAAGTTCAGAAGGACAAGGAAGGACATTCTTAATGCAGGAAAAAAGTTCTTTAATCCCAAGCCTACTAACCTGATGGAAAACATAACTTTACTATAAAACGCAGACAGGCTGGGCCCACCTATGGGCACAAAGATGTCGGAAGGGAAATAAGGGAACAGGCTTTCTTTGTGGATTAAAACAGAAGCCAAGGATGTAGCTGGGAGATGCTGCCAAAACAGCCACACTCAAGAGATTTGGACCTTGGTCATGCTTTCTGTGCATTTTGTACCACTTCTGGGTCCAGCTGCCACTCAACCCCTACTCAGCCACAGAGATACTTATTACAGGTTCATAATGTGATTTGAAAGGCTTTCCCAAAGAAAGAAATACTTATCAGGATCTGTAGCAGAGCCACTTTTTGATTGGGGCTTTTATGGCAGGAGATTTAAGTATATAATTTTATTTCAAATTGTGCCTGAAAGATAATTCAGATTAAAGAAGGCTTATGTGAGTGTTTTCATGGGCTTGTATTGGTGGGAAGCAGATGACTGGGTCTCAGGATGCAGAGAAGATGAACTCCTAGGCTCCAAGTGTGTTGTAAGGAGCAGTACCATCTGTTGGACCTAGGATCCACGTGGCAGCAGAGGGTCCAGAATTAGCCACGGCAGATTATTCTAGTTCCTACTCACATTACTCTAATGTGAGTGGGAACAGGCTGGAAGAAGTATGGCTAGGAGCACCTGGCAGGCGATGCTGGTGCAAGCAGCAAAGGAGTCATTGGTGCCCAGGTCTGCTCTCCACATGATGGGGGGCAGTGTCTGGAGAGTACAACAGGCAAGCCAGTGAGGCTGTTTTTCTCATTCTGGTTGTGCCCAGTATGCCATTTTGGGGTAGTTTTCAATGCTTTCTAACTCCTGCTAGTGTTTAATTTGTATGCAGTTATGTATCATAACTGCAGTTAGTCCCCATTTAATGTTTTCTTCCAGTGCAAAATGCTTTAGAAAACTTCATAAAAACAGTAGTTAATTTGTATTGGTCAAGGATAGAAACTTCGTTTAAAAGAAAAAAAGAACCTAAGAGGAAAATGAAAAATCACTTGAGAGTCGGGAAATCCCCGTGTATTAGTTTTCTATCATTGCTATAACACATTACCACAAACTTGTTATACAGTTCTGCTTACAGTTCTGCAGGTTTAAAGTTCAACACAAGTGTCTTAGTGGGCACTAGAATTAAGATGTGGGCTGGGCTGTGATCTTTTCTGGAGTCTTAGGGAAGAACATGCTTCCTTGCCTTTTAAAAAATTCTACAGCTGCCATCCTGCCCCTTCTTCCGTCTTCGAAGCAAGTAGCATTGCACCTATGACCGCACTGGCAAATCATCCAGTCTCCCTGAAGCTGACAACTCTTAACTCCTCTGGGCAAAGTAGTTTGCTTTTATGGACCTATGTGATTAAATTGGCCCCACCTGGATAACCTAGCATATTCTTCTTATCTCAAGGTCCTTGACTTAAATCTCATCCACAAAGTTCATTTTGTATATAAGGTCACAGGTTCTCAGGATTCTTCATACCATACCCCAAGATCTGACTGCTCTATAGGAGACAGAAATATAGTGGAGAGAGCACTGAATGGCTCTCAGGAAACCAATAATCCAGTAATCCTAGCTCAAGTCAGTCATTGTGTCTCTTTGGGTTTCTTTTTTCCGCATCTGAAAAGCTGGGGAGTTGAATTACACCAGTGGTCCCGAAACTGCATTGTACACCTGAATAGCCTGGAGGACTTCTCACAACACAGATTTAGGTGGGGCTCAAAAGTGTGCATTTCTGCCAAGTATGCTGGCTCACGCCTGTAATCCCAACACTGGGCAAAAATGTGCATTTCTGACAAATCCCTGAGTTGCTAAAGCTGCTGCTGTTCAGAGGACCACATCTCAAAAAACCTCTGAACTAAAGTGTTTTTAAGGATCTTTCTCTAAGGACCTGATACACCCTGGGGGTGTCTTTCACCTTTGGATGCAATGTTGTAATTAATCATAGTGGAGTGGCACCCTGCTTGCCAGGTTGTGGAGTTGAGGTAGGAAGCAAATGGACATTGTTCAGATCTAAGCTCCACATCTTCTCTTTCCTCCTGTAAACTGGGATGGTGATGAGGCCTACTATGGTTGCTTTTCATGAGATGGTCTTTGCAGATTATCTAGCATGTGTCTGACACGTGGTCACCTTGGGTCACATTTACTTAACACTTTGACCTGGCCACTGTTTTAAGCCTGAATTAATGCATTTAACCCTAATGACATTTCTATGAGGTGAGTGCTATTATTAGCCCCACATTTGCAGGTTGAGGAATAAAGGTTAGGAATTTGGCCACGAAGGCATAGCTAGAAAGTGGAGCCACTTACCAAGCAGTTAATTAGGTTCCAGAGCATGCATACTTAACCTTTCTACAGCAGCGCCCAAGTTGTAACAAGGCTAGAGGTGGCCTGGTCCTGGGGTTTGGTGATTTAGTGCTTGACAGTGTCATGATAGGTCCAGGTCTCTTCATCTTGCCACTGTTCTGTCCTCAGCAGGCTGACTTTGTCTTTAGGGCTGTCCCCTCGTGGCGATACAGTGGCTGCTACAGATCCCACTGTCTAGTCCTCATAGAGGCCAGGCAAGAAGATTACCTGTTCCTCCCTATTCTCTCTCTTTGAGAGGGTGAAACTTTCATACTTGTAATCCTAGCACATTTGGAGGCTGGGATGGGAGAATTGCTTGAGCTGAGGAGTTCAAGAACAGCCCAGGCAAAATAGTGTGACCCCATCTCTACAAAAACGTTTTTTTTTTTTTTTAAATTAGCTGGATGTGGTAGCATACACCTGTAGTCTCAGCTACTCAAGAGGCTGAGGTGGGAGAATCACCTGAGCCTGGGAGGTAGAGGCTGCAGTGAGCCATGATTATGCCACTGCACTACAGCCTGGGTGACAGAGCAAGACATTTTCTTAAAATTAAAAAAAGAGAAAAAGGAGAGTGGTGTGAAATGTTGGCAAAAGCCTTTTTTCTTGCAGGTTTTCCTACCAGAAATGCTTGACATACCCATTTCTAAATGGCCACCACTCACTGTGATTCATCCCCCAGGGTGGGGAGGGCCTCCTGAGTAAGAAAGTGACAGCAAGAGGCTGGGCATAGTGGTTCATGCCTGTAATCCCAGAACTTTGGAAGGCTGAGGTGAGCAGATCATGAGGTCAGGAGTTTGAGACCAGCCTGGCCAACATGGCAAAACCCTATCTCTACTAAAAATACAAAAATTAGCCAGGTGTGGTGGTGCACACCTGTAATCCCAGCTACTCAGGAGGCTGAGGCAGGAGAATAACTTGAACCCGGGAGGCAGAGGTAGCAGTGAGCCAAGATCGTGCCATTGCACTCCAGCCTGGGGGACAGAGCAAGATTCTGTCTCGGGAAAAAAAAAAGAAATTGGCAGCTGACATGGCTGCAGGGTGGCCACTGACGAACTACTCACACTTCCTCAAGTTGATGAGTCCTTTTGAATTCTGAGACGCTCTCTGGCACTGACAAAAGTAGATAGACTAGGACTACCGGAAATGCTGTGAATTTGTCCTTGGTTTATTCTAGGCCACATGGTAAATAAACATGTACTGATTATCAGCACCAAGAAATACCTTGGTCTTCTGAGAGCAGGGCAAAGCTTTTAAAAGACTAATCTCTTCCAGCCCTTATCCCTACGTCTTTTGTCTCTGGAGGATGCCAGGGATGGTCATCCAGAATCTCAGCTCTGACCTGAAACAAGTTATTTTCCCTCTGGTGTCTCAAGAGTGTTGTGTGAAGCGTTAGGAGCACTTGCCAGGTGGAATAGTGCAGAGAGCTAGATGAGATCATTCAGTCTGAGCATGGGGAGTGCTTGGGCTTTGCTGTTGCTGACGTTAGCATAGTTTTCCATCAATATTGTGTTGGGGGCCTGAGCCAGCTCAGTGTAATTGCTTAGGGAACACTCTTATTTTTCATAGAAGCAGGAACAAGTTTCTGTCTCTTCCAGCTAGCCTTACTGGTTGTGCCTCTGCTACCGGAACAGCCTGCATCTTTAGTAGGGTTACATGTGGTTGAGTTTTATGAATATGTTTATTGCTGATGGGACATATTTCTTACCCTGACAGGATGAGCACTTACAACAGCCACATCACAGGGCTGACAGAGGTGTGCCCCACTTTAAGAAAACCTGACCATATAAGGAGGAGTGTCTCAATTACAAAATAATGTCTCACTTAGCCAGAAATTCATGGCAGGTTTTCTGGTGCATTTAAAATAAGATGCATGTATAAAAATACCATTTGCACACAGGAGCCCATATTTTCTGAAAAGGGAATTATACTTGTATTGGGCATTTGGGGTAAGTAGATCAAAAATAAAAATAAAATCTTCTTACAAGAACTAGAAACCAGATTCCACTTTTAATTCTAAAAGGTTTATATATAACTCTACTACCTTACCCTTTCCTTCCCCAGATTTTCACAGCAGAAGTAAACAGTGAAGATCTGCAGGCCACTTATGATAGCAGCAAGGAAATGCCTAGCCGAGTATGTGGGTGGGTGGACGGAGGAGCACCAGAGGCAGGGCTGGGGACCCCACTCTGGCATGTCCTTTATGACATGGATTGCTTATCCCACCCTGTTGTGTTGTTGATTTGAGAACATTTGTGAGGCTTGGCCTGAAACATTATTGCTGGATCCCTTCCCATGGTGTGGTCAGTGAGTAGTGTTTAGAAATTGACCAGCCCATCCTGCCACCACAGACTCCTCTAACCACAGAGACACATGCTGAGGTCTAACAGATGGGGACCATGGAAGGGCCGGAGGAGAGGGCTGAATCTGGGATACTGACATGCCTGACTTTTCCCTTCCTTTCAGAAATGTTCCCACTGCCAGGAGGCAGGCGCCACCTTGGGCTGCTACAACAAAGGCTGCTCCTTCCGATACCATTACCCGTGTGCCATTGATGCAGGTAAGAGGAGACCACAGACCCCTGTCCAGAGCATCCAGAGAGTTAGGACATACAGTTTGATTCTCTCCATTTTTTTTGTCAGTTCATAAAAAAAATTGCTACCCCCTTCCCCTTCCTCCAGTCCCTGGCAACCACTATTCTGTTTTCTTTTATAAATTTTTACAATTTTTTTTTTTTCCTTGAAGCTCTGTTGGACTCAATCCTTTCTATCTCTGTGGACTTTCCTGTGCTGTACATTTGGGTTATTTCTACTTTTTGACTATTATGAATAATGCTGCTATAGAGCATTCACATACAAGCATTTGTATGAACATGTTTTCTGTTCTCTTGGATGTATACCTGGGAGAAGAATTGCTGGATCATATGGTAACTCTGTGTAACATTTTAAGGAACTGCCAGACTGTTTTCCAAAGTGGCTGCCCCATTTGACATTCCCACGGGAAGTGCATGAGGGATATCCTTTCCCCAGATCCTCCCTGATGCTTGCTCTCATGGTTTTGTGTTGTTTTTTTGATGTAGCCAACCCAGTGGGTTAGAAATGGTATTTCATTGTTGTTTTTATTTGTATTTCCCTGATGGCTAATAATGTTGAGCATTTTTTTATGTGCTTATTGGCCATTTGTACATCTTCTTTGGAGAAATAGCTATTCACATCCTTTGCCCATTGTTAAATTGGGTTATTTATCTTTTTATCGTCAAGTTTTAAGAATTATTTGTAGGCCAGGCGTGGTGGCTCACAGCTGTAATTCTAGCACTTTGGATGGCTGAGGTGGGCAGATCATAAGGTCAGGAGTTCGAGACTAGCCTGGCCAACATAGTGAAACCCCATTTCTACTAAAAATAAAAAAATTAGCTGGGCATGGTGGTACACGCCTGTAGTCCCAGCTACTCGAGAGACTTAGACAGGAGAATCACTTGAACCCGGGAGGCGGAGGTTGCGGTGAGCCGAGATCACACCACTGCACTCCAGCCTGAGCAACACAGTGAGACACAAAAACACAAAAAAAGGGGTTATTTGTAATTCTGGATATATGGTTTGCAAATATTTTCTTCTATTCTCTGAATTGTCTTTTTACTTTGATAGCATCACACAGGCAGTTCTCCACTGAACATCAACTGGGTGTCCTACAGTTCAGTTCAGTTCCGATACTAGGCAGAGTTAGTACAGCCCATGCAGGTTAAGGGCTCGGTCCCACAAGACCACTTCCCACTTCAGATGCCAGTCTCGAGCCCTGTGATATGACCTGTGTTTCCGAATGATCAGCTATAAACTGGGGTTCCCAAGACCCCTTCCTTGGATTTGATTGTTTAACGTGGCTCATGGAACTCAGGGAAACACTTCACTTGTGTTTACACATTATAAAGAATGCAGATGAACAGCCAGATGAAAGAAACACATAGGGCCAGATATGTGGGAAGGGGCATGCCCTCTCCAGGGGCACCACCCCTGAGGTACCTTCATATGCTCAGCAGTCCAGAAGCTCTCTGAATCCAGTAGTTCATGGATTTTTGTAGTTCATTATGTAGGCATAATCAGTTATTAACTCAGTCTTCACCTCCTCTCCTTCCTGGAGTCGGGTGAGTAGAGCTAAAAGTTCCAAGCTTTTAATCATGGCTTAGTCTCTCTGGTGCCTATCCCCCATCCAGGAGCCACCAAGAGTTGCCTCATGCTTTTATCATCCAGGAAATTCTAAGGGGTTAGGAGCTCCATGTCAGGAACCAGGATCAAAAACCAAATATTAAAAGATGCTCCTAGAACCCCTAATTGCTCAGGAATTTACATGGGTTTTAGGAGCTCTGTGCCAGGAATCAGGGATGAAAACTAAAATATGTCTTTCTTACTCTAAACCACAGTATTACAAGGAGTGTTGCATTTTGTTTGTTGAGATGATAGTGTGTTAACTGTTGAAAGAAGGGAGACATTCTGTTAAAGAAGTGCTGTCCAGTGAGTGGTGCAGAAGACCAGAGTTTTGACTCCGAGCTTCGATAACCTGGGAGAATCACCTTTCTTTTTCTAGACTTTAGTCCCTTCAGTGGGTGTTTTCCCAGTTAACTTTTTCAGCGGCGGGGTGGGTGTTAAAGTTTATTAGGATTTTTACTTTTTTTTTTTTTTTTGAAACAAAGTTTTGCTCTTATTGCCCAGACCAGAGTACAATGGCATGATCTCAGCTCACTGCAACCTCCGCCTCCTGGGTTCAAGCCATTCTTCTGCCTCAGCCTCCTGAGTAGCTGGGATTACAGGCTCACACGACCACACCCAGCTACTTTTTCTATTTTTTATTTTATTTATTTATTTATTTTTTTTAAAGATGGGGTTTCATCATGTTGGCCAGGCTGGTCTTGAACTCCTGACCTCAGGTGATCCACCCACCTTGGCCTCCTAAAGTGCTAGGATTACAGGCGTGAGCCACCGCACCCGGCCTAGTGTTTTTATTTTTACTAGAGATGGGATTTTGCCATGTTGACCAGGCTGATTTCCAACTCCTGGCCTCAGGTGATCCACCCGCCTTGGTCTCCCAAAGTGCTGGGATTAGAGATGTGAGCCACTGTGACCAGCCTTTTTTACTTTTTTTAATGGACAATAATTATAGACATGGGGTGCTCGTGTGTGTGTGTGTGTGTGTGTGTGTGTGTGTGTGTGTGTTGTGTGTGTAAATAAAATGATCAGACCTGGGTAATTAGCATATCTAACATCTCAAACATCATGTTGGGAACGTTTGTTATCTTCTGGTCATTTGAAACTATACAATACATCGTTAACTGTTGTCATTCTGTAGTGAACACTAGAACTTATTTTCCCATCTAGATGTAATTTTGTATTATTTAACAAATCTCTGCTTACCCCTTCCTTTCCTTTCCTTTCCCCTTCCTAGCCTCTAGTATCCTATGTTCTACTTTTTATTAATACTTCTGTAAGATCAGCTTTTTTAGTTTCCACATGAATGAGAACATGCAGCTTTTAACTTTCTGTGCTTGACATAATGTCTTCTTGTTATTTCCTGGGCATTAGCTGTGTCTAAGACCATAACACCCAGGCAGCCCCCATAATGCCTGTGGTCACGTTTGAGGAAAAGTGGTGGGAGAAGGCAGCAAGTAGCATGGTACTTGTCATCTGCTTGCCCTCTTCTCTGTGCTTCCCCAGGAGGGAAGCAGGGTTTTCTATGGAGGCAGATAATACTGTCCCTAGGAGGTGGGGTTTGATTTGAATATGATGGGAAGGGGAAGAGGGTATCGCTGACTGCGTGATGGGAACAGGCAAGAGGCATAACACACATAGAGCAGGGCCCACCAGACTTGGACCAGGTCTCAGAGTTCATCCTGCCCGCCCACCCTTCCAGCACAGCAGTTGCTGCAGCTCCTGACTTTTGTGTCAGCATGTCTCCATTCCTCCACATCCTTCTCCTTGCCCTTACCTCCTGCTTCCCTCTTTTCTCTCCAAGCTTCTGTAGGAGAAACAGCTAAAAAGAACAAGAGAGGTATAGAGGACAACGCTGTTGCCAGTTAGATTCTTATAAAAGTGTGTGTTCCCACGTACATGTGCACTGAAGGGCAGCTTGATGCCAAGGCACTGTTTGATCAGAGGAAAAATAGGAAATCAGAAATAGAGTGTCAGGTGCAGTGGCTCACACCTGTAGTCCCAGCATTTTTGGAGGCTGAGATGGGAAGAGTGCTTGAGCCCAGAGGTTTGAGAGCAGCCTGGCCAACATGACAAAACCCTATCTCTACAAAAAATAAAAAAAATTAGCCAGGCATGGTAACTCTTGCCTGTACCCCCAGCTACCCAGGAGGCTGAGATGGAAGGATCATCTGAGCCCAGGAGGGGCTGCATGAGCCACTGCACTCCAGCCTGGGCAACAGAGTGAGACCCTGTCTCAAAAAAAACAAAAACAAAATAGCCTTGAAATATCAGTGCCGGAAGTTTGGGTTTTAGTCCGTCCTCTTCATTCTCTTTTCTCCTCCAAATGTTTTCATGTTGAGTTTAAGCTGTAATTTACCCTGGGTCATGGTCTGCCATATTCGGTAGTACAGCAGTTAAATCCTTCTCAAGAGCTAACCAGTTAACCAGGTATGGTGGTTCACAGCTGTAATCCCAGCTACTCAGGAGGCTGTGGCTAGAGGACTGCTTGAGGCCAGGAATTCAAGTTCAGCTTAGATGACATAACGAGAACTGGTCTGTTCAAATAAAAATAAGTTTTTAAAAGAGCCAACGAGTTGCCTTTTCTCATTTTCATTACCCTTAGTTACATCAGAACGTTGTGTTTTCTTCCTGTAGTCTAGTGACTAGGAAAGAGGGGGTGGGGGGTGGTAATACAAATAAGTTTTTTGTTTCTAGTTGAAGAAAATGGCTTTTTGGTGATTTTTTTCTTTTTTTTTTGAGATGGAGTTTCGCTGTTGTTACCCAGTCTGGAGTGCAATGGCGCGATCTCGGCTCACCGCAACCTCCACCTCCTGGGTTCAAGCAGTTCTCCTGCCTCAGCCTCCTGAGTAGCTGGGACTACAGGCACACGCCATCATGCCCAGCTAATTTTTGTATTTTTAGTAGAGACGGGGTTTCACCTTTGTTGACCAGGATGGTCTCGATCTCTTGACCTCGTGATCCACCCACCTCAGCCTCCCAAAGTGCTGGGATTATAGGCGTGAGCCACTGCGCCCGGCTGGTGATTTTTTTTTTTTTTGTGACAGGGTCTAACTATGTTGCCCAGGTTAGACTCAGACTCTTGGACTCAAGCGATCCTTCCAAGTAGCTGGGAATACAGGCATGTGCCATCATGCCCAGCTACATATGAGGATTTTTTTTTTTTTTGAGACGGAGTTTTACTCTTGTTACCCAGGCTGGAGTGCAATGGCACGATCTCGGCTCACCGCAACCTCCGCCTCCTGGATTCAGGCAATTCTCCTGCCTCAGCCTCCTGAGTAGCTGGGATTACAGGCATGCGCCACCATGCCCAGCTAATTTTTTTGTATTTTGAGTAGAGACGGGGTTTCAACATGTTGACCAGAATGGTCTCAATCTCGACCTCGTGATCCACCCGCCTCGGCCTCCCAAAGTGCTGGGATTACAGGCTTGAGCCACCGCGCCCGGCCGAGGATTTTTAAGTACTAAGTTTTTTATGGTTTATTCTTTTATATTGGGAATACTTTGAGTGTTGACTCTCCCAGTTGGCACCTGGGTAAGAAGTGGTCTCCCCACTGAGGCTGTGTTCAGGGATACATTAGGGTGAGCAGACAGGACAGGCAGGTACCACATCCCACCCAAGCACACTTCAGCAAGGGCCCCTCCCTGGAGGTTGCCCCTGCTCTTGGTTCATAGCCTACCTTCTAGTCCAGTTTCTAAGATGTCAGGCAGCAAAGCTCAGCTTTGCAGTGATGGAAACGCTTTAGCTCTGCACTCTCCAATGTGGTAACCACAAACCAGATGTGACCATTGAGTCCTAGTGGGACAGAGGAAATTAATTTTTTTTTTAATTTTAACTTAAGTGGCCATGTATGGCTAATGGCTGAACAGCACAGGCTTAGAGCTACCTTCATCAATTCACGTTCAGGTGGTATGGGGTGGGATTCTGTGGAAGGGGCCATAGAGCACTGGAACATCCTCTCCTCTAGTGGAAGCTTGACCAGGTTGCCACCCCAGCACACCAGCAGAGAAGCACAGGACCTTCTTTATTAGCTGAGGGCTTGTGAGTAAATGGTATCTGTCATTTTCTGTTTTGGGGCCCATCTTGGTAGCCTACCTAGTTAAGCCGATAGCATCTCTATTTAACAAGTTGGTGGCCGACTGTCCAGCGAGACAGAGGGGTCTGGGTTCAGAGGAGTAAGGGCAGGGCTGTTGGCCTCTGGCTTTGCTGCCTCTGCTGCTGTGCACTCTGCTCCTTCATGTGGAGAGCTGGGACCAGAGGCAGCTTCACAAGATGACCATGTCTTGGTCATTGTGGTCTTTTTGATGACCCAAGTCACAGTGACCCAGAGGCCTGCTCTGCTCTGTGGGGATGGATGTTTGTATTATTCCACACAGTCTTCTTGGAAATTACTATCTGTGTATGTTGTAACTTTGTATCCAGGAAACAACGTTTATTGATTGACTTTTCTTTCTAATCATAACTAAAATATGTCCTTGATTTAAGAATCCCTAATCTCCCTATGGAGTAAGGAGCAGTATAACATTTTCAGCTCTGCCTTGCTGTCAACCACCCAGATCTTGAAAGAGCTGTTGATGTCTCACAGAAAACTTTTATTACTGGGATGTCTCCATAGAAACAGAATCTCTGTTTCATGAAGATCTGGGCCGCCTGCCGCCTTCCCCCACCTGATGTCCATCCTGCATTTCTGACGTCATGGTCAGCTGTTCTGTGCTGCTGCTTTTGTCACAGGCACAGGATTTGGCTCCAGGTGGGAGTTATGGTAATAAGAGCATGAGCTCTGGTTTTTTTAAAAAATTAATACATTTATTACAGTGAGCCCCAACAATTAAGACAGAAGAGAAAAACAGGCTGTGGTAGCTCATTAATAATTCCACTGTGCATAAAGAACCTTACGTAGCGGGTTTTTTCTTTTACTCTCATGAAAAAACACAGCTGGGAATTCTACTTTCTGCAGCTCTCTTTGCAGCAGCAATCTAAAGCTGCTATCTCTGCTGCAGACTTTGATCTTGGTAGTGCAGTCAGAGCCCTGGATGGGTTGTTAGGAAATGCTGGTGGTCTGGGTCCTCCTGGAGGGACAGGTGTCTGGATCACAGAAGCCAGTCCCACTGCCAAGAGCCCCATATTTCCCTCCTTATGGCCCAGGAGCCTGAACCTACCTTTCAGCAAGGCAGGGTGGGGCTGGCAGGCTCCTGTGTCCCAAGCCCTGCAATGTGCCAACACAAGGAATAACAGTAGCACTGGGGTAGAGTGTAGGTGAATTTGAGTGTATCTGGTACCCAACAGATCCAAAGGATATTAGATCTTGTTTTTCCCACCTCCCTCCTTGAGCCCACCATCCTCAACCTGGGATCATGTGGATGCATGTGGTTATTGAAGCTTCACAGAGCTTGTAATGAGGAGCTCAGTCCGCCCTGCCTTTGAGCTTAAAGAGATAAATGAAAGTGGCCTTCTCTTCCAGGGTGTTGATGTTTGTGTCTGCAAGCCATCTTGTTGACTAGGCCGCCTTGTGGGTCTTTCTGAGCTTGGCTGATGATCTTGCAAGCTGTTTACTTTGACTTCACTGTGCAGAAGTGCTGACTGGGCCCTCTGGACAGTGTAGGACAGTGCCTGGGCCTGAGAGACCAAGACTGGCTGGCCATGTAGGTGCAGTCGCCTGTTCAGAGTGCTCAGAAGAGGTTTTACTATACCTACTGCTCTTCACTCTTCCCTCCCAGCAGGGACTGGTAAGAGAAGCTCCCCTGTGCCCTCCAGGTTTCTGAGCTTTCTAGCTGTGGTTCTGGCCCCTGCCAAAACCTGAATTGCAGTTCCAGACGGCCTGTGGACATGTATGAGAACAGAGGGGGGCATTGTCTGCAGAGTGTTCCTGCATGGGAGGCCTTGTCAAAGATGGACACTGTCTCGGGCAGATTGCTGTAGGAGACTTCTGTTTCCAGATGTATCTAGCATTAGTTTCAAGTTGTCTTTAGCGTGCACTTACAGTGTCTTATTCGTTTCTGCTTCTAACTCAGAGGGAACTCATTTCCTAACATTAGGCGTGTTTTATTAATGGTCCGTCACAGCTAGTCACTGTTCCATGGCTGTGAGGAAACTGAGCCACCTGCGCCTTCCTGATAGCACCCTTTGCCACTCATGTGGTCCCATCCTCATTTGTATAAACCCCTGTGGCATAAGCGTGGCCATAACAACATGTGCTGTACTGTTTCTGTTTGGCTCAAACTAGAGACTGAGCCAGCATAGTGCTTGCTGCCGGAGCCCAGGTAAGGAGAGAGCATGTCCCCTGAGCTCCAGTTGTCTGGCTCCTGCTGTTTATAAACTCTCTGGCAGATTGGAGCAGCAGGAGTCTTGGTCACACTATGTACTTGTGGGTTTTAAATTAACACATTTCATTTACTGCCTTGCTAGTTGCTTGCTGAGGGGAGGGGGTTTGGAGGTTAGTGATAACTTGCTAAGCTCTTGGGCCCACAAAGCCAAAAAAAAAAAAAGGCTTCTGCCCACTCTCTTAGATATTCACAGGCTCCAATGAAAGGCTGTGATATTCCAGGTCTGGCCAAATATAAAAGAGTCTTTTTGACTTGTTTTAAGATACTGGGACCTGAAGTTTTCATGTGTATGTTCCTTGCTTATTACTATTGCACTTGAAATCTGTGGGCACACAGGCTGCTAGTCTGGATCTCAGTTTAAATTTAACAAGGGTAAGTACCATGGCTGCCTCTTGCCATGGTGCCTGGGAGCTCTCTGTGAATGTGTTATCGATATTTATTAACATTCTGCCACCACGTCTTGCACCAGTGACCTGGCTGTCAGTCTCTACAAGCTGTGGTGTGCAGAGTGAACTCATTAATTAGACTTCCTTGCCCTGATCTGTGCACTACCCTTGTGTAAGAGCTCAGCTCACCTGGAGGCAGATGTGTCCTTGCTGCCATCCAGGATGCTGTCATCATGTTACAAGTTGGAATGAATCATTTTTCCTCCAAGGATTAAAAGCATCCTCACGGGATTTTACCTTCCTCTGAAGCATTTAGTGTGGATTATGTGATTTGTGTTGGAGGCTTCTGTGTCTCCATGGGTTATAGGGCAAAGGTGACAGTGGGGCTCTCGGGCCTGGCCACCTTTCTGTCTCAGACACCTGGGCTTTCTCTATACAGAGAAGAAAAGACGATTCCGGATTTTCAAGTGTTTTTACAAGGAGGCTTTGGCTTGAGCCTGAGAAATGAGGTTAGCCTAGAATCAAGGTTGTTTAAAATAGCATTTATTGGTGATATCATGGGACTATAGAGAAGATAAAATTTAAATCAGCTGTATCTTATTACCCAAAGAGAATGATTGTTATATATTCATAGATTTCCTTTCAGTCTTTTTTTTTTTTTTTTTTTTTTTTTTTTTTGAGACGAAGTCTTGCTCTGTTGCCAGGCTGGAGTGCCGTGGTGCCATCTTAGCTCACTGCAACCTCTGATTCCCTGGTTCAAGCGATTTTCCTGCCTCAGCCTCCCAAGTAGCTGAAATTACAGGCACGCACCACCATGCCCAGCTAATTTTTATATTTTCAGTAGAGACAGGATTTCACCATGTTGACCAGGCTGGTCTCAATCTTTTGCCCTCGTGATTCACCCGCCTCAGCCTCTCAAAGTGCTGGGATTACAGGTGTGAGCCACTGCGCCTGGCCTTTTTTTTTTTTTTTTAAAGACAGTCTTGCTTGCCCAGGCTATAGTGCAGTATGATGTGATCATAGCTCACTGCAGCCTTGAACTCCTGAGTTCAAGCAGTCTTCCCACTTCAGCCTCCCAAGTAGCTGGGAATATAGACAAGTGCCATCACACCCAGTCTTTCAGTCTTTTTTAATAGTAACAGGGTCTCACTGTGTTGCCCAAGCTGGTCTTGACTCTTAGACTCAAGTGATCCTTCTGCCTCACGCTTCCAAAGGGCTAGGATTACAGGTGTGAGCCACCATACCCAGCCCCTAGTCTGTTTTTTAAAGGTATATACACATTTTAATAAAATTAGTACATTTATACATTTGTATATCCTGGTTTTTTCAAGCAGTTTTGTTTCATGAATGTTTTTTTAAATGACAGATGTTCCATCATGTTAAGGTATCATACTCACTTGGGTTGTCTCTAATGTTTTCCTTAGAAGTAACAGTGTAGGGACCTCCTGCCTGACCCTGTCAATCCCAGCCAGCATGAGTACACCCACGTCCAGCTGTAAAGTCTCCATCTGACTGTCCCCTTCTGTCTTGCAGATTGTTTGCTACATGAGGAGAATTTCTCGGTGAGGTGCCCTAAGCACAAGGTGAGTCAGAGGCCCCAAGAGCTACCAGTGGGGATGGGATCAAGGGTGGCTCCTCCTGAAAGACCCAAGGACCAAGTGTTGTAGGGCCTCACCCACACCTGTTCCCACCTGTGCCTCCAGCTACCAATCCGCTCCTGGCCCTGGGAAGGTAGAGGGGCATGATGCTGAGCGGAGACCCATGACATGGGGGCCAGCACTCTGAGTGGTGTGAGGATGCCAGAAGAAATGTATTTTGGAGGGCGGGGGGAGGGATGGTGCTTATCTATTCATTAAGAGAAGTGAGAAGATCAAACTCGATCAAGCCACTGATTTCCACTTTAGGTTACTAGAACCCCAGTTCACAGGTTGTTTGGTAAGACTGGTTCTAGGCCTTGAGGCCTATGTAAAGGGATGTTCCCAGACTAGACGGCGAGCTGACCCCAAGGTTCTGGGGAAGCTCATGGTCTCTTCCAGGTTGTGCTTCTGCAGAAGCAGCCTGATGCACAGTGGATAGGCTGCCTCAGCTCTACTTCCCAGTTTATTTAGGAGGTGGTCTCATGGTCACTTCCTTTAGGAAAGGGTGAGAGGTGAGGGGTGAATTACCTGTTTGTGGATACCACATATATGTGTGGGGAGGGTGTATATGGCGAGGGAGCCCCAAGAAAGGATCAAAACGGAGACCATTGCCACCTGATGTTTCCTGCAGAGGCTGCACTGTGTCTCTGGCTGAGGTCACACTGACACCTGGTGGTCACTGGTCACACGCAGTCTTAAATCTCTAGTAGGTAGGGCCCAAAGTACTAGGAGGAGGTTGTCCAGAGAGGTCTGTCCTCAAAATGCTCCTGAAGGATGCTTGCTTATGCTTTTTTAAAATAATTATTTCTGGGGAGGGGCCGTCACAGGATTTTATATTCTCTTTATTTTTATTTAATTTGCATGTTATTTTTAGAACTCTCCTTTTTAAGGGTCACATTTTGCCTCAGAAAACCCTGTCTGAATGTCTCCTGTTTGTCATCAGGACTGACTCTGCCTTTTCTTTCCTTTTCTGTGTGCCACTCCTGTCCTCCCTGTGCCCCCTCCTGTCCTCCCTGTGCCCTCCCTGATTTCCACTCTATCCTCTCCCACCTATCTGTCTCCTCTTGGCTTTGCCTGTGTCAGCCTCCCCTTCCATGCCCTCTCCCCCCATTGCAGAACAAGACCGCGAAAGGCAGCCTCAGCACAGAGCAGTCGGAGCGGGGGTGAGGGGGGCAGTGTGCTCGTGGGAATGGAAAGGACAGCAAGCACAGGTGAGTCGGGGCCTCTGGGCTCCCTGCACCCTGCCCAGCTCCCAGCGGGCCTTGTTGCCTCTGCCCTCCTGCCTGCTCCGGGCTGTGCCGCCAGCATTTTGTCCCATGGATGGCAACACCAGGTGGATGCAGTGTTCTTCCACTGGTTACTTAGTTCCCCCAGAATATCTGTGGAAAGTAGTGGGAGCTTCAAAACTGTCCACTACCAATGGGGCGCAGGGTGACTGTTCGTGAAGGCAGCCCTTCAGGGTACAGCTGGCCAGGGGTGACCTTGTGAGTGGTGCTCCTGAGGACAGGAAACAGCAGGCTTTTAGGTCTCTCTGTTCTGGACAGGGCATCTCTTGCCTGTTGCCCCTGCTCTCTCCCCCCATCTCAGAAAGGGTTCCAGTCAGAGGTCTCTTCTTTTTAATTTACTGCATTTCTGTAAAGTTTATGGTATGTTTTACTTTGAAAACAGCAGAACTGTCAGTTTTGTTATTTGAAATCTTTTTTCTCCAGTACTGTGAAGGATTCCTTTTTGTGAAAGTACAAAGGAAAGGAAAATTCTCAAAGATTTAGTAGACTCTAGCATCTGATTTAATTTTACTCTTAAAAATCCCGAGGCTGGGCATGGTGGCTCATACCTATAATGCCAGCATTTTGGGAGGTCAAGGCAGGAGGATCGCTTGAGCCCAGGAGTTCAAGACCAGCTTGGGCAACAGTGAGACCCTGTCTCTACATTTTTAAGAAAAAATTAGCTGTGCATGGTGGTATGCACCTTTAGTCTCATCTACTTGGGAGGCCAAGCCGGGAGAATCAGTTGATCCCTGGAGGTTGAGGCTGCAGTGACCCATGATGGTGCCAGTACATTCCAGCCTGGGCCACAGTGAGACCCTGTCTCCCAAAAGAAAAGAAAGAAATTATTGTGATTGAGTTGTGCTTGCTGCAAGTTTGTGTGGGACAGTGGTCAGGGCCCTCTCGGCAGGCATCTGTGAAAACAGGATGGTAAGACTTGGGTCTCTCAAAGCTGCGGGCCTCCAGGCTCCACACTGCTCCTTCACCCTCCCTGCCTCACTGAGGCATGAAGGGAAATCGATTGTAAAGAAAAGAAAAACCAAAGTGTAACTCGTGGCACTTGCTGCAACAGGATGGGGCAGGAGGACTAATTGTCTCAGAATTCTGTGTCCATCGAGGGGTCATTTCTCTGGGAGGACTTCTGTGTTGACCTCAGGAGTTTGACCCACACAGCTACACTAGACCTGTCCCTTCCGGCAGCACCATGTGCCTGACCACCTTCTGGATCGTGCGCTTCCCCTTTTACCACTACTGACTTGCAGAGAAGGCCCCTCGGCTGCCGCACCATTTGAGAAGTCAGGTGGGGGCTGATAAGTACCTTCTTGATAGGGCATTGAGTGTAGGGCATTGAGTGTAGTGCCTGCCTTTCTCTTTCCTCTTCCAGGGAGTAGGGCTGGCAGTAGAGGAATCAGCAAAGCAGGGAGGTAGGTGGAATCCATTCAATGTGTTCCTGGGTCACAGGAACCAGATGAGCAAATGAAGCCTCTGGGACTTTTGAGTACGTTGCCACCATCAGCAAGTAGCTACTGGTTTTCCAGAACCTGCTAGACTGCACTGCCTACCTGCCCCCGTTCCTTTCTCTGGGATTAGCCCTCAGGGCAAGGCAGCAGTTGGGTAGTTTTTTAAAGAACTGTTGCTCATGGCCCTCCTGTATGTCCCTACACCCTTGAGGGTGTTGCTGTGCCTTCCCATTGATGCCCCTGTGCCGGCCCCAGCCCAGATGGTTATAGTCAAGTTCTATAGGGGACCACAATGAGTATTTCTGGAATGTATTCTAGAAGACCTGGTTAAGGAAACAGCTTAAGTGTTTTTTGTTTTTGTCCTAAAATTGCATATGTGTTTGAGAAGAAAGTCTGGCCCCTGTGCCTGGTGGACAAATCTCTTGGGAATTTTGTTCATCACCTGTTTCTCTCGTCGTTCTTGGGCCTTCCTGGTTGACAGAGTCCTTGACTTTTTTTTTTTTTGGAGACGGAGTCTCACTCTGTTGTCCAGGCTGAAGTACAGTGACACAATCTGAGCTCAGTGCAACCTCCATCTCCCAGGTTCAAGCGATTCTCTTATCTCAGCCTCCTGCATAGCTGGGCTATAGGCGTGGGCTACCATACCTGGCTAAGTTTTCTATTTTTTATAGAGACAGGGTTTCACTGTGTTGCCCAACCTGGCCTTGAACTCCTGACCTCAAGTGATCTGCCCACTTCAGCCTCCCAAAGTTCTGGGATTACAGTTGGGAGCCACCGTGCCCAACCAGCTCTTTTTTTTTTTTTTTTTTTTAAAGACAGAGTCTCACTCTGTCAGCCAGGCTGGAGTGCAATGGCAGTCTCGCCTCACTGCAACCTCCATCTCCTGGGTTCAAGCGATTCTCCTGCCTCAGCCTCCTGAGTGTCTGGGATTAGAGGTGCGCACCACCACATCCAGCTATTTTTGTATTTGTAGTAAAGACAGGGTTTCACCATGTTGGCCAGGCTGGTCTCGAACTCCTGACCTCATGATTCGCGCTCCTCAGCCTCCCAAAGTCTGGGATTACAGGCATCAGCCACCGTGCCCAGCCCCTACCAACTCTTGAACAGAACAATGAGCTTCATCATTCTGGGTCAAAACACAGTAATGAAGTGGCCTTACCCATTGTGGAGGATAGTCTCAAGTCCATTGAGGTTGAACCATTTACCTCTTGGATGGAGAGGGTGGACGCGCTGCATCCAGTCCTGTCCATCTGAAATGTTACATGCTGTTCCCACAAGACAGATGCCTTTTCCTCGTTCCCCAATTTAGCAGACTAACATTGAGGGTGGTCACCATCCTTCATTTGTGGTAGAAGCCCTGATGACTTGGGGATAGAATCACACCTCTAACTAAAGGAGGGCTCATCTTGGGGCCCATGCTGGGGACAGAGAGCCACGATTATTGGGTGCCCTGGCAAGGCAGGGAACAGACAGTAGATGTGCGTGTGTTCCGCCTTCTGGTGCGCCATGTTCTGACAGAGTGGTATGGTAGGTGCTCTGTGAACAAGGTCAGACCACTCCATGCCTCTGTGTTTCAGTTTCTTCTGTAAACACGGGAATAGCAGTACCAACCTTTTGAGATTCCGTTAGGAAATGCCTCTAATAGGCCAGCATAGCACACTGGCTCTCTCAGCCCGTTGGTCTGCCATTCCTAGCTGTGCGTTTCTCATGAGAATCTTAGGGGTCAAGGCAGCAGATTGGACCTTGCACCTGCCTCTTACAGCAAAAAATACCCAAGGCTTGGGGTTAAAACATGCCACCTCCACCTCCTAGCATGTGAGGTACCTGGTACTTGTCCCTTACCAGGAGAGCCAGAGAGGAAAAGGTTGCCCACTGGCTCCTTTTGCCAAGGTCGTGGTTTTGTTGGTTTGTGTCACTGGTTGGCAGGGCTTTTGACAATGGGACCCCTATACCCAGCTCTTCCTCCTATCCTAAATTAAACAAGGAGGCCCTGGGTTCCCCTCACAGGCTCTGTGATCCAGCACATGGGAAGCAATAACCTTGACTGGGGCTGATGCTGCATCCTGCATACTATGTACCCTGCACAGAACAGCCACGGATGGAAGCTAAGCAAGGCGGGGAAGGGGGAGTGGCCCCCCTGCCCCTGGAGCTGGACATCACACAGCCCATTTGTGTATGAATGAATGTCACATTCTCGAGTCCCCCTTTTTTCAAACTAGTCCAGAGGAGGTCCTGGGGTTATACCTCCAGAGGATAGCCAGAGTCTATCCACTTTCCTTCCTTGCCAACCCCAGCTCAGGCCTGTGTGACTCCTATAGTGCCTGCTTCTCTGCTACTGCTCAGCAGCCAAACACAGTCTTCATTAGGCCTCACTCTAGTCCTGTCTCTTCTCTATGTCCGAGATTCTTGTTACGTTCCAAATAAAGTCCAGATGTCTCGCCTTGCCTCCAGAGGTCTGTGGAAGTCTCAGGTGATTCTCCAGGCACCTGGCCTCCTACAGCTCCTCAGGAGCCAGGCTTTCTCCCTCTGGGCTTCTGAACACATAGTACCTTGTGCTGGAAACACTCTGGCTCCCCATCGTCATGTTGAAGACAGACTTCATCTCTTGGGTCTCAGCTTAAATGCCAGTTCCTCAGAGAAACTGTACCTTTCTAAATCCTTGTCTCCAATGCCCCTTTCCTCACTTGCAGCCTTCCTAGCATCACCACTATTTCACATCATGTACTTGTTTACTACCTATTAGAATATAAGCTCCATGAGGGCAGGGACCATGTCTATCTTTGTACCATCAAAGCCTAGCCCAGAGCAGGGGATGTAATTGTGTAACTATGCTAGTGCCAAGTGAGTCTGTGTGAAAGGAATGAGTGCATCCCAGAGAAGAAAGGACTCTTGGATCCTATCAGTGTCCTAAATCAGTATAGATTCTGAATTAGGTTTCCCTTCACATCCTTCCTCTCTAGTCAGAATTAATATCTGTTTTAGAAATGAGGAAACAAGGCCGGGTGTGGTGGCTCACACCTGTAATCCCAGCACTTTGGGAGACTGAGGCAGGTGGATCAAGCGGTCGAGACCATCCTGGCCAAACCCTATGAAACCTTGTCTCTATTAAAAATACAAAAATTAGCTGGGTGTGGTGGCACACACCTGTAGTCTCAGCTACTCAGGAGGCTGAGGCAGAAAGAATTGCTTGAACCCAGGAGGCACACCACTGCACTCCAGCCTGGCAACAGAGTGAGACTCTGTCTCCCCCCCCCCCAAAAAAAAAAAAGAAAGAAAGAAAGAAAGAAATGAGGAAACGGGCTCTGGGTGAATCCTGGCCAGGTTGAGTGGTATTGAAATGATGAGTTTTTGCTGCAGTTGGTAACGGCAGGCTTGGAGTCTGATGTGGAAGGACGTGAGGACAGCATCCTGGGTTCAGGCCACGGATAAAGCCGAAGAGGAGCAGAAAGGACAGTGTGAGCGAGAAGGGAAGCGAAGGAACAAGTGAGGGAGCCTGGGAAGGTGTTAACCCAAGACGAAACCCTGGATGCTGGCAGCTGAGCAGCAAGATGTGGTTCTTTAAAAGAGAACTGTTAGTCTTCAGCATCTTCAGTACAGGAGTGGCAAGTCATTTCTGCTGCTCCCAGGCTCACTCTCTGGGGTACGGCCATCTCCTCTCAGCTATACACCCCATGCCCTAGGACTTGCAGCCCCTACCAGTCAGGAAGGCCACAGTCCCACCTCTAACTGGCCATATGGCTTTGGGCTACACATATCGTCTTCCTGGGCTCGAGCTCTCTTGAAGTTGGGGGTCAGGCAGGTCCATGTTACTATGAAATAGTATCTGTAAAGCTTCTAGCCCAGGGCTTGGCACATAGGGAGTGCTTATTTTCCTTCCTTCTTAATTTCCCTGCTGAAGGAACAATTTTGTTAAAGTAATTCTTGAAAAGTTAGGGTCCCAGTACATTCAGGATATCATGTGTTAGGGCTGATCTAGTCATCAGACCTGGGAACACTCCCCGTTGGGAAGGCTGTGGAGGGCAGAGCCACAGACCGCAGGTGCTGAAGAACTGCTTATGCCTGTGCCACCACACACCCCAGGGAGGGGCCCACAGGTAGTAGCACACAGAGCCAAGTGGCCAGGCAGACCCTGGGTGCTGATATGTGCTTCATTCTTTGGTGAGGGGGCTGGTGTGGGGTCCTGTTCTTCTGAGTAATGAATAAGATTGGGGTGCAGGCCCAAGACTGCTATATACTGGTAAGGGTAAACCCTGCCCAGTCCCCTCTATGAGCAGAGCCTGGCAGGGTATGTGTGGGCATTGACCTTGATTTACACAGGCATCCTGCAACCCCAGCAAGATGATGCCCTTCTGTGTTCCTGGAGGTAGCTGCCCATTAGCTCAGCTGCTGGCCTGCATTCCCAGGGCCTGCCTTTACCTGTGTGTGGTGATGTGCCATGGTCTCTGTGGAGTGTATTCCTGCTCATTGGTGTTTTCTGGTGAGTAGTCAGGAACCTCCTTGGGCAAGGGCACGTGTGTGTATGGGAACAGCTCAGTCTTAGCTTCCCCAGGCTCCAGCCTTCTTAACAGTTCTGGATGTGTGAACTTCATGGAAGCAGAAAGGGCTGGTGACACCTGGGTTCCTGGGGTTTATTTGTCAGTGGAGGACACCAAATTGGGCTTGAGGAAGCAGTCAGTTGAGTCCCAGTGAGAGTCTTAAGAGCACAGTGATTGGCAGAAAGCAAGTGAAGGAGGGGCGAGGCTGCCACCACTTCTGGCTTCTGGTGAAATTTTTCTTGATGGATTCCTTGGAAACTACTGTTTCTCTGAGATCTTTTCACATGGGATGGCCGTGAAGCATTCTACAGAGACCTTTGGTACAACCATCTGTCCTTTGTGGGCTATCAGAATCCCCTTCTGCAACTGGGCTGGAAGAGGAGAGAAGCCCCTCCAGCCTGGGGATGAGGGACCTAGGGGCCTCCAGGCTCCTGAGAGGTCAAGAGGATTAACATAGTCCAGCTCTGTCTCAGCCTCAGAAAACAGCGAGACCTGCCCTCCCTGTTAGAGGCCATGGGAAGAACATTGTTTGTAAGTATCAAGAACTGACTATGGGCCAGGCGCGCAGTGGCTTACACCTGTAATCCCAGCACTTTGGGAGACTGAGGTGGGCAGATCACCTGAGGCCAGGAAATCAAGATCAGCGTGGCCAACACAATGAAACCACATCTCTACTAAAAACAAAAATTAGCTGGGTGTGGTGTCGTGCACCTGTGATCCCAGATACTCGGTTGGCTGAGGCAGAAGAATCACTTGAACCTGGGAGGTGGAGGCTGCAGTGAGCCAAGATCACACCACTGCACTCCAGTCTGGGCAACAGAGCAAGACTCTGTCTGAAAACAAAACAAAACTGACTTTGTCATTAGCCGAGCATGGTGGCATGTACCTGTAGTCCCAGTGCCTTGGAAGGCTGAGGTGGGAGGATTGCTTGAGCCTGGGAATTCAAGGCTACAGGGAGCTAAGACAACAGAGTGAGACTTTGTTTCAGAAACAAACAACTAGCTGTGTCGACTAGAGGCAACTGTGAAACTGTCCTAAGTGGCTGGACTTTGAGAAGATTCTTCCACAGATTGACCAGGTACTCTAGGTTTCAGTCAGCGCTGGATGCCTCAGGCCACCTCTGTGAGAACCCAGACTTGCCAGCCAGTGCTGGGGTCCTGACGCTGGTGAGGCCCCACGAGCTCCCCTGAGGTCAGGGAGTTCTCTGCTGTCCTGCCTCCTTTATGCACTAGGCAGACATGCGCTGAGGAGGCCTCAGAGTCCAGCCCCAGCACCCCCACTAGGTCATTGCTGCCTTTAATCACATTCCAGATCCAGAGCCACACATTGGCTCCAGCATTGGTTTCGGGTGTGTCCTACAGCAGCAGCACATCTACAGAGGGGTCGGAGTGCAGCATACCTGCTGAAAGCCCCATCCCAGGGGTATCACAGAACAGACACTGTTGGTGGTGGATCCTGTGGAGGCTCCTAGCCCTCAGTGTCTGTCCCTTGTCTTCCAGGTGAGACTGTGGAGATGAGAAGGTGGTGGACACTCGTGATGGAATGGAAATCGTCCTACCGTGCAGCCACACCCTGCCCTGCCCCGCGTGCCTGCCCATGCCAGCACTTCCTTCCTAAGTTCTCACATCACACTCAAACCGGTGACACCACAGGAAAGAAAGACCCAAGATGTTGGAATGGCTGTTTCCATGGACACAATCTCCATAGTGACAATGTGGGGGGAGGGGGGAGGGGTGGGATGATGGGAAAACGGTGGGGGGAATTAAAAGGGAGGGATAAAAAATATATATATATAAATCTATTTTTAGTCTGGAAAGACTTTGTTTAAATGAAAGGTGCGCTATCCCTTTTGATTCTATTTTAAAATTAACTAGTTAAAGATCTCCAAATTTGTTCCAATGACAGTGAAATTTAAATGTGAAATTGAACTGAACAAACCCTCATCTCATAAAGGACGGGGTGTGTGTGGCTTTGATCTTTACCTGTCTCACACCAGTTCAGAGAACACTAGACCCAGGATTGGAAAAGCAGACAAACATTAATTTGTCTCAAAGTGGGAAGGTTTTAGGGGGAGGGGGAAAATACATGTTTTCAAGAGCAGGGGAATGATGTTTAAACACAAAATAAATTTTTTTTTTTTCATTTCCAGGAACACTATTTATTTATTTTTTTATTTTTATTTTTTTCTCTTTGGGGGTGAAATTGGTAGATGCCCAGGGTCATAGCTGTATCCTGGGTCACTGTGGCTGGTGAGGACCCCATCAAGTGTACACAGCAGCAGCAAAGTCAAAGGATGACCCTCCTCTGGGGCCCCCTGTCCTCAGCACATTCCAGGCAGCTGTTCCCTGACCCACAGGAACCCTTGGGGATGGGAGGAGGCCCAGGCCTGCACCACCACAGCTGGCACTGTGAGCTGTGGGCAGGGACGGGGAGGGACTGTTGTGATCAGTGTGGGTTAAGCTGACCAGGAACACCCATTTAACCCTTTTTTCTTTTTGCTTTCATTTTTGTAAAGTAAAAGAGGACCTGTCAGATAGGCAGCCCCATGCTACGTGATTCTTTATGTTGTGTTGTGTTGTTTTGTTTTGTAAATTGTATAATTTTTAAATATCTGAGTTTTAAAAAAAGAAAAAAGTACAAAAAAATCTTGTTATGGCCTTAAGAAGGGGTTAGTGCATCTTTCAGGGGTCACTCTGCCATGGGGATAAAATAGCTGTTTCACAAACAGTTTTATTTAAAAAAACAAAAAACAAAAAAAATCAAAAAATCAAAAAAATAATAAACTTCATTTTAACCTTGTTTCCTTCTTTTGTTTAATTTAAAGTGAATGCGTCTCTTCCTTCTCCCATTCTAGCCCCCAAAGGGTAGCTCTGGTTCTCCAGAGGCAGCCATCATCAGACCTGGTCTGTCCATTCCCAGCCTCTGGACCATGAGGTGGCCCTTGCAGCAGAGCCAGGAAACAAACAAAATTCTGGGCTCCTGTGCCACTCATCTGGGCAGGTGAAGTTCGGACAGTGTATGGACACAGTCAGATTTACTTAGGTTGATGTGAGGACATTTTCCAATCAACATTAAGGGTTATAAAAAAATAATGCAATGTTAATCGACTTTTAGAGAATAGAAATGCTGGAAGGAATGTTATGAAGTAGAAATAAGCGATTATAAATGAGTTCTGTGTTCATCAATTTTGGGGCAGCAGAAATGGCAGATAATTTTGTTTTAATGGCTACATCAAGCAGTCCATTTCTCATTTCACTCTACCAGGATGGAGGTGTGAGTGGGCGCACTGTGTCGGCCGTGGGACGACACTTGGGCAGCTGAGCAGGACCTGCATAGAAATGATGGCTTTTTTCTCATTCTGATCTTGACTTGGCATTAACACAGTTTAAATGAAATTGATAGATTTCAGGTGTCAAGGGCTAAACCACAAACTTGAAAAATAGTATCTTGAGGAAAATATTTTCCTGACAGCAAACGTTTCTTCTTTGCTTTGCCTTTTATTCTTTTGTCCCCTTTTGATTTGCTGATTTGAGTGGAGCACTTGTGATTGTTCTACGTCTAATTGGCTTCAGAAATGACCTATGCCTGGGGAGTGGCAAGGTTATGCACATGCCTCCCATCTCCAGCTTCTGGCTTCTGCATTGAGTCTCAACTGCTCACATGCCCTTTAGTTCCTTCAGTGCTTGTCTTAATCAGTTTTTTTTAAGCAGCTTTATAATCACAGCAGGATTAAGCTGAAGGTACAGAGAGTTCCCATATAACCCCTTCCCCCACATATGCATAGCTTCCCCCTCTGTCCACATCCCAACCAGAGTGGCATGTTTGTTACAACTGATACATTGTGATCACCCGAAGTCCATCGTTTCTACTAGGGGCCACTCTTGGTGGTGGTCATTTTATGGCTTTTTTTTTTAAAAAATGGGGTTTCACCATGATGGCCAGGCTGGTTTTGAACTCCTGGCCTCAGGTGATCCACCCACCTCAGCCTCCCAAAGTGCTGGGATTACAGGTGTGAGCCACCACGCCCAGCCATTTTATGGCTTTTGACAAATGTATAAAGACCTGGATCTGGCAGGGCGTGGTGGCTAACGCCTATAATCCCAGCATTTGAGGAGGCTGAGGTGGGCAAATCACTTGAGTTTGAGAACAGCCTGGGCAACATGGCAAAATACCAACTCTACGTAAAAATACAAAAACTAACCAGGCATGGTAGTATGCACCTGTAATCTCAGCTACTTGGGAGGCTGAGATGGGAGGATCGCTTGAGCCTAGGTGGTCAAGGCTACAGTGAGCTGTGATCACGCCACCACGCTCCAGCCTGGACAACAGCAAAATCCTGTCTCAAAAAAAAGGACGTGGACCGGTCATTATCATCCAGAGTAGTTTCACTGCCCCAGAGATCTCTCCCACTGTGCTTCTCCTTCCCTCAAGTCCCTCACAACTACTGAGCATTTTACTGTATCCAAAGTTTTGCCTTTTCCAAAATGTCATAAAGTTGAGATTATGTAGTAGGTAGCCTTTTTAGATTGGCTTCTTTAATGTAGTAATGTGCATTTAAGGTTCAACCATGTCTTTTCATGACTTGATAGCTTGTTTCTTTCTAGTGATAAATAAACCCACTGGATGTTCCACAGTTAATCCATTCACCTGCTGAAGAACATCTTGGTTGCTTTCAAGTTTTGGCAGTTACGGATATAGCTGCTGTAAATGTCCCTGTGCAGGTATTTGTGTGGACATGAGGTCTCAACTCCTTTGGGTAAGTACAAGGAGCACAGCTGGTGAATTGTATGGTAAGAGTATGTCTAGTTTTGTAAGAAATTGCCAAACTGTCTGGATCACTGAAGTCAAGATTTTGAGACCAGCCTGGCCAACATGGTGTAATCTTGTCCCTACCACAACTACAAAAAGGAGCCGGGCATGGTGGCTCATACCTGCACTCCCAGCTACTCAAGAGACTGAGGTGAGAGGATCGCTTGAACGCAGGAGGCAGAGTTTATAGTGAGCTGAGATTGTGCCACTGCATTCCTAGCCTGAGTGACAGAGTGAGACTCTGTCCCAAAAAAAAAAAAAAAAATTGCCAAACTGTTTTCCAGAATGTCTGTACCATTTTGTATTCCCACCAGCAATGAACTAGAGTTCCTGATGCTCCACATCCTTGCCAGCGTTTGGTGCTGTCTATGTACTGGATTTGAGCTATTCTCATGTGTGTGTGAGTGGCCTTTTTTTTTTTTTTTTTTTTTTTTTTTTTAATTTTTAAAGTTTTTACGTTGTGATTTAAAAAACAAAATTTACCATCATAACAGTTATGGTGTTCAGTGGTGTTAAGGGTGTTCACATTGTTAGGCAGCCGGTCTCCAGAACTTTTTCATTGTATAAAACTGAAACTCTTTACCCTTTAAACTTACCCTGCACGCCAGCCTGCTCCTGAAGCTTTTCTTTTTTTTATCCTTTTGTTATTTTATTCTTCATTTATTTATTTGGTTTTTTTTTTTTTGAGACAGAGTTTCACTCTTGTTGCCCAAGCTGGAGTGCAATGGCATCATCTCCGCTCACCACAAACTCCGCCTCCCAGGTTCAAGCAATTCTCCTGCCTCAGCCTCCCAAGTAGCTGGGACTACAGGCATGCACCACCATGCCCAGATAATTTTGTATTTTTAGTAGAGGTGGGGTTTCTCCATGTTGGTCAGGCTGGTCTTGAACTCCCTACCTCAGGTGATTGGCCCACCTTGGTCTCCCAAAGTGCTGAGGTTATAGGAGTGAGCCACTGCACCCGACCCCTTCATTTCTGTTCGTAGAGTACAGGCAGCCCTCAATACCACAGGCTCCATGTCTACAAATTCAACCACACATAGAAGATATTTTGGAAAAAAAAAAAGTATAACAACTAAAAATACAAATAAGAGCAGTACGGGATAGCAACTATTTACACAGCATTTATATTGTATTAGGTATTATAAATCTAGAGATGATTTAAAGTATACGGGAGGATATGCATAGGTATACTCTGCCATTTTACATAAGGAACCTGAGCGTCCTTGGATTTTGGTATTTACCTGGCACCAGTCCTCTCCAGGATACCCAGAGACAACTATTCCATTGCCTGCAGTCCCACCACCTTGTACCTGTGGAAATGCAGGTGCCCTGCTGCTCTGAGGACAGGCTCTGCCACTCAGCACTCTTGAGTCAGACCCAATAGAAACCTGTCCTATCGGAAGAGCTGGGAATTGGAGGGTCCCTCCCAATGGCATTGCTGTGCCTGGCAGGGGGAAGGGCAAAAACATGCAAAATGCTCCAACTTGAGTACCCTTCCCAGTGCAGTCCCTTCCTGACTCTGTGCCAGCTGGCATTGCAGCTTCCTAACTAGTTTCTAGAATTCTCATAATGATGTTTTGGTTCCTTCAGCATTGTTAACTGTGGACTCTAGGAGAACGAGAGCCCAGAGCTTCCCAGTCCACCGCTTGCTGACGTATTTTCACACCATGTCACTTGGCAATGTCCAGAGGGCCTGCCAGGGCACAGTGTATTTTTCACCATGACACAAGCAGTCCCAGTATTCAGGAATGGCAGTTTGGTTGTGTTTCCTAAAGATAAAAAATCCCAGAAACTTCTATACTGACCATGAATAGAATGTGATGTTCAAACAGTATAGAGCAGTAGTAGCTCAGCACACACTTTGGACGTGGACTCTGACACCACTCAGTGACTTGTACCTCGTTATGTGGTCTCTGAGCCTCAGTCTCTATGCCTTGAGGACCATAAAACCGCCTCCTTAGGGGGCTGTGGGAGGATTAATGAGTTGGAGCACACAGTCTGACTAGCAGCTTCTGGCATATAAGTGCCTGATCAATGGAAGCCACAGGTGCACAGTGACTGGAAAAGGCCATAGGCATCACTATTGAAGGTTTTCCTCATGCTGCCATATCTTGAATTACAGGCCTCTGGCAGGTAAGGAGGGCATTCGGGAGGGTACTGCTCATGTGACAGGCATGCCTGTCCCTGCCCATCACACCCACATCCTGATGACTGCTTCAGGAGGGCCTGACACCTCAAAAAGCCAAGAGTACATACAGGTAATGTATAAAGGGGCCACTATGTGACAAGCACCCAGACCATCCTGCCAGCCCTGTGCCTTGATTCTCTCTCAGTCCCAGGTAGAAGAGTGCTGCCACATAGGACAGAAACACTCAGCTGAGCCAGTTTGGGAGGCCACAATTCAGATCTGAGAAGTCCCCAGATGGATATGTGGATATGGGTCTTGCTCTTCTGGTCAGTTGAATGGCCTCAAAACTGTTGGGCCAGATGGCTCATGCCTCTAATCCCAACACTTGGGGAGGCCAAGGTAAAAGAATCACTTGAAGCCAGGTCAAGACCAGCATGGGCAATATTGTGAGAACTCATCTCTACAAAAAACAAAAAAAATTTAGCCAGGCATAACGGTGTGCACCTGTAGTCCCAGCTACTCAGGAGGCTAAAATAGGAGGAGGCTCTCTTGATTGAGCACAGGAGTTTGGGGCTGTAGGGAGTTACGATTATACCTCTGCACTCCAGCCTAGGCAACAGAGCAAGACCCTGTCTCTAAAACAAAAAAAAATCGTAATTTTTTTTTAAATTTTAAATAAACTGTTCCTCCTACCTTTTGTTCCCAGATCCAGTCTTCATTCAGACCTGCAAAGACCCAGGCTCCAGCTGCCAGCCTCCTGTGGCCCCTCAGGCCACCTGCACAAGAAATTCCAAGGGTGCATTGGTCCCACTGCCAGTACCATGGCCTACAGTGCTAGGCAGCCCCTCAGTCTCTGCCACTCAAAGTTCTCCTCCAGAAATCCTTCCCAGATAGTTCTGTTCCAGCCTGGGGCAATGTCCCCATGACCCTCATGGCACTGCTGGCTTGGCATGTCAGCTATGTTACCTTCCTACTTCTGATGGTCTTGAGTATGCTGGGGTACTGGCCCACTGGCTACCTTCCCACCATGTTCTCAGGACACAGCTCAGGATCCAGTACAACCCATACCTCCAGCCTGGGTGGAGCCCTCATGCCAGGCTGCCTCTCACTGCCCTAGCCTGACCCTCTACCCACTGGCAGCACAGTTAACACAGCAGTTTGGCTCACAGCAGAGGGCAAAGGCCATCATCAGCTCCCTTTATAAGGGAACAGTCACACACTCGGTATGCTGAGAGTATCCTGCTTGGTCCTCTGTGCCTGGTGGGGTGGGGGTGCCAGGTGTGTCCAGAGGAGTTCAGTGGGCAGCAAGGCAGCCATGGGACTGGATGCACTGGTGCCCCTGGCTGTGACAGTGGCCATCTTCCTGCTCCTGGTGGACCTGATGCACCGGCGCCAACGCTGGGCTGCACGCTACCCGCCTGGCCCCATGCCACTGCCCGGGCTGGGCAACCTGCTGCATGTGGATTTCCAGAATACACCAAACTGCTGCAGCCAGGTGAGGGAGGAGGTCCTGGAGGGCGGTAGAGGTCCTGAGCATCCCCCACCAACAGCAAACGTGGGTGGTGAGTGAAGCAGCAGGCTACATCAGAAGCCAGGCTGCAAAGGGGAAGTAGGTTTGGGGGACTTCTAGGGGACGGCATTTGTACACGGCCTGAAGGATTAGATTTTCCAAACACCAAGGAAGAGTAGGGCAAGGGCCTGGAGGTGGGGCTGGACTTTGCAGTGAGTGTTCGAGCTCACCAGGCAGCATAGATTCTGGAGCACAAAGTCCCCTCTGCTGACACCAGAAGGAAGGGCCTTGGAATGGGAGAGGAGTCAGGGTCCTGAGTACTGTTTAAATTAGAAAATAAGGCCAGAAACGGTGGCTCAGGCCTGTAATCCCAGCACTTACGGAGGCTGACGTGGGTAGATCTCCTCAGGTCAGGAGTTCAAGACAAATCTGGCCAACATGGTGAAACCCCATCTCTACTAAACATAACAAAAAATTAGCTGGGCTCAGTGGTGTACCTGTAATCTCAGCTACTTGGGAGGCTGCAGCAGGAGAATCGCTTGAACCTGGGAAGCGGAGGTTGTAGTGAGCAGAGATTCTGCCATTGCACTCCGGCCTGGGTGACAGAGCCAGACAACATCTAAATAAATGAGTAAGTAAGTAAGAAATCAACAGCGAGGCGCAATGGCTCACAGCTATAATCACACCACTTTGGGAGGTCGAGGCAGGTGGATCACAAGGTCAGGAGTTCGAGACGACCCTGGCCAACATGGTGAAACCCCATCTCTATTAAAAATACAAAAATCAGCCAGGCGCAGTGATAGGCACCTGTAATTCTAGCTACTCAGTAGGCTGAGGCAGGAGAATTGCTTGAACCCAAGAGGCAGAGGTTGCAGTGAACAGAGATGGCACCACGCACTCCAGCCTGGGTAACTGAGCAAGACTCCATCTAGGGGTGGGGGGGAAGAAAATCGAGGATGAAGGGGTGTAGTAACACCGTTCAAACCTTTTGCAAGAGAAACCTTTGGGTTCTCTTGCCTCACTGCTCACCAGCATAGACCATCTGTAAAATGGGGTGCTAACTGTGGCCTGTCGGCAATTTCAGTGATTCTTGCAAGGTCATACCTGAATGAGGCGTCCATAGTGAGTTCCTCCATCATAGAAGATGTGACCCCCATCCCTGCCCCAGGGTCAGGAGGCTGGGGCTCCTTGCACCTACTCATTCTGGAAGCCCCAGGGGTCGCCCAAGGCCCATTTGGAACTAGGACCTGCAGGCTGGGGGACCCTGGCTTGACAGAGGCCCTAACTCTCCCTCTGAAGCTGCGGCGCCGCTTTGGGGATGTGTTCAGCCTGCAGCTGGTCTGGACTCCAGTGGTCGTGCTCAACGGGTTGGAGGCTGTGCATGAGGCGCTGGTGACCCAGGGCGAGGACACCGCCGACCGCCCACCTACGCCCATCAACCAGGTCCTCGGCATTGGGCCGCGCTCCCAAGGCAAGCGGCGGTGGGGACAGAGACTGTTTCCATGGGACCCGGGTGGGTGGTGACCGGAGCCTGAGCTGGGCCAAGAGAGCGCACAGTCGTGGACGTGGGACACTGAGAAAGGCCAGCAAGTGGGCCGGGGACAGCGGGCCACGACACCACCTGCTCTGGGGAGGTGTGAGCTTGTGGGTGGGGACGGGGCCTAGACCTAACAAGAGCCAGCTGGGCGAGGCCGGTACGTTTCCCAGCTGGAGGCAGGTATCCGGGGACCGCGCCTGTGCTGCCGGCTCAGTGAGGACCTGGCTGGGCCAGCGGGATCTTTCCTCAGTGGAAAGTCAGGGTGGGCAGAGCCGAGATAGGGACAAGACTTGAGCAAAGTGGGTGAGCAAAGAGTGGACCCTGTGCCCAGCTGGACAGGGCGAGGAACTGCCGGAGACCAAGGGGAGTGCAGGGTTGGAGTAGGCAGCAGAGAGTGGGGCCGAGGCCTTCATGGCCACACACACGTCCATCCGGTCCTCAGGGGTGTTCATGGCTCGTTATGGTCTCGCGTGGCGCGAGCAGAGGCGATTCTGCGTGTCCACCTTGCGCAACTTGAGGCTGGGCAAGAAGTTGCTGGAGCAGTGGGTGACCAAGGAAGCTGCCTGCCTCTGTCTCGCCTTCAACAACTATGACGGTGGGTGATGGGCAAAGGGGTACAAGGCGGGAACTGGGAACATGGGGGCAGGAAAGGCGATCCCTAACCCTCATCTCCCGACCCCAGGACGCCCCTTCCGCCCCAACGAACTCCTGGACAAAGCAGCGAGCAACGTAATTGCCACCCTTACCTGCGGGCACCGTTTCGAGTATGACGACCCTCGCTTCCTCAGGCTGCTGGACCTAGCGCAGGAAGGATTGAAGGAGGGGTCGGGCTTCCTACCCCAGGTGCAGAGCCAGGGACTGCGGGGACTCCACAGGGCAAGCTCCTCAGAGGTGTCGATGCTGCAGCCAGGCCTCTGAGGAGCAGAATTTGCATAGAGGGGTTCAGGATAGGATATTCAAGGAGAGCCCACTGCAAGAGGAAGGGCCTGGAGGAGGAGGGGAAACCTCAGACATGGTCGTGAGAGAGGTGTGCCCAGGTCAGGGACCACCAAGAGAGGCCATGAACCCTGTGCCTCCTGTTTACATTGGAGAATTTGATTTTAGGTTTCTCCTCTGCCAGCCCAGAGCAAAGAGAAAGGGTAGAAGCTGGCACTTGGGGAGGTCAATGGTGGGGACAGGCAGGCCCTGGATCTTCCCTGGAGAGGTCTGGGGCCTGAGACTGGTCCAGGTGAAGGCAGAGTATAGGAGGAATCCAGACACCATTCTGTGTCTGGTGCAGGTGCTGAATTCCATCCCTGTCCTCCTGCGCATCCCGTGGCTGGCTGGCAAGGTCTTACGCTCCCAAAAGGCTTTCCTGGCCCAGTTGGATGAACTGCTGAACGAGCACAGGATGACCTGGGACCCAGCCCAGCCACCCCGAAACCTGACTGATGCCTTCCTGGCAGAGATGGAGAAGGTGGGAGTGGCTGCCAGGGTGGGGAGCAGGGGTGGTGGGTTGAGGATCCCAGGAGGAATGAGGAGTGTCCAGGCAAAAGCTGGGGCTGGTGCATCACCCGGTGAGCAGCACCTGGGCTGACAGGTGCAGAATAGGAGGTCATTTGGGGACTTTCCCCCTCGGTCCCCTGAGAACCCTCTCGGTCCTGCTCAGGCCAAGGAGAACCCCAAGAGCAGCTTCAATGATGAGAACCTGCGTATGGTGGTGGCTGACCTGTTCTTGGCTGGGATGGTGTCCACCTCGATCACGCTGGCCTGGGGCCTCCTGCTCATGATCCTTCACCCAGATGTGCAGCGTGAGCCCACCTGGGACCCAGTGCGGGGGAGGTGAGGGAGGAAGGGTACAGATGGGTACTCTGAGCTTAGCTGGGACACCTGGGGCTCCAAGCACAGGCTTGGCCAGGCTCCTGTAAGCCTGACCTCCTCTAATACAGGAGGCAGGAAGGAGGGCATCAGGGCCAGTCCCGTGGGTGCTGACCCCTTGTGAGGTCGCATGTCTGTCCAGGCCGTGTCCAACAGGAGATCAACGACGTGATAGGGCAGGCGCGGCCACCAGAGATGGGTGACCAGACTCGCATGCCCTACACCACTGCCGTGATTCACGAGGTGCAGCGCTTTGGGGACATTGTTCCCATGAATATGCCCCACATGACATCCCGAGACATTGAAGTACAGGGCTTCCTCATCCCTAAGGTAGGCCTGGGGCCCTCCTCACCCAGCTCAGCATCAGCCCCTGGTGGGTGCCCCAGCGTAGCCACTGCCAGGTGGGCCTAGTCTGGGAACCCTGGCCTGCCAGTCTTCAATGCCACCACACTGTTCAGCCTGTGTGGGGGGTGCAGAGCAGAGTCAGGGCTGGCCTGTCCATCCAGAGCCCAGTCTAGTGGGGAAGACAGACCAGGACCTGCCAGAATGTCAGGGGGCCCAATGCTCTTAGGGAGAGGGGGCAGCCTGGGTGCCCCTGGGAGGTGTGACTGGGGCCTATTATGGGGTTGGAGAGGATGCCCAGGAGCTTCTCGGGCGCAGGACTAGTAGAGTCTAGCTGTGTGCCGGGCAATGTGTATCCCCCATGTGTTTGGTGGCAGGGGTCCCAGCATCCTAGATCCCAGTCCTTACTCTCTCCCTGCCTCTCCTACCCAGGGGACAGCGATCTTCGCCAACCTGTCATCAGTGCTGAAGGATGAGGCCATCTGGAAGAAGCCTTTCTGCTTCTACCCCGAACACTTCCTGGATGCCCAGGGCCGCTTTGTGAAGCCAGAGGCCTTCCTGCCTTTCTCAGCAGGTGCCTGTGGGGTGCCTGGCTCCCTATCCCTTCCGTGGAGTCTTGCAGGGGTATCGCCCGGGACCCATGCTCACTGAGGCCCCTCCCCTACCCACAGGCCGCCGCGCATGCCTCGGGGAGCCCCTGGCCCGCATGGAGCTCTTCCTGTTCTTCACCTGCCTGCTACAGCGCTTCAGCTTCTCTGTGCCCGCCGGACAGCCCCGGCCCAGTAACTTGCCTGTCGGTGGCTTTCTGGTGTATCCTTCCCCCTACCAGCTTTGTGCTGTGCCCCGCTAGAGTTGGGCATCAAGCCCCTGACTTGTGCCTCTTGTACAATAAATTAGTCTAGAGGCTCCCACTTGGTTACTGAATCCAGTTTGGGCTCTTGCCAAGGCCCTGGTTGTGTTGAGTCATCTGTCACCTGCTTGATGTCAGTGCTCATCCCCACCTCATTCTCTTTTTTTTTGGATACACACTCTGTCTCTGTCATCCAGGCTGGAGCGTGGTGGTGACATCTCAGCTAACTGCAACCTCCGCCTCTTGGGTTCAAGCAATTCTCGTGCCTCAGCTTCCCAAGTAGCTGGGATTACAGGCATTCACCACCATACCCCGTTTATGTTTGTCGTTTTAGTAGGCTTAGGTTTCACCATGTTGGCCAGGCTGCTTTCAAACTCCTGATCTTAGGCGATCCACCAGCCCCAGCCTCTCAAGATTCTGGTATTAAAGGCATGAGCCACCACGCCCAGCCTCACCTCATTGATTCTTAACCTGGACACCTGACTTTACTTGAGATACAGGCATAGTGATTCTCAGCAGGTGACAGCTTACCTCCACGTCACCCCCAGAAACCCATCACTGGCTGCCTGGCTTGGTGACAAGGTCCATGCATAAGTCTTGGCTGGGTTAGATATGGATAGGCATGTGCCAGGAATCAGCCCAGTCCCTGGCTAGGGTGGGAGACTGTGTTCGGGAACCCCAGACCACCCTCAGGTCCAATGATTTGCTGGAAGGTCTCACAGACCTAAAAAAGTTGTTATCCTCCCTTTAATGGTGTATTACAGAGAAGGGTACAGATTAAAGTCAGTGAAGATGAAAGGCACAGGGGGCAGAATCCAGAATGACCAGGCAGAGGCTGCATCTCTCGTTTCTGGTGGAATCCTACAGGCAGCGCTTAATTCTCCCCCAACAGTAAGTGACACTGCAGAGAGCGCTGCCAGCCACGGAAGCTCACGTGAGCCTTGGTGTCCAGAGTTCTTGCTGGGAGTTGGCATCCTAGGCTCGAGCCCCCCGCCATGGCTGACCTCAGTTACTCAGTCTCGAGCCCCTCAAATCAGGTAGATACAGGCCTGAGGGTCCAACCCTCAGTCACACTGTTGGCATGAACTGTGTTGTATGGTCAATGGCCCCAGCTATGTACAAAGACACTATTTCAGACGTGACATTCCAAGGCCTTAGCATATCTCCCAGCAGCCTGTCAAGAGTCAGTGATTTGGTTTGGATTGTGCAAGAAATGACTTCCCCATTTTTTACGACACAGGCCACCCTCTTAGCTCTGACACCATAATGATCACATTAGTTGAGCGTGTGTGTGGGTGTTTTCTTTTTGTTTTGAGACAGGGTCTCCCTTTGTTGTCCAGGCTGGAGTGCAATGGTGCAATCCCGGCTCACTGCAACCTTCGCCTCCTGGGTTCAAGCAATTTTTCTGGTTCAGCCTCCCAAGTAACTGGGACTACAGGCGCATGCCACCATACCTGGCTAATAATTTTTGTGTTTTTAGTAGAGACGGAGTTTCACCATGCTGACCAGGCTGGTCTCAAACTCTCGACCTCGTGATCCACCTGCATCAGCCTTCCAAAGTGATGGGATTACAGGTGTGAGCCACCATGCATCCTCCCCCTCCTCCTCCGTCGTTGTCTTCGTCTTCGCCTTGCTCTGTCACCCAGGCTGGAGTCAGTGATGCCATCAGGGCTCACTGCAGCTTTGACTTCCTGGGCTCAAGCCATCCTCCCATCTCAGCTTCCCTAGTAGCTGGAACTGCAGGCACATGCCACCATGCTCTGTTAGTTTTTATATTTTGGTAGGATGGGATTTCACCATGTTGCCCAGGCTGGTCTCAAACTCCTGGACTCTAGCCATCTCTCTGATTCTCCTCCCAAAGTACTGGGATTCCAGGTGTGAGCCACTGAGCCTGGCCACTTTTCTAGTTCTTTAAGATGCATTGTTAGGTTATTTACTTAGTTTTTCTTCTTTTTTGATGTAGGGACTTAGAGATATGAATTTCTTCCTTAGTACTGTTTTCTCGGTATCCCACAGGTTTTGCTATGTTCTGTTTCTGTGATCATTATTTGTTTCAGGAATTTTTTTAATTTCCTTTTTTTTTTTTTTTTTTTTTTTCTTTTTGAGACAGAGTTTTGCTCTGTCTGCCCGGACTGGAGTGCAGTGGCGCCATCTTGGCTGACTGCAACATCTGCCTCCTAGGTTCAAGTGATTCTCCTGCCTCAGCTTCCCAAGGAGCTGGGATTACAGGCGCCAGCCACCATGCCCTGCTAATCTTTGTATTTTTAGTAGAGATGGGGTTTCACCATGTTGACCAGGCTGGGCTCGAACTCCTGATCTCAGGTGATCTGCCTGCCTCAGCCTCCCAGAGTGCTGGGATTACAGGCATGAGCTATGGTGCCCAGTGAAATTTTCTTAATGTCCTCACTGAACCACTGGTCATTCAGGAGCATATTGTTTAATTTTACGTGTTTGTATGGTTTCCAGAATTCCTCTTGTTGCGGATTTCTACTTTTACTCTGTTGTTGTCAGAGAGGATGTTTGATACTATTTCAGCTTTTTTAATGTTTTAAGGCTTCTTAGTGACCTAACATACCGTGTGTCCTTGAGAACGATCCATGTGCTGAGGAGAAGAGTGTGTATTCTGCAGACTTTGGATGAAGGGTTCTGTGAACACCTAGTATATCCATTTGTCCTATAGTGCAGATTAAATCTAATGTTTTCTTGTTGGGTTTCCATCTGGGAGATCCGTCCAGTGCTGGAAGTGGGGTGCTGAAGTCTCTAGCTCTTGTTGCATTAAGGTCTGTCTCTCTAGCTCTAATAACATTTGCTTTATGTGCTCCAGTGTGTGTGCATATGGATTTACAGTTGTCATATTCTGTTGCTGGATGGCCTTCGTCTCCTCTTACACTTTTTGTCTTAAAATCTATTTTGTCTCACTATTGCTACTCCTGCTCTTTTTTGGTTTCCTGTGGCATGTAGTAGCTTTTTCCGTCCCTTTGTTTTCAAGTCTATGTGTATCTCTATAGGTGGAGTGTGTTTCTTATAGGCAGCATGTCACTGGGCCTTGCTTTCTCACCCGCTCAGCCACTCTGTGTCTTCGTACTGCAGAGTTGAGTCCATTTCAATGTTATTGCCAAGTAGGGACTTACTGCTGCCATTTTGTTACTTGTTTTCTCACTGTTCTGTGGTCTTCTCTTTCTTTTTTTCCTTCTTGTCTTGCTTTTAGTGAAGGTGATTTCCTCTGCTAGCTGGTGGTATGATTTAATTTCTTGCTTCTATTTTTTATGTATCCACTGTGTTTTTTCTTTTCTTTCTTTTTTTGAGACAGTCTCATATATTGTGTGTTTTTTGATTTGAGGTTACTGTGAGGCTTGCAAATACGATCTTATAACTCATTATAAACTGATGTCAACTTAACACTGATTGAATAAATAAACATAAAGCAAAAAGAAAACTAATGAAAACTCGACACTTTACCTTCATCTCAGCGCTTTTTAACTTTTTGTTGTTTCTGTTTACGTTTTTTTTTTTTGCATTTTGAGATGGAATCTTGCTCTGTCGCCCAGCTGGAGTGCAGTGGCATGATCTCAGCTCACTGTAAACTCTACCTCCCAGGTTCAAACAATTCTCCTGTCTCAGCTTTTTGAGTAGCAGGTGGCCACCACCATGCCCAGCTAATTTTTTTGTATTTTTGCTGAGACAGGGTTTCACCATGTTGACCAGGCTGGTCTTGAATTCCTGACCTCAGGTATTCTGCCTGCCTTGGCCTCCCAAAGAGCTGGGACTACAGGTGAGGGCCATGGTGCCCAGCCTCTGTATGTCTTACTGTACTGTCTGTATCTTGAAAAGTTGTAGTTATTTTTGATTGGTTTATCATTTACTTTAATTAAAAGTAACTTACACACCACAATTACAGTACTATAATACTGTTTTTCTGTGTGCTTACGATTACCAGTGAGTTTTGTACCTTTAGATGATTTATCCTTGCTCATTAATATCTTTTTTTACAGATTGAAAAACTCCCTTTAGCATTTCTTGTAGGACCCATCTGGTGTTGATGGAATCTCTCAGCTTTTGTTTGTCTGGGAAGGTCTTTATTTCTCCTTCCTGTCTGAAGGAAATTTTTGCCAGATATGCTATTCTAGGGTAATGGGTTTTCTTCCTTCGGCACTTTAAATATGTCATGCCACTCTCTTCTGGCCTGTAAGGTTTCCACTGGAAAGTTGGCTCCCCCATGTATTGGAGCTTCCTTGTATGTTACTTGTTTTTTCTCTTGGTGCTTTCAGGATTCTTTCTTTATCCTTGACCTTTGGAATTGTAATTATCAGACACCTTGAGGTAGTCTTCTTTGGGTTAAATATGCTTGGTGTTCTATAAACTTCTTGTAACTGAATGTTGATATCTTTCTCTAGGTTTGGGATGTTCTCTTTTACTATCCTTTCAAATAAACTTTCTACCCATGTCTTTCTCTACCTCCTCTTTAAGGCCAATGACTCATAGATTTGCCCTATGACTTGATAACTTTAATCATGATTTATTAATAGATTTGCCCATAAATAAATAAATATATATTTTACATATGTGTGTGTGTGTGTGTGTGTGTGTGTGTGTATAAAATTTTATTTTTTTTTGGAGACAGAGTCTGTCTCTGTCACTTAGGCTGGAGTGCAGTGGCTAACTGCAGCCTCTGCTTCCCAAGTTCAAGCAATTCTCCTTCCTCAGCTTCCCAAGTAGCTGGGACTACAGGCACCCCCTACCACGCATAGCTAATTTTTTATATTTTTAGTAGAGACAGGGTTTCACCATGTTGGCCCGGGTGATCCTGAACTCCTGACCTCAGGTGATCCACTCACCTCAGCCTCCCAAAGTGCTGGGATCACGGGCATGAGCCACCGTGCCCGGCCAGTGCTGTGGTTTTGAAACCTCATAGAGGTACCGCGCTGGGGGTCTTGGATGGGATCTGGAAGAATTCTCTGGATTATCAGGCAGAGACTCTTGTTCTCTTCCTTTACTTTTCCCCAAACAAATGGAGTCTCTCTGTGCTGAGTCACCTGGAGCTGGGGGGTGTGGTGATACAGGAACCTCTGTGGCCACCACCACTGGGACTGCACTGGTCACACCTGAGGCCAGCACAGCACTGGGTCTCACCCAAGATCTGCTGGAACCACTACCTGGCTACCGCCGATGTTCACTCAAGGCCCCAGAGCTCTGTGATCACCAGGTAGTGAAGCCATCCAGGTTTGTGTCTTTCCCCCAGGCCCTAGGTGGGGCCAGAGATGCTGTCTGGGAGCAGGGATTATTGTCAGCAACCTTAGCAGTTTGCCTCTTGTTCTATTCCACTGCGGCTAAGCTGCTGTTGCCTCCACTTTCCACAGACGGGGTCCTCTCCAGTGGCCACCACCCCCACCAGTACCTGCTGCGGGGTTCTGGCAGCCCCCGCTGGTGTTCGCTAAGGCTCAACAGCCCTTCAGTCAGCTTGTGGTCAATGCTGCCAGGCCTGAGACCCACCCTGCAGGGCAGTAGTTTTCCCTCTGGCCTAGGGCAGGTCCAGAAACACTGTCCAAGAGCCTAGACCTGGACTCGGGGACCAAGAGCCTCGTTGGTGCTCTGCCCCACTGTGGCCAGGCTGGTAGCTAGGGTGCAAGACCAAGTCCCCTTTTCTCTTCCCTCTCCTCCCTCTCTCACCGTCACCACCAGAGCTGGGAGTGTGCTGGGTCACTCCTGAAGTCAGCATGTCTCAGAGCCCAAGGCCCATGATGTACTACCTGGGTATCCTTCCCAGTTATTCAGGCCCCATAGGTGATGAATCCTACCAGGGCTGGGTCCTTTTATTCAAGACACTGGGTTCCCTTCTGCCTCAAAGTGTGTCTAGAACGCCAGTGAGCTAGGGCCTAGGCTGGAGGTCTCACTCCTCTGCCTGGTGTCCTCTCCTCCTGTGGTTGAGCTGGTATCCAGGATGCAAGACCAAGTCCTCATTACTCCTCACTCCTCTCGAGCAGAAGAGAGGAATAACTTCCATTGTTTGGCCAGCTGTGCAGTCTGAGGCTAGGGGAGGGTGGCAAGCACTCCTTCGGCCACCCTGGCTCCTGGCTCCCTGGGTCATGTGCCACCCCAGTCCCTGGCTCTGAGCCGAGCCCAGGACTCAGAGTTGCAGAGGAACTGTAGTCCTTGGGTCCTAGACCCTCTTGCAAGTTTCCCTAGGATCCTTAAGTACTCTGGCCCATGGTGGGGAGGCTTGCCCAGAAACTCAAGTTCTGGACCCTGGAATGGGTGATTCCTGTCTGGCTAGGGCTGGCCCAGATGCTCCCTTCCAGTTTGGGCACTGACTGAGCAAAGCATGGCTTTGGCTTTGCTCTCCGCAGGGAGAGGGTGGCACTGAGTTCAGTGTCAGACCTCCTAGTCATTGCTCTCTCCCTCCTGCAAGTGCAGAGACTTGGTGCTGCATGCTGTCTGCCAGGGGGTGAAGGACAGGTGGCACCAGCGAATCAGGACTGTCTCTCCCACCCTCATCCATGCCTCTTTCTGTTATAGGAAGGGAAAACCAAGTACTGTGATGGCTCACCTGATTTTTGGTACTTGTGACAGTGCTTTTCTGTGTGCAGATAGTTGTTAAAATTTGGTGTTCCCATGGGGGTGAGGAGTAGGATGAATGCTTTGCTACCCCTCTTTTCTCTTTTTTCTTTCTTTTCTTTTTTTTGGATACAGGGCCTCCTGTGGCCCAGGCTGGAGTACAGTGCTGCAATCATGGCTCACTGCAAACTCAGCTGCCTGGATTCAAGTGATTTCCCCCACCTCAGCCTCCTAAGTAGCTTGGACCACAGACCTGCGTCACTGCACCCAGCTAACTTTTAAATTACCTGTAGAGACAGGGTCTTGCCATGTTGCCCAGGCTGGTCTCAAACTCCTGGGCTCAAGCGATCCTCTTGCCTCAGCCTCCTAAAGTGCTGGGATTATGGGCGTGAGCCACCACACCCAGCGTATCCTTTATTTTCAGTGTAGCTAATGGCATGCAACAGTAACCAAGGGATTGTATATTTAGCTTGTTTCTTGTTACTTTACATTTTCTTACACATCTGCTGTGCCAACTCTGTTGAATCTTGGTTCCATCATTTCTAAATTCCATAGGTAACTTTTACCTCTTGTAATCAATCACAGTGCAGCTAGTGATGTAGTAACTGCAGGAATAAAGCTTCATCAGCCCCTTTACCTTCCTTTCTCCAAGTTAAGCTTGCACTAAGTTTCAGAGAAGCTAATTCTAGCGAATCACATTTCTGAAGCCAACTGTGTCTGGAGTCCCCAAGACCCTCCCTCAGTTCAATGATTTGCTATAAGGACTCACAGAATTCTGAAATGCCGTTGTACTCACTGTCATGGTTTATTACACTGAAAAGATCCAGATGGAAGTCAGCAGAGGTCAGTGGTGCCCGAGACACAGCACAGAATTCCTGCTGTTGGCTGGGCATGGTCTCTCACACCTGTAATCCCAGCAGTTTGGCAAGCTGAGGCTGGTGGATCATTTGAGATCAGGAGTTCGAGACCAGCCTGGCCAAGATGGTGAAACCCCATCTCTAATAAAAATACAAAAATTAGCTGGGCGCTGTGGCAAGCACCTATAACCCCGGCTACTTGGGAGACTGAGGCAAGAGAATCACTTGAATCCAGGAGGCAGAGGTTGCACTGAGCCAAGATCACACCACTGCGCTCTAGCCTGGGCGAAAGAGCAAGAATGTCTAAAAGAAAAAAAATATCCGGCTGTTGCCTTCCAGTGCAATCACATGAACAGTGTTGGATTCTCCCAGCCACAATGTGTGATACATGTACAGGACACTGCCTGTCAGGGATCTCTACCAAGCCCTCATGGCCAGGGGTTTTGCGAGGTTGGTCTTGTATGTATTGAGGACTTGAGTGGCTGACATTAGGTATCAAGTCTCCTGCCCCCTCTGGAGGTCAAACTGATACAGCGAGATCCAAGGTCCCTACCATACATCACATTGTCAGCAGACTGTCGGGCATCGCTGAGGCTCCAGGAATTCAAAGACACTGTTTCCAGGCAGAATACTACCAAAGCACACAGCTCATCTTCCAGGAACTGGCTGAGGTCTTGTTTTTCTTCTAAAAGATACAGAGACCCTGCCTTCCCCAAGCTAATGAGTATACGCTTTACTGCACAGGGGTTCCCTCAGTCTGGAGGCCCACAATTCAGGCCCAACTCAGGCCAGAATACCAAGGGCAGCAGTCCCACCAGCACCATTACAACAGTGACCTCCCTTTGTATACAACACCCCAAAATAAAAGACGAATCATGGAGAGTCAGGGAGCTTTGTGCCAGGGTCACTTCCCAGGGTTCAGTCGGCAACTGCCAGAACGTTCCCTGGGAAGGACCCATGGAAACCCAGGACTGAGCCATCACCCTCAGCCTCCATCACCTCACCATGGGACTGGCCACCTCTCCAAGTCCTCGAGGATGCTGCTGTCCAGATGCCTGACCAGTGACAAGTTTCCACTTGGGGCCAGGCTGGAGCTTGAGGATGATGCTTGTCTGGGCTCCCACCCTAGGGCCATCCTCCCGGTGGCTGGGTCAGGCAGGGCCATGCATGAGCCCTGTGGGCAACAGGCCTGTCCTAGGAACAAGGGTCAACCTTGGACCCATGAGGCACTGGGGTGAACAGAGGAGGTGGTGGCATGGGTGGCTGAGAGTTAGAGACTCTGACCCTAGTCCTGGCTCTGCCACTGTCCCATGTGACCCTGGGCCTGCCCCTCCCCACCCTGGGCTTCTGTTTCCTTCTGCCAGTGAGAAGGCTGCTTCAGGTGTCCTGAGTCCTGTCTTTCTGCTCTGCCTTCTGGGGCTTTGGCCCTTGCTGGTCTGGAGCTGGAGCCCCCACCGAGGGCAGGGACCACTGTCCCCCACATCTGTCAGCACCACAACTGGCTGGGCTGGGCAGGCAGTGCTCAAGGTTTCTAACGAGCATCTGCTTACCTGAGTCCTGGGCAGACCCTCTTAGGGGACAGCCTGGAGCAGAGAACCACAGACACTCAGAGAAGCCACCCGAGGCCTCCCTGACAGTGGTTCCTGCCAGCATTTCTGTAAATGCCCTCATGCCAGGGTGCAGCCCAGCTGTCAGCACAAAAGGGACATTGGCCTGTCCCCTGGCACTGAGTCAGTAGGCCAGCCAGGGTCCCCTTGGGCCACTCCAGAGACAATGCACTGTGGTGGCAGGGTGTGCTGTTCCTGCAGCTGTGGGACACAGAGTGTGGATGAGGCCAGACTGGGTTTGTCTGAAGATGGAGGCCCCAAAAGGCGGCAGCCAGGCCTATAGCAGCAGCAGCAGCTCTTGGATTTCTGGCTTTTTTTTGTTGTTTGGGAGGCTCAGGCAGGAGAACCGATTGAACCCAAGAGGTGGAGACTGCAGTGAGCCAGCCTGGTGACAGAGTGAGACTCCATCTAAAAAAAAAAAAAAAAAAAAAAAAGTTATAAAAAGGAACCAAATGAAAATTCTGGAGTTGTAAAATAACTGAAATGCAAATTCATCCCAGGGGCCCAAGAGTAGATGAGAACAATTGGAAGAAGGAGTTGGTGACTGTGGAGAGAGGCCACCTGAGATAGTCCCCTCTGAGGAACAGGAACAAGAATGAAGAGCAATGCACGGACATCCAGAGACCTGGAGACGCTGCCAAGTTTACCAGCATACATGCAACGGGAGTCCCAGGAAAGAAGACAGGGAGAAAGGGCTAGAAGAATTAATGGCTGAAAACCTCCCAAATTCAATGAAGAACATTAATCTGTACATCCAAGAAGCTCAACACACTCCAGATAGAATAAACTCAGAGATCTTCAGCCATATGCATCATAATCACAGTCAAAAGACAGATTTTTTTTTTTTTTTTTTGAGACCAAATCTCATTCTGTCACCAAGGCTGGAATGCAGTGGCGTGATCTCAGCTCACTGCACCCTCCACCTCCCGAGTTAAAGCACTTATCTGCCTCAGCCTCTCAAGTGGCTGGGATTACGGGTGCTTACCACCACACCCAGCTAATTTTTGTTTTTTAGTAGAGACAGGGTTTCACCATCTTGGCCAGGCTGGTCCTGAACTCATCACCTCAGGTGATCCACTCACCTTGGCCTCCCAAAGTGCTGGGATTATAGGCCTGGGCCACTGCACCCAGCCTCTTTTTTTAGAATTTTAAATGTACCTTTTAATTTGCTCTTGAGACTAGGAGGCAGGATTGGTACTAGTGTGTCTGGGATCAGAAGAATTTAATAATGTGGGATTAGGTCAAACGGCTGGGTTGGGGGAGGCAACCTGCTCAGGAGGTTCTGCCTCAGCCTTTCCATCCAACAGGACCTCCACCCTCCCTGTCCATAGGACCACACCTGGAACCCAGAGCCATCTGCTGTTGCCCAGATCATGGCCAACAGCACTCTGCCAGACTGCGGCTGGAGCACGAACAGGATTAGCTGTGGAGGGCCATGGCCTGGCCCAGCTCATAGCCTGCACCCAAGGATGGCTGTTTCACTTCTGCCACGACCACATTAGCCTGCAGCAGCCACGCCAAGTACTGTTCATGGATAAGCCTGTCACCCCCAGCAGCCTTATCAACCCCGGGTCAAGCTCCATGGCCACGATGTGCTCGGTGAGCACGGGCTCCAAGCATAGCAGCCACCACTCAGTCCTCCTGTACAGCACCTACTCCTCCCGTCCTCAGTGGATGATCCGGCAGAAGTCCAGGGCCTGGCAGCCACCCTCCCACAAAAGACAGGATTTTGAAAGCAGCAAAGAGCAGAGACATATTGGCCAGGCTCAGTGGCTCGGGCCTAATCACAGCACTTTGGGAGGCCTGAGTGGGAGGATCACTTGAGCCCAGGAGTTCAAGACTAGCCTGGACAACTTGGCAGAACCTTGTCTCTGTAAAAAAAAAAAATACAAAAATTAGCAGGGGCTGAGCACGGTGGCTCATGAATGTAATGCCAGCACTTTGGGAGGCTGAGGAGGGTAGATCCCCTGAGGCCAGGAATTCAAGACCAGCCTGGCCAACATGGTGAAACCCCATCTCTACTGAAAATACGATAAATTAACCGGGTGTGGTGGCAGGCACCTATAATCCCAGCTACTCCAGAGGCTGAAGCAGGAGAATCGCCTGAATCCAGGAGCCAGAGATTGTGCCATTGTACTCTACCCTGGGTGACAGAGCAAAATTCCATTTCAAAAAAACAAAGTGGGGGGAGTGCCAGGCATGACGGCTCACCCCTAGTATCCCAGCACTTTGGGAGGCCAAGGCGGGTGGATCACCTGAGATCAGGAGTTCGAGAACAGACTGGCCAACATGGTGAACCCTGTCTCTATTAAAAATATAAAAAAAAGAAATCAGGCTTGGTGGCGGGCCCCAGTAATCCCAGCTACTCCTGAGGCTGAGGCAGGAGAATCTTGAACCCAGGAGGCAGAGGTTGCAGTGAGCCGAGATCACGCCACTGCACTCCAGCCTGGGCAACAAAAGCAAAACTCCACCTGAAAGGAACAAAAATTAGCTGGGCTTGGTGGTACCTGTAGTCTCAGCTACTTGGGGGGCTGAGGTAGGAGGTCCGCTTGTGGTCAAGACTGCAGTGAGCCATGATCCTGCCACTGTACTCCAGCCTGAGCAACAGAGGGAGACCCTGTCAAAAAAAAAAAGCCACATATCATGAACAAAGGATCCTCCATAACATAACCGCCAGATTTTTTTTTTTTTTTTTTTTTGATACAGAGTTTTACTCTTGTTGCTCAGACTGGAGTGCAATGGCCCCATCTTGGCTCACCACAACCTCCGCCTCCTGGGTTCAAGTGATTCTCCTGCCTCAGCCTCCTGAGTAGGTGGGACTACAGGTGTGTGCCACCACAACCAGGTAATTTTTTGTATATGTTACCACCAAATTTCTAATCAGAGACATGGAGGCCAGAAAGCAGTGCAGGACAGCGGCCCTCAGGAAGCCACTGGAGGATGTCTTCACAGGCTGGGGCAAGGGCCTTCAGACTACCAACTGGGAGTCTGGGAACAGCCCCGTTGCAAGAGAGAGGCCATGGCCAGGCTGGAGCCCCGGAATGTGGGCTCGGCTGGGAGCCAGGTGACAGCCTTGAGCCTCAGCCTCACTGGGACCAGCCTCTGGACAGGAGAGGCCAGGCATGGCTGAGAAGCAGGGTACTTGGTGCTGTGTGTGTGTGTGTGTGTGTGTGTGTGTGTGTGTGGTGAGAATGCATGTACTCTGAGTGTGAGTCTGTGTGCATGTGAGCATTGTCTGCATGTGGGTGGATTTGTGGGTATGTGAATATATCCCTGCACATGTGAACAAGGGGACGAGAGTCTGGGAGTGTAGAAGAGGTGTGTGCACCATCAGGCATGTGTGTAGCGTCTGTGCATGTCAAGAGAGGAGTGTGAAGTGAAGGGACCAGGTCTGTGCGCCTCTGATCATCATGAACTCCCAAGGCCCCAGGTGAGTGCCAGTGACAGACAAGGGTGGTGAAGGCCACTCTGGAACCGGCAGGTTGGGTGAGGGAAGGGCAAGATCTGGAGGAGGGTATTGTGACCACAAAAGGCACATGAGCCTAGCAGGGAGGCAGATGGCAGGGTCCTCTGAGACCCTGGTTATTCCAGAAGACTGTGAGGGCTTGAGGAGTTGGGAGGAGTGACTTCTCCCACCAGTCCCCTCCACCACCCTACCCTGGGTAAACAGCTGGGACAAGGACCTTTGGTGCGGCCCCTACCTGCCCTGGCCTGACCCTGAACCCACTGGCTGCACATTCAACAGAGCAGGTTGGCTCACAGCAGAGGGCAGAGGCCATCATCAGCTCCCTTTATAAGGGAACAGTCACACACTCGGTATGCTGAGAGTGTCCTGCCTGGTCCTCTGTGCCTGGTGGGGTGGGGGTTCCAGGGGTGTCCAGAGGAGTTCAGTGGGCAGCGAGGCAGCCATGGGGCTGGATGCACTGGTGCCCCTGGCCGTGACAGTGGCCATCTTCGTGCTCCTGGTGGACCTGATGCACCGGCGCCAACGCTGGGCTGCACGCTACCCACCTGGCCCCATGCCACTGCCCGGGCTGGGCAACCTGCTGCATGTGGACTTCCAGAATACACCAAACAGCTTCAACCAGGTGAGGGAAGAGGGCCTGGATGACGGCAGAGGTCCTGAGCATCCCCCACCAGCAGCAAACATGGGTGGTGGGTGAAGCCACAGGCTGGACCAGAAGCCAGGCTGCAAAAGGGAAGCAGGTTTGGGGGACTTCCTGGGGGAGGGCATTTGTACACGGCCTGAAGGATTAGATTTTCTGAATGCCAAGGAAGAGTAGGGCAAGGGCCTGCAAGTGGGGCTGGACTTGGCAGTGGTTGTGCAAGCCCGCTGGGCAGCATAGACTCTGGAGCACAAAGTCCCCTCTGGTGACAGCAGAAGGAAAGGCCTTAGGAACGGGAAAGGGTTCAGGGTCCTGAGCGACGTTTAAATCAGGAAATCAAGGATGAAGAGGACGCAGTGACCTGGTTCAAGCCTTTTGCACTCTGCATTCCTCGGCCTCACTGCTCACCAGTATGGAAGATCATCTGTGAAATGGGATGCTAACTGGGGCCTGTCTGCAATTTCAGTCACTCTTGCAAGGTCATACCCAGGTGACATCTAAACTGAGTTCCTGCGTTATAGAAGTTGTGACCCCCATCCCTGCCCTAGGATCAGGAGGCTGAGTCTCCTCCTTCCACCTGCTCACTCCTGGTAGTCTAGGGGGACCCTGGCTTGACGAAGGCCCTGACCCTCCCTTTGCAGCTGAGGCGCCGCTTTGGGGACGTGTTCAGCCTGCAGCTGGCCTGGACACCGGTCGTCGTGCTCAACGGGCTGGAGGCCGTGCGTGAGGCACTGGTGACCCGCGGTGAGGACACCGCCGATCGGCCGCCTGTGCCCATCACCGAGATGCTGGGCTTCGGGCCCCACTCCCAAGGCAAGCGGTGGTGGGGACGCAGACTGTGTTTCCGCGGGACTCGGGTGGGCGGTAACCGTAGCCCCAGCTGGGCCGAGAGGGCTTGGGGTTGTGAATGTGAAACACAGAAAGGCCAGCGAGTGGGCTGCGGACAGCGGGGACACCACCTGATCTGGGGAGGTACGAGAGTGTGGGCGGGGCCACTGCCCAGAACCACCTGGAGCTGGGTGGGCGGGGCCGGAGCCTTTCCCAGTTGAAGTGGGTGTCTGGGGGGCTGCGCATGTCCTTCGGGCTCAGTGTGAGTGGGGCCGGTCCGGCGGGATCTTCCCTGAGTGGAAAGGCGGTCAGCGTAGACAGAGCCAAGTAGGGAGTCAAGCCCTGCCCCAGGCAGGGGAGTGCAGGCAAGCAAGACGGATGAGCAGAGTGGACCCTGTGCCCACCTGGACGGGGCGAGGCAGTGCGGGAGACTAAAGGGAGCGTAGGGTTGGAGTGGGCGGTACAGGGCCAAGGCCTTCATGCCCATGCTCACGTGTCCATCTGGTCCCCAGGGTTGTTCCTGGCGCGCTACGGCCCTGCCTGGCGAGAGCAGAGACGCTTCTCCGTGTCCACCTTACGCAACTTGGGCTTGGGCAAGAAGTCTCTGGAGCAGTGGGTGACCGAGGAGGCCACCTACCTCTGTGCTGCCTTCGCAGACCACGCCGGTGCGTGATGGGCAGAGGGGCGCAAGGCGGGAACTGGGAAGGTGGGGAACAGGAAAAGTGAGCGCTGCTCCACATCTTCTGCCCCCAGGACGCCCCTTTCGCCCCAACGGCCTCCTGGACAAAGCGGTGAGCAACGTGATCGCGTCCCTCACCTGCCGGCGCCGCTTCGAGTATAATGACCCTTGCCTCCTCAGGCTGCTGGACCTAACAATGGAGGGATTGAAGGAGGAGTCCGGCTTACTACGCGAGGTACGGAGCCAGGGACTGGGGGCGTCTGCAGGGTGAGCTCCTGAGAGATGCCCGGGCTGCAGCGGGCTTCCGAGGAGCAGGGTTTGCAGAGGGGTTTGGGAAAGGACATTCCAGGAGAGCCCACTGCAAGAGGAAAGGCCTGGAGGAGGAGTGGAAATCTCAGACAGGGTCGTGGGAGAGGTGTGTGTGGGTCAGGGGTTCCAGGTTAGGGGGCACTAAGAGAGGCCAAGGACCCTGTGCCTCCTGTCCACATTGGAGAATTTGATTTTAGATTTCTCCTCTGTCAGCCCAAGGTAAGGAGAGAGCATGGAGGCTGGCACTTGGGGAGGGACTTGGGAAGGTCAGTGGTGGGGACAGGCAGGCCCTGGGTCTTCCCTGGCGAGGGCTGGGGCCTGAGACTGGTCCAGGAGAAGGCAAAGCACAGGAGAAATCAAGATCCTGTTCTGTGTCTGGTGCAGGTGCTGAATGCCATCCCTGTCCTTCTGCGCATCCCGGGGCTGGCTGGCAAGGTCTTACGCTCCCAAAAGGCTTTCCTGGCCCAGCTGGATGAGCTGCTGACTGAGCACAGGATGACCTGGGACCCAGCCCAGCCACCCCGAGACCTGACTGAAGCCTTTCTGGCAGAGATGGAGAAGGTGGGAGCAGCTGCCAGGGTGGGGAGCAGGGATGGTGGGTTGAGGGTCCAGAGAACAATGAGGAGTGGCCAGGCAAAAGTTGGGGCTGGTGCATCACCCTGCAAGCAGCACCTGGGTTGACTTGTCTCCTGAGTACCCTCTTGGCCCTGCTCAGACCAAGGGGAACCCTGAGAGCAGCTTTAATGATGAAAACCTGCACCTAGTAGTAGCTGATCTGTTCTCTGCCGGGATGGTGACCACCTCCATCACGCTGGCCTGGGGCCTCCTGCTGATGATCCTTCACCCAGATGTGCAGCGTGAGCCCAGCTGGAGCCCAGTACGGGGTGGGGGGTGGGCGAGGGAGGAAGGGTACAGGCGGGTACTCTGAGCTTAGCTGGGACACCTGGGGCTCCAAGCACAGGCTTGGCCAGGCTCCTGTAAGCCTGACCTCCTCTAATACAGGAGGCAGGAAGGGATGCTCAGGGCCAGTCCAGTGGGTGCTGACCCATTGTGGGGACACGTCTGCCCAGGCCGTGTCCAACAGGAGATCGACGACGTGATAGGGCGGGTGCGGCGACCAGAGATGGGTGACCAGACTTACATGCCCTACACCACTGCTGTGATTCACGAGGTGCAGCGCTTTGCGGACATCGTCCCCCTGGGTGTGACCCACATGACATCCCGAGACATTGAAGTACAGGGCTTCCTCATCCCTAAGGTAGGCCTGGGGCCCTCCTCACCCAGCTCAGCACCAGCACCAGCGTCAGGTGGGTGCTCCAGCATGGGCACTACCAGGTGGGCCCAGTCTGGGACCCCTGGCCTCCCGAACCTCAAAGCCACCACACTGATTGTGGGGTCTCCAGCAGAGTCAGAGCTATCCTGTCCATCAAGAGCCTGTCTAGTGGGGAAGACAGACCAGGCCCTGCCAAAATGTTGGAGGACCCCACACCTGTAGGGAGAGGGGGCAGTGTGGGCACCCCCAGGAGATGTGACTGGGACCTGCTATGGGGTCAGAGTGGGTGCCCAGGAGCTTCTTAGATGAAGAACTAGAGTTGAGCATCGTAGAGCCCAGTCCCCACTGCCACCCTGCATCTCCTGCCCAGGGGACAACGCTCTTCACCAACCTGTCATCGGTGCTGAAGGATGAGGCCAACTGGGAGAAGCCCTTCCGCTTCCACCCTGAACACTTCCTGGATGCCCAGGGCCGCTTTGTGAAGCCAGAGGCCTTCCTGCCTTTCTCAGCAGGTGCCTGTGGGGTGCCTGGCTCCCTGTCCCTTCCATGGAGTCTTGCAGGGGTATCGCCCAGGACCCATGCTCACTGAGGCCCCTCCCCTACCCACAGGCCGCCGCGCATGCCTCGGGGAGCCCCTGGCCCGCATGGAGCTCTTCCTGTTCTTCACCTGCCTGCTACAGCGCTTCAGCTTCTCTGTGCCCGCTGGACAGCCCCGGCCCAGCCCTCACGGTGTCTTTGCTTTCCTGGTGACCCCTTCCCCTTATGAGCTTTGTGCTGTGCCCCGCTAGAACAGGGTACCTAGTCCTCAGCCTGCTCCCTAGCCAGGGGCCCTGGTGTGCAATAAAGCAATGTGGTAGTTCCAACCTGGGTCCCCTGCCAGACCGTGATGGGCCTCGAGGCCTCCCGAGGGCAGCCCCACCCTGCCTCATTCCTGCTTACCCCAACGCCTGGCCTGGCCATGTTTGAGACAGGGGTGTGTGGAGATTGAGCATGTGTCAGCTGGCCTTGGCCCTAATCCCGTCCCCCACTGACCCATCTCTGACTGGTGACACGAACTGTACGTTGTCCCAGCTTCTAGGGAAGGGGCCAGAGTGGGCTGACTAGAGGTGTTGTCAGTCAGCCCTGGGTGTGGCGGAGAGGGCAGTACTCAGCCTGGAGGCCCACAATTCAGGCCCGACTCAGTCTACCCTACATTGGGGCAGTGGTCCCACCAGCACCATCACAACAGTATATGACACCCCAAAATAAAAGACAAATCATGGAGAGTCAGGGAGCTTTGTGCCAGGGTCACTTCCCAGGGTTCAGTCGGCAGCTGCCAGAACGTTCACTGGGAAGGACCCATGGAAGCCCAGGACTGAGCCATCACCCTCAGCCTCCGTCACCTCACCATGGGACTGGCCACCTCTCCAGCTCCTCAAGGATGCTGCTGTCCAGACGCCTGACCAGTGACAAGTTTCCACTTGGGGCCAGGCTGGAGCTTGAGGAGGATGCTTGTCTGGGCTCCGACCCTAGGGCCATTCTCCCAGTGGCTGGGTCAGGCAGGGCCGTGCATGAGCCCTGGGGGCAACAGGCCTGTCCTAGGAACAAGGGTCAACCTTGGACCCATGAGGCACTGGGGTGAACAGAGGAGGTGGTGGCATGGGTGGCTGAGAATTAATTAGAGACTCTGACCCTAGTCCTGGCTCTGCCACTACCCAGTGTGACCCTGGGCCTGCCCCTCCCCACCCTGGGCTTCTGTTTCCTTCTGCCAGTAAGAAGGCTGCTTCAGGTGTCCTGAGTCCTGTCTTTCTGCTTTGCCTTCTGGGGCTTTGGCCCTTGCTGGTCTGGAGCTGAAGCCCCCACAGAAGGTAGAAACCTCTCTCCCCGTCTGTCCTCAGCACCACAACTGGCTGGGCTGGGCACACCTTTTTAGGGAACAGCCCGGAGCAGAGACTCAGACACTCCGAGAGGCCACCTGAGGCCTCCTTTGCTAGAGAACCCTACAGCCTTCCTGACAGTGGTTCCTGCCAGCACTTCTGTAAATGCCCTCATGCCAGGGTGCAGCCCAGCTGTCAGCACAAGAGGGACACTGGTCTGTCCCCTGGCACTGAGTCCAAAGGCCGGCCAGAGCCTCCTTGGGCCACTCCAGAGACAGTCCACTGTGGTAGCAGGGTGTGCTGTTCCTGCAGCTGTGGGACACAGAGTGTGGATGAGGCCAGACTCGGTTTGTCAAGATGGAGGCCCCAAAAGGCGGTAGCCAAGCCTGCAGCAGCAGCAACTCTTGGATTTACTGGAAACTTTTTCTTTGTGGTTCTGAGTCTTGGGGCTGTCAGAGGCTGGAAGCAGCTCGATCACAAGCATGGGACCCAGTCCCAGGGCCTTTACTCATTACTGTCCTCTTCAGAGGCCTCTACAAAGTAGAAACCGCAGCCTTCTAAGTCCCCTGCTGGGAGCAACCCTCCCTCTGAGATGCCCCAGGTGGGCCAGTTAGCTGTGGTTAAAGGACAGGATGCAGCCAGCTCAGGGGAGTGGCCTGGAGTTCCTGCCAACCCAGGGAGCCTCCCGGGAAGGTCAAGACACCTGACTCCTAGAGGCTGCTCCCCTCCCCAGGTCAGGAAGGTGGGAAAGGGCTGGGGGCTCTGTGACCCTAGCAGTCACTGAGATTAGCATGTTGGATCCACAGTCTTACCAGATGGAGACACAGCAAATTCCTTTGGAACCTGTTTATTTTCCTGGCATGAAGAGGGACCCAGCAATGAGATCAGCCAGGTTCTGTGCGGCAGACAGGGAAACAGGCTCTGTCCACATGAAGTCAGGGGAGGCCAGGATGAGACCCAGTCTGTTCACACATGGCTGCCTCCTCTCAGATCCGCACAGATGTCCTCATTCCCCTAAAATGGCAGCTTGGCCTGCTTGTCTTGAGGTTGAGCCAGCCTCCAGCAGTCCCTCTCTGCCTGCTCCGTTGGACTCATGCTGGAGATGTCCCAGTTGAAGCCCAGGCTGTCCTTACCTCCCAGCCTGGGGTCCCTGCCACCTCCTGGTCAGCAGGAATGGGGCTAGATGCTTCCTCCCATGGGGACTTCACCTGCTCTCCCTCCTGAGACAAGATGGCAGCCTCCTCCTTGGAGAGCAACATCATTCAGTCCTCCAGGTCCCCTGGGGGTCATGAGGCCTCAGAAGCCAAGTGCAGTGGTTCACGCCTGTAATCCCAGCAGTTTGGGAGGCTGAGGTGGGTGGATCACCTGAGGTCAGGAGTTTGAGACCAGCCTGACCAACATGGAGAAACCCCATCTCTACTAAAAATACAAAAAAATTAGCCAGGCGTGGTGGCGCATACCTGCAATCCCAACTGCTCGGGAGGGCTGGACAGGAGAACTGCTTGAACCCGGGTGGCGGATGTTGCAGTGTGACGAGATCGCACCATTGCACTCCAGCCTGTGCAACAAGAGCAAAACTCCATCTCAAAAAAAAAAAAACAACACCTTCAGAACATCTCATCCTCCTCATGTTCTCACACTGGGGTGTCACAGTTCTGGGAAGTTCTTCCTTTACAGTTCGGCTGTGGTAACCTTGTGAGTTTCCTGGAGGGGGCCCACCACTACCCCAGGACTCCCCGCCCTGTGTGTAACTGACCTCCGACAGGAGAGAGCCCCAGCCCAGGGCCTTCTAGGGGAAGCCTTACCTCAGAGGCTGGCTTCTTCTCCCTCCTGTGTTTTTGCAGAGGGAAGTGGGAGGGGTGACACACAGCTATGAGTGCTGAGCAGTCCTTCCGCAACTAGCCCACCCTCTCCAGGTGCAGTCCCCCTTACCGTGTCTGCCAAGGGTACCCAGCACAGCCACCCCACTCCAGGGGAAGAGAAGTGCCTAGCCCTTACCCACCTGAGTGGGCACAAGGTAGCATTTATTCATTAGCCCCCACACTGACCTTACAGTCTCTCCTATGGGCTGCGTGAGAAGCTGAGAAAGGCTGAGGTGAGATCTGTCAAAACCTAAACTTAAAAAATCTAACTGGGCCAAGCACGATAGTTCACACCTATAATCCCAGCACTTTGGGAGGCCAAGGCTGGTGGATCACCTGAGGTCAAGAGTTCGAGACCAGTCTGGTCAACATGGAGAAACCCTATCTCTACTAAAAATACAAAAGTTAGGTGAGCATGTTGGTGCGCGCCTGTAATCCCAGCTACTTGGGAGGCTGAGGCAGGAGAATCGCTTGAACCTGGGAGGCGGAGGTTGCAGTGAGCCAAGATTGCACCACTGTACAATGCAGTGCACTGCACTGCATCACTGCACTCTTAATGCCTGGGCATTAAGAGTGAAACACTCTCAAAAAAAAAAAAATCTATAATTGGCATCTTCAGAAAGATAAAACTTTACATTCATGAAATGAGAACAGGAGGTTCTAAAATAAAATGTTCGCACACTCACCACCACTAATTCTTGATAAAAATATAGTCTCGGTACAGTAGCTCATGCCTGTAATCCCAGCATTTTGGGAGGATAAGGCAGGAGGGCTGCTTGAGTCTAGGAGTTCAAGACCAGCCTGAGCAACATAAGAAGACCCTGTCTCTACAAAAAATTAAAATATGAGCCAGGTGTGGGGGCACACGCCTGTAGTTCCAGCTGCTTGGGAGGCTGAGGTGGGAGGATCACTTGAGTCTGGGAGTATGAGGCTGCAGTGAGCTATGATTATGCCACTGTACTCCAGCCTGGGCAACAGAGACTCTGCCTTAAAAACAGAAAATAAAAGTCGGGTGCGGTGGCTCATGCCTGTAATCCTAGCACTTTGGGAGGCCGAGGTGGGTGGATTGTCTGAGCTCAGGAGTTCGAGACCAGCCTGGGTAACATGGTGAAACCCTAAAAAAAAAAGAAAATAATAGGAATGAAAATCCAAATATATATATATATATATATATATTTTCTTTTTCTCCAGAAAGAAGAGAGATCAGGAGCTCCAACAGCTAAATTGTTGTTTGGATGTTTCTGAAAGAGGCAGAGAAAACAGACTAGGGGACAGGGAGAGATTCAAGTAAGTTTCTTTTTTGTCAAGACAATTTCTCAGAGAAAGGAACACCAAGTGTTCAGGACAATGGATGAAGGGGACCCAGCCCAGATTTTGTTGTCAATAAATTGCAGAACATGGAGGACAAAGAGTGGAACCTAAACACTTCCAGAGTTATAAACAAAAAGTTCATCAAACTTCCTAACACCAACCTTTGAAGCTATAAGTAATGAGGATCTTCAAAATCTGAGAGAAAATATTTCCAATCTAGAATTCTATACCTAGCCAAATGCTATGGAAGGATGAATTAAGACCTTTTCAGATACATAAATGTCTCAAGACTACCCCTGTCTCTCTGTCTGTCTCTCTCTCCCTCTGCCTAAATCTCAATGTCAGTGTTGCTCCATGTCCTGCTGCTGACAACAGAGACTCTGAACTTTCACCTCAGACACTCTCACTTCTAGGCCTTTGCACATGCTGTTCTCTACCTAGAACGTGCTTCTCCATGGCTTTCGGGAAGGCTTCCCTCACTGCCCGAGGTCACGTAGGGTAGCCCTCTTCAGTGCTTTTAGGGTACTGTACCATCTCCTGACTGAGAGACCACTTTAGGCCCATCCACTGTCAAATCCCCAGTAGCTGCCCTCATGGGACACAGCAAGAGCTCAGTAACCAAATGAACAAATGATTACATGACTGTGGCTCATCCTAGCACTTAAAGCCCTGATCAGACTTGAAAAGTTGCTGTCCCTTACTCAGAGCCCTGCTAGCAATATATTTAATAGTAAGCTTTGTTAGTTATCTAAAACTCGGTGTGAGTGAAGTTATCAGGTTTTTTTGTGGGAGGAGGTTTAGAGGAGGAAAGGAGAGGAATGAGTCCTAAAGGAGAGGAGAGGGGCAAAAGGACATGCCAAGCAGGAACGGATGCAGAAAAGGTAGGCTTGGGGTAAAAAAAAATTCATCTGCTTGGGTGGTTTATTGAGTGCAGCCTTTTAGGCCTGCTGGCCAAAGAGGCCAACCTTGATGAAGCTAGTGATTTTCAGAGAATCCTTTACCATATCAGTGTCAGGCAGCTTATCTACCTCCTCTTGGGCTCTAGGACCAAACCCGAGAAGAGCACTGGAGCCCAGCTAAGTCTGGGAGTCCAGTGCACAGGCCCCCCATTTTGCAGGGAGAGTGGTGTCTATGTGTGACATCGTGTCTTAGGGGGCTTTATGACAGGACAACCTCTTCAACCTTGGCCAGAACAGCTTGTCAAATGCCTCAGGGTGGCTTTAAATCCCCAGTAGTGAGAGGCAGCTCCTTTGTACATATCTGGTTGGTTCAATTCAGCACAAACAGTGCTAACCGAGCAGCCACAATGTGCCAAGCTCTGTGTGAAGTCCCATAGAGACACAAAGGCGTGTAAGACTCAGTCTTTTTGTTTTTGAGACAGAGTCTTGATCTGTTGCCCAGGCTGGCGTACAGTGGCACTCCAGGCAACGTCTGCCTCACAGGTTCAAGAGATTGTCATGCCTCAGGCTCCCAAGTAGCTGGGATTATAAGCACGTATTACCATGCCGAATTTTTTGTATTTTCAGTAGAGACAGGGTCTCATCATGTTGGCCAGGCTGGTCTCAAACTCCTGGCCTCAAGTGATCCACCCGCCTTGGCCTCCCAAAGTATTGAGATTACAGGAGTAAGCCACTGCACCCAGCCAAAACTCAGTTTTATTGCATAACACAGTAAGCATATTTTCTAAATCAAAAACCAGAACACAGCCTAACAACTAAATGTCATCCATCAATCCATTCATTCAACCAGTGTCTGCTGAGCTTCCATTTTGGACCAAGCATTATGCTGAGAGAATCGAAGGTCAACAAAACATAGAGCTTCCCCTTGACCTCGAAGACTTCAGACATCTTATGGTTCAAGACAGTAACTTCTACCTTCCTCCAAATTTCTGTAAATGAAACAATAATTACAAATCTATGGGTGGTTGAAACTGAGGAATGGATGCCTCAGTTTCATATACACATAAAACATTCACCAAGATAGGCCAGGTTCTGGACCACAAAACAAATCTCAATAGATTTTAAATTTATTTCAAGTATGTCCTTCAACCACTGTGGCATTAAAAATTAGAAATCAGTAACCAAAAGATTCCTGGAAAGGAGTCTGAACTCAGACTCGCCTAACCCTGCCCCCACCTGACGGTATTTCTCTACCGGTCCTGGTAACTGATCCAAAAGCCATAAACTCTTGGGAGCTTTATGGCCATCACCTGAAAAACCTTAATTACTTATCCTGGCCAACTCAGGGCAAGCTTATATCCCCCTTCTCGGATTGCAGCTGGTGCTCTCTTGAAAGCACCACCACCTGGCTGGAGGTCAACCGAGTCAGGGAATTATAGCAACTCACAACAGAATAACCCTGTTCCAAGGAAGAAGAATATAACAGCTAATTCCACTGCCTGCAACACCCTGGCAAACCAGAGGTCCTGAGTCTGTCCAAGTGACAACTTCACTGCTAGCACAACCAGCATTTGAGAAAGCCAGCACACTAAACAAAGCAAGGACCCTCACACTTACACTCTACTTTACTCCCCTCCCACCTCCACCAGAGCAGGTGAAGATGGATCACATCACAGGACTCTTTGCAGGCATTCCCCAGACAGCCTGGAACCTGGTAGCCCCACTGAGTGGCTGGACCCAGAAGAGCAATGGTAGTCACTGCAGTCTGGCTCCCAGGAAGTTCCATTCCTAGGGGAAGGGGGAGCCCATCACATGAAGGAGTCACTCTGTGGGACAAAAGAGTCTGAACAGCAGCCCTTGAGTTCCAGATTTTTCCCCTGAAATAGTCTATACAAATGAGAAGAAATCAGAAAAGTAATGTATAATATGATAAAACAAAGTTCTGGGCCAGGCGCGGTGGCTCAAGTCTGTAATCCCAGCACTTTGGGAGGCCAAGGTGGGTGGATCACGAGGTCAAGAGATCGAGATCATCCTGGTCAACATGGTGAAACCCCGTCTCTACCAAAAATACAAAAAATTAGCTGGGCATGGTGGCGTGTGCCTGTAATCCCAGCTACTCAGGAGGCTGAGGCAGGAGAATTGCCTGAACCCAGGAGGCGGAGGTTGCAGTGAGCCGAGATCGTGCCATTGCACTCCAGCCTGGGTAACAAGAGCAAAACTGTCTGAAAAACACAAAACAAGGTTCTATAACACCCCGAAAAGTCCATACTAGCTCCCCAGCAATAAATCCAAATCAAGAAGAAATCTCTGAATTGCCAGATAAAGAATTCAGAAGGTAGATTATTAAACTACTCAAGGAGATACCAGAGAAAGGTGAAAACTAACATAAAGAAATTTAAAAATTAATACAGGCTTTGGATTGGTCAGGGGTGGTGGCTCACACCTGTAAACCCAGCACTTTGGAAGTCTGAGGTGGGCAGATCACTTAAGGTCAAGAGTTTGAGACCAGCCTGGTCAACAAAGTGAAACCCCATCTCTACTAAAAATACAAAAATCAGCCAGGCATGGTGGTACGCACCTGTAATCCCAGCTACTCGGGAGGCTGAGGCAGGAGGATTGCTCAAACCCAGGAAGCAGAAATTGCAGTGAGCTGAGATTGCACCACTGCACTCTAGTCTGGGCGACAAAGTGAGACCCTGTCTCAAAAAAACCAAAAACAAAAAGTGAAAAACAACAACAAAAAATACAGGCTATGGATGAAAAATTCTCCAGAGAAATAGATATTATAAAGAAAAAACAATCACAATTTCTGGAAATGGAAGACACACTTAGAGAAATACAAAATGTACTGGAAAGTGTCAACAATTGACTAGAACAAGTAGAAGAAAGACCTTCAGAGCTTGAAGACAAAGCATTTAAAGTAACTCAACCAGACAAAGACAAATTAAAAAAATGAACAAAGCCTCCAAGAAATTTGGGGTTATGTTAAACAGCCAAACCTAAAAACAATTGGTGTTCCTGAGGAAGAAGACAAACCTAAACGTTTTGAAAGCTTATTTGAGGAAGTAATCAGCGGAAAGTTCCTTGGCCTTGCCAGAGATTTAGACATCCAAACACAAGAAGCTCAAAGAACACCTAAAAAATTCATTGCAAAAAGATCACAAGTCAGGCACACAAAGGCACACAGTCATCAGGTTATCTAAAGTCAAGATGAAGCGAAGGATCTTAAGAGGGATGAAGTGAAAGCATCAGGGAACCTATAAAGGAAAACCTATCAGATTAACAGCAGATTTCCCAGCAGAAACCCTATAAGCCAGAAGTGATTGGGGTCCAATCTTTAGCCTCCTCAAACAAAATGACTGCCAACCAAGAATTTTGTATCCAGCAAAACTAAGCTTCATAAATGAAGGAGAGATAAAGTCTTTTTCAGACAAACAAATGCTGAGAGAATCTGCCACTACCAAGCCAGAACTACAAGAAATGCCAAAGAGTTCTAAATCTTGAAACAAAAATAGAATCTCCTTTCAGTATATATCTCACAAGGCCTATAAAACAGTAACACAATTTTTTTTTTTTGAGACGGAGTTTTCACTGTTGTTATCCAGACTGGAGTGCAATGGCACGATCTCAGCTCACCGCAACCTCCACCTTCTGGGTTCAAGCAATTCTCCTGCTTCACCCTCCCGAGTAGCTGGGACTACAGGCGTGCACCACCATGCCCAGCTAATTTTTATATTTTTAGTAGAGACAGGGTTTCACCTTGTTGACCAGGATGGTCTCGATCTCTTGACAGCATAATCCACTTGCTTCAGCCTCCCAAAGTGCTGGGATTATAGGCATGAGTCACTGTGCCCGGCCAACAATAACATAATTTTTAAAAACCCAAGGTATTCAGGCAACTATCACTATGAATAAAACAGTATCTCACATCTCAATATTAACATTGAATGTAAATGACTTAAATGCTCCACTTAAAAGATACAGAATGGCAGAATGGACGAAATTCACCAACCAAGTATCTGCTGTCTTCAAGAGACTCGCCAAATGCATAACGACTCATATAAACTTAAGGTAAAGGGGTAGAAAAAGATATTCCATGCAAATGGAAACCAAAGTGAGCAAGAGTAGCTATTCTTATGTCACCCAAACAGACTTCAAAGCAGTGACAGTTAAAAAAGAAAAAAAGGGATAGCCTCCCGGGTTCCCCAAACCAATGTCTCCGCCATCTGCTCTGCAGCACCGCCATGGCCAATGTGGAAGACGGCGAGGAACCCTGTGCCTTGGCCTCTCACTCCGGGAGCTCAGGCTCCAAGTCGGGAGATGACAAGATGTTCTCCCTCAAGAAGTGGGACGCGGTGGCCATGTGGAGCTGGGACGTGGAGTGCGATACGTGTGCCATCTGCAGGGTCCAGGTGATGGATGCCTGTCTTAGATGTCAAGCTGAAAACAAACAAGAGGACTGTGTTGTGGTCTGGGGAGAATGTAATCATTCCTTCCACAACTGCTGCATGTCCCTGTGGGTGAAACAGAACAACTGCCCTCTCTGCCAGCAGGACTGGGTGGTTCAAAGAATTGGCAAATGAAGTGGTTAGAAGGCTTCTTAGTGCAGTTGTTCAGAGCCCTGGTGGATCTTGTGCCCTACAAAGAAAGGCTAGAACACTCCAGGGGATTAATTCTTCAAATAGGAGTCGATGGATGTGTGGTCCTTTGGGACTCATCAAAGGCTTTGTTCAGCATTTTGTCAGTTTGATTTTCAGAAATTCTCTGCAATTAAGAAGATAATTTATTAAAGATGGTCCTTCCTACCTCTGTGGCGTGTGTCGCACACACAGCTTAGAAGTGCTATAAAAATGGAGAGAACTTCAGATTGAATCACCTTTATAATTTACCCATTTCTATACAACCGGCTGTGGAAGCAGTTTCATTCAGAAAACTTTGCATGCTTATGGTTGATCAGTTAAAAAAGAATGTTACAGTAACAAATAAAGTGCAGTTTAAAACCCAACTTCTATTAATTTGTTCCTAATATGTATTTTTGGCAGTGATAGAGAGCAGTCCATGAAATCTTGATGTGATATGAGGATTTTAAGTTAGGGCCAGTGAGCAGGATAAATAAAATTTAACTTTTGGGCATATGGGGAAAAAAAAAAAAGGCCAGGCACAGTGGCTCATGCCTGTAACCCCAGCACTTTGGGAGGCCGAGGCGGACAGATCACAAGATCAGGAGATCAAGACCATCCTGGCCAACATGGTGAAACCCCATCTCTCCTAAAACACAAAAAAATTAGCAGGGTGTGGTGGTGCACACCTGTAGTCTCAGCTACTCAGGAGGCTGAGGCAGAAGAACTGCTTGAACCCAGGAGGTGGAGATTGCAGTAAGCTGAGATTGCACCACTGCGCTATAGCCTGGGCAACAGTGCTAGACTCTGTCTAAAAAAAAAAAAAAGACAAAAAGGGACATTATATAATGATAAAAAAATCATTCCAACAGGAAAATATCACAATTCCAAATACATATGCATCTTAACACTGGAGTTCCCAGTATATGTAACAATTATTAACAGACGTAAGAAATGAGATAGACAGGCCTCATAAACACAGATCCAAGTATTAAAATCTTATCACATTGAAAATAATATGTAAATATATACATTATATTTACATATTATAATGCAAGGAATGGTTCAAATTTAAAAACCAATAAATGAAATTTACCATGTTAACAGACTGAAGAAAAACTACATGATTATCTCAATAAATGCATAAAATATATTTCACAAAATCAACATCTGTTCCCGAAATAAAAAAAATTCCCAGCAAACTAGGAGTTCATGGAAACATTTTCAATCTGATGAAGGGCATCTGAGAAAAACCTGTAGCTAGCAACATATACTCAGTAGTAAAATATTAAATGCTTTGCTTCTAAGTTCAGAAATGTCTTAAATTTATTTATTTTATTTATTATTACTATTATTTTTGAGACAGAGTTTCACTCTTGTCACTTGGGCTGGAGTACAATGGTGTAATCTCAGCTCACTGCAACCTCCGCCTCCCAGGTTCAAGACATTCTCCTACCTATGTCCTAAGTAGCTAAGATTACAGGTGCCCGCCAGCATAACTGGTTATTTTTGTATTTTTAGCAGAGACTGGGTTTCACCATGTTGGCCAGGCTGGTCTCAAAGTCCTGACCTCAGGTGATCTGCCCACCTTCGCCTCCCAAAGTGTCAGAATTACAGGCGTGAGCCACCACACCTAGCCAGAAATGTCTTAAGGCAAAAAATGTCTGGCCTCAATCACTTCTTTTTTATTTTTTTCTTTGAGATGAATTTTTTTTTTTTTTTTTTTTTTTTTTTTTTTTTGAAGCAGAAAGAAAGGGAAAGATGAAGGGAGTGAGGAAAGGAAGGAGGGAAGGAAAGATGGACAGGTGGACAAAACAGTAAATACAGTCTCAGGGACCTGTGACACTATTAATAAAAGATCAGAGTGGGGTGTGATAGCTCATGCCTATAATCCCAGCATTTTGGGAGGCAGGAGGAGGAGGATTTCTCGAGCCCAGGAGTTTGAAACCAGCCTGGACAACATAATGAGATGCCATCTCTACAAAAAAATACAAAAATTAACTGAGTGTGGTGATGCACGGCTATGGTCCCAGCTACTCTGGGGGCTGAGGTGGGAGTAACGCTTGAGCCAGAAGGTCTAGGTTGCAGTGGGCCAGGATTGTGCCACTCTATTCCAGCCTGGGTAACAGAGCAAGACCCTGTCTCAAATAAATGAACAAATAATCAAAGAAAACTTTCCTATTTGGCAAAATGTATAAAACAACAGATTCTGGCCACGTGCGGTGGCTCACGCTTGTAATCCCAGCACTTCAGGAGTCCGAGGCAGGCAGATCACAAGGTCAAGAGATTGAGACCATCCTGGCCACATAGTGAAACCCATCTCTACTAAAAATACAAAAATTAGCTGGGCGTGGTGGTGCACGCCTGTAGTCCCAGCTACTGGGGAGGCTGAGACAGGAGAATCGCTTAAACCTGGGAGACAGCAGTTGCAGTGAGCTGATATCCTGCCACTGTGCTCCAGCCTGGGTGACAGAGTGAGATTCTGTCTCAAAAAAATAAAATAAATAAAAATAAAGAGGCTTAGAGAATTCCAATCAGGTCAAACCTGAAGTTCATACCAAGACACATTATAGTCAAACTTGTGAAAACAAAAACAAAAAAATTTTTTTGAAAACAGCCAGAGGAAAACGTTACTTACATAGAAAAAAAAAAATGTGAATGACAGCTGATTTCTCATCAGAGACAACAGAAGCCAGGAAGAAGTGACACAACATTTTTCAAGTGTTTAAAAGAACTATGAACCAGAATCCCATATCCAACGAAAATGTCCTTCAAGAATGCTGGGGGAAATTGGAAAATCCTCAAAGGAAGGAAAACTAAAAGAATCTGTCATCAACTAATATGCCCAATTGTTTTTTGTTTTTTTTTTTTTAATAAAGGTGCTGATGCATTCAATGGAGGGAAAATGGCTTTTTAAAAAATGGTTCTGGAATAATCAGATATTCATAAGCAAGAAAATGAACCTTGAACTAACTCTCACATTATATACAAAAATTATGAGCAGGTGTGGTGGCTCATGCCTCTAATTCCAGCACTTTGAGAGGCTATGGCGGGCAAATCACTTGAGATCAGGAGTTCCAGACTGGCCTGGCCAACATGGTGAAACCCCGTCTCTACTAAAAATACAAAAATTAGCTGGGTGTGATGGTGTGCACCTATAATTCTGGCTACTTGGTAGGATGAGGCACTAGAATTGCTTGAACTTGGGAGGCAGGGGTTGCAGTGAGTCAAGATCACACCACTGCACTCCAGCCTGGGTGAGGGAATGAGACTGCCCCCCCCCCGCAAAAAAAAATAAATAAATAAAATAAAAATAAAAGACCATGAACTTAAATGTAAATTATCAACCATGAAGGAGAAAATCTTCTGGACTTAGAGCTACATAAAGCATTGTTTGTCTTGACACCAAAAGCACAATCCATAACAGGAAAAATTAAAAAAAAAAATGGATTTCCTCAAAACTAAGCACTTTTGTTCTGTGAAAAGACCCTGTCCAGCCTCCCGGCCAGGTTGGCCGCGGGGCGCTAAGCCGGCCGGGACCCCGCGGCTGAGGTTGTCGTTAGGCATCTCCCAGGCGACCATAGCAAGATGGCGGACGAGAAGGACAGGGAAGAGAGATTGGAACAATTATCAGGTCATTGGGATGCTGCCCTAGTGAAGGAGAGCTGCATGATCTGATTGCAGAGATAGAGGAAGAAGAACCCACTGGATACATTCGATTTGAAAAATTTCTTCCGGTGATGACAGAAATACTACTAGAAAGAAGATACAGACCCATTCCAGAAGATGTCCTTCTTCGAGCCTTTGAGGTTTTAGATACAGCTAACCGTGGGTTTCTTACTAAGAACGAATTGATCAAGTACATGACTGAAGAAGGTGAGCCTTTTTCTCAAGAGGAAATGGAAGAAATGTTGTCTGCTGCAATTGACCCAGAATCAAATTCAATTAATTACAAGGACTATATATCAGTGATGGTGATAGATGAAAATTAAATGTTCTAAAGATAATTTCTAAGTACAAGGACAATTGTAGAAATTGCTTGTCCTTATTAATTTCACATCTTCTCTCACGATTCCTATATGTGATATTTAATACCTTGTGACATAAGTATTTTAAGATACTTTGTTTTTAAGAATGACCATAACACTTTAAAACAAATTAATTATGTCTAGCCTTACAGAATGATATGTTCCTATTTATTTAAAACCAATTCTGTCCAGGCACGGTGGCTCACACCTGTAATTCCAGCATTTTGGGAGGCTGAGGCGGGCGGATCACAAGGTCAGGAGTTCGAGACCAGCCTGGCCCACGTGGTAAACTCCATCTCTACTAAAAAAAACAATAAAAAATTATTGCCAGGCGTGGTGGCAAGTGCCTGTAGTCCCAGCTACTCAGGAGGCTGAGGCAGAAGAATCACTCAAACCCAGGAGGCAGAGGTTGCAATGAGCCGAGATCCTGCCACTTCATTCCAGCCTGGGTGACAGAGTGAGACTCAAAAAAAAAATATTAAAACATTTTAACATTAAAAAAAAAAAAAAAAAAAAAAAAAAAAGACCCTGTCCAGAGGATGAAAAGGCATAGAATGGGAGAAAATATTTGCAAACTACTTATCTGACAAAGGATCTAGAATATATAAGGAACTCCCAAAACTCAAAAGTAAACAATCTAAATAAACAATGTGCAAAAGACATAAAAAAGCACTTCACTAAAGAGAATACATGAATGACTAGAAATAAACTTATAAAAGGATGTTCAATATAACTAGCCATTAAGGAAATGCAAACTAAAACTCCAATGGGAGATCCCTCTACATTACCCAAATGGCTAAAGGTAAAAAGTTGTTACACCAAATGTAGAAGAGGATGTGGAGAAACCGGATTACTCATGAATTGCCAATGAGAATGTAAAATGATACAGTTATTCTGAAAAACAATTTGGCAGTTCCTTTCCTTCTCCCCCACCCCCCCGCCACCCTCAAGATGGAGTCTTGCTCTGTCACCCCAGGCTGGAGTGCAGTGGTAGGATCTCAGCTCACTGCAACCTCCGCCTCCTGGGTTCAAGCAATTCTCCTGCCTCAGCTTTCCAAATAACCAGGATAACAGGCATGTACCACCACGCCTGGCTAATTTTTGTATTTTTAGTTGAGACAAGGTTTCACCATGTTGGCCAGGCTGGTCTTGAACTCCTGACCTTGTGATCTGCTCACCTTGGACTCTCAAAGTGACAGAATTACAGGCGGGAGCCACTGCACCCGGCCAAATTTGGCAGTATCTTAAATAACTAAATATACAATAACCATATGACCCCCTGCACTCTTGGGGAATTATACAGAGAAATGAAGACTTATGTTGACACAAAAGCCGTACACAAATGTTTATAGTAGTTTGATATGAAATAGCCAAAACCAAAACAACCTATATGTTCTTCAAGGGGTGAATGGTTCAACAACCTGCAATGCATCCATACCATGCACTACTACTCAGATATAAAAAGGAATAAAGTAGCTCTTCTGTTTCTCCGAGTGGGTCGGGCCGGGGTTTCTCCGCTTCTTCACGGTGTTCTGCAGTCTCCTGTGGCCACCATGAGCACTGGCACCTTCGTTGTGTCGCAGCCGCTCAATTATCATGGCAGGACCCACGTGGAGCCGGCGGATGCTTCTGGCACGGAGAAGGCTTTCGAGCCGGCAACCGGCTGAGGGATAGCTACTTTCCCATGTTCAGGAGAAAAGGAAGTAAATTTGACTGTTCAGAGTGCAAAGGCTGCTTTTAAAATATGGAGTCTAAAATCTGGTATGGAGCATTGCTGAATCCTTTTGGAGGCTGCCAGAATAGTAAGGGAACGGAAGGATGAAATTGCCACTGTGGAATGCATCAACAACAGCAAGTCCATCTTTGAGGCCTGCTTGGACATCAACACTGCCTGACAGTGCCTGGAGTATTTTGCAGGATTGGCTGCGTCCATGGCTGGTGAACACATCCAGCTCCCAGGCGGATCCTTTGGTTATACCACAAGAGAACCACTTGGGGTGTGTGTGGGAATAGGAGTGTGGAACTACCCCTTTCAGATCACCTCTTGGAAGTCAGCTCCTGTGTTAGCCTGTGGTAATGCCATGGTCTTCAAACCTTCTCCCTTTACACCTGTTTCTGCATTGCTACTGGCTGAAATCTACACTGAGGCTGCTGTGCCTCCTGGGCTCTTCAATGTGGTGCAGGGCGGGGCTGCCACTGGCCAGTTTCTGTGTCAGCATCATGATGTGGCCCAAGTCTCCTTCACTGGAAGTGTGCCCACTGGCATGAAGATCATGGAGATGGCATCTAAAGGAGTCAAACCTGTTACCTAGGAACTTGGAGGCAAATCTCCACTCATCATCTTCTCAGACTGTGATATTAACAATGCTGTGAAGGGGGCGCTGATGGCCAACTTCCTCACACAAGGCCAGGTTTGCTGTAATGGCACAAGATATTTGTGCAGAAAGAAATTCTTGATAAATTTACAGAGGAAGTGGTGAAACAGACCCAAAGGATTAAAACTGGAGATCCCCTTCTGGAAGACACAAGGATGGGTCCACTCATCAACCGACCACACCTGGAGCGAGTCCTTGGGTTTGTTAAAGTGGCAAAGGAGCAGGGTGCTAAAGTGTTATGTGTTGGAGATATATATGCACCTCAAGATCCCAAATTAAAGGATGGATACTACATGAGACCTTGTGTATTAACTAATTGCAGAGATGACATGACCTGTGTGAAAGAAGAGATCTTTCGGCCTGTTATGTCTATTTTACCATTTGAGACTAAAGCTGAGGTTCTAGAAAGAGCCAATGATACCACTTTTGGACTAGCAGCTGGCGTCTTTACCAGGGACATCCAGCGGGCTCATAGAGCGGTAGCTGAGCTTCAGGCTGGAACCTGCTTCATTAACAACTATAACGTCAGTCCAGTGAAGTTGCCCTTTGGTGGATATAAGAAGTCAGGATTTGGCAGAGAGAACGGCTGTGTGACAATTGAATATTATTCACAACTGAAGACTGTGTGTATGGAGATGGGTGATGTGGAATCTGCTTTTTGAAAACCTGCAGTGAAACCTGTTGACATGGCCAGGCTGTGGAATGATGCAGTCGGTCCTGTTGACAGAGGCAGTGCAACTAAATGCCATTTTAAATCCAGAATTTTGGCATTCAAGATAAGAGAATGGTTCATGTTACTCTTTTTCACTAAATCAGCTTCCTCATTGAAAATGTGCCTAAGTGCCTTCATCAAGAAAGTTGTGATATTCCTCAGAGTATATTTTTGTGAACTCTTTAAGTACCAGTAATGTACTTCTAGGGAATAGGAAAGGGGACTATACATCTTCCACACATTTGGCCAGTTGACATTGTTAATTCTCTGGCGTTTTTCAAGGAACTTGGTCCTGGCTGATTCAAGTGCAGTGGTATTTACAACTGATTTCAGCCAGTTTGTAGATTTCTTTGTTCCTTCTCCATTCTCACTTCTTCACTTGACTAGTCTTGGGGAAAAAAAAAAAAAAACTTTTTTTGTAGGTTCCTGGTAGAATCAGTAGAGATGGTTTCAGTTTACTGACATTTTTTAAAACTATATTTCCCTTGTCATTCTATTGTGAAAGCTGACAACCAGGATAGAGAGGGGATTAGATAATAGACGGGTCAAATTCTGTGTGAAACATTAATTTGCCTAGTAAGCGTTTTGTCTCTGTTCACTACTGTGATGGGAAACCTATCTCCCTATCTTGGGTCCTTGAACTACAGCGTGCTGTCTTACACCAGCAGAGCTACGCTTTAAATGTACAAATTACTTGTATGCCAATGTAATATAGTGAAATTAAAACAAATCACACTGTTAAAAAAAAAAAGGAATAAAGTATTTATACGTCACAAGCTTGATGAATCTCAAGAAACTGACGCTGAGTGAAAAAAAAAAAGTGTAGCCAAAAGGTCATATAGTGTATGATTTCATTTATAACATATTCTTGAGACGTTAAAATTATAGAAATGGCAGAGTAAGGTGGCTCACACCTGTAATCTCAACACTTTGGGAGGCCGAGGTGGGAAGATTAGTTAATCCCAGGAGTTCAAGACCTGCCTGGGCAACATGGTGAGACCCAGTCTCTACAAAATAATACAAAAAAATTAGCTGGACATGGTGGTATGTGCCTATAGTCCCAGCTACTTGGGAGGCTGAGGTGGAAGGATCTCAAGGGGAGGCTGCTCTGAGCCAAGATCGTGTCACTGCACTCCAGCCTGGGTCACAGAGTGAGACGCCTCTCAATGGCTTTACTGTGATATAATTTACATATCATAAAATATGTCATTCACCCATTTTAAGTGTACAACTCAATGAATTTTAGTATATTTTAGAAGTTGTACGCCATCACCACAAACTAGTTTTAAAGAATTCCCGTCAGCCTTAAAAGAAACCTTGAGGCCCGGCACAGTGGCTCACACTTGTAATACCAGCGCTTTAGGAGGCTGAGACAGTTGAATCACCTGAGGTCAGGAGTTTGAAACCAGTCTGGCCAACATAGCGAAACCCTGTCTCTACTAAAAATAGAAAAATTAGCCAGGCATGATGGTGCACACCTGTAACCCCAGCTACTTGGGAGGCTGAGGCATGAGAATTGCTTGAACCCAGGAGGCGGAGGTTGCAGTGAGCCAAGATTGCACTACTGCACTCTAGCCTGGGCGACAGAGTGAGACTCCTTTGTCTCCACCATCCCCCCAAAAAAGGAAACCTTATGCCTTTCACATTCACTCCCCATTTTCACTCTCAGCATCTGATAACCATTCATCTACCTCTGTCTCTACAGATTTTTCTTTTCTGGAATCCTTTACAAAAACAGAATAATATGATATGTGCTATTTGTGTTTAGCTTTTTTCATTTAGTGTTTTTCAGGGTTCTTCATTGCTGAAGAGTATCCATTATATGGAGACACCACATGTATTAGGCCCTTCTTGCACTGTTAGAAATACCTGAGGCTGGGTGATTCACAAAGAAAAGAGGTTTAGGCAGGGTGTGGTGGCTCATGCCTGTAATCCCAGCACTTTGGGAGGCTAAGGTGGGTGGATCATTGGAGGTCAGCTGTTCGAGATCAGCCTGACCAACATGGTGAAACCCCATCTCTACTAAAAATACAAAAATGAGCCTCATGGGCACCTGTAATCCCAGCTACTAGGGAGGCTGAGACAGGAGAATCACTTAAACCGGGGAGGTGGAGGTTGTAGTGAGCCAAGATCATGCCATTGCACTCCAGTCTGGGCAACAGAGCGAGACACTCTTAAAAAAAATAAAAAATAAAAAAAGAGGTTTAATTGCCTCAGAGTTCAGCACGCTGTGCAAGCATGGCTCCAGCATCCGCTCCTGGTGAGGTCCTCAGGAAGCTTCTAATCACAGCAGAAGAAAAGGGGGAGCAGGGATGTCACATGGTGACAGCAGGAGTGAGAGAGTAAGGAGGGAGATGCCACACACCTTTGAACAACCAGATTGCACATGAACTCACTCATCACCAACGGGACGGTGCTAAGCCATTCATGAGGGATCTGCCTCCACGACCCAATCACCTCCCACCAGGCTTCAACTCCAACACCAGAGATGAAATTTCGACATGAGATTGTGGAGGGGACAAATATCCAACTTGTATCACCACATTTTGTTGTCTTTTGTTTTTATTTTTTGTCATGCAGACTGGAGTACAGTGCTAGGATCATAGTTTATGGTAGCCCTGAACTCCTGGGTTCAAGCAATCCTCCTCCTTCAGCCTCCCAAGTAGCTGGAACTATAGACACATATCACCACGCTCAGCTATTTTAAACAAATTTTTGTAGAGATGTGGCCTGTGTTGCTCAGGCCATTCTCAAACTCCTGGCCTCAAGCAATCCTGAAATTACAGGAATGAGCCAGCATGCCTGGCTGATAGACCACATTCTGTTTATCCACTTATCAACTGATAGCCATTTGGGTGTTTTTAATCTTTGGCTATTGTAAATAATGCTGCTATGAACATCTGCATACAAGTCTTTGTGTGGACAAAAATTTCTTTGGGGTAGATACCTAGGAGTGGAATTGCTGGATCATACAGTAAGTCTACGTTTAATTTTTTTTTTTAATAGAGTCTCACTATTTTGCCCAGTCTGGTCTCAAACTCCTAACCTCAAGCAATGCTTCTGCCTCAGTCTCCTGCAGGTGTGTACCACCACTCCTGGCTACATTTAACTGTTTAAGAAACCGCCGGACACCATTTTACATGCCCACCAGCAAAGCATGAAAGTTCTAATTTCTCTACATCCTTGCCAACACTAACTTGTGTCTATTTTTTTTTTTTTTTTTAAAATGGAGTCTCACTCTGTCACCCAGACTGGAGTGCAGTGGTGTGATCTCAGCTCACAGCAACCTCCGCCTCCCAAGTCAAGCAATCCTCCTGCCTCAGCCTCCCCAGCTCCTCTACTAAAAATTTGCCTATTTTTAGTAGAGATGGGGTTTCCCCATGTTGGCCAGACTGGTCTCTAACTCCTGACCTCAAGTGATATGCCAGCCGTGGCTTCCCAAAATGCTGGATTACAGGTGTGAGCCATCATGCCTGGGTGTGTCTGTCTTTCTTATTCTAGCCATTCTTCTGGGAGAAAAATGGTATCTCATTATGGCTTTGATTTGTATTTCCCTAATGACTCATGATGCTGAATGTCTTTTCATGTATTTATCGGTCATTTGTATATCCTCTTCGGAAAAATTCAAATACTTGGACCATTAAAATAAAAATTTCATCTTTAAGAGCAGTTTTGGGTTCACAGCAAAACTGAACAGAAAATACAAAGTTCCCCTATCCCACACACACTCATAGCCTCCCCCATCATGAACATCAAGCACCAGAAGTTACATTTGTTATAAGCAATGAAGCTACATTGATACACCATTATCCCCCATAGACCACAGTTTACATTAGGTTTCACTCCTGGTGTCATACATCCTGCTGGATTTGACACATGTGTAATAACATGTATCCACCACTCATCCGGAGTAATTTCACTATCCGAAAAATTCTCTGTGCATTTCTCCCCACTCCCAGCCCCTGCCAACCAAAGATATTTTTACTGTCTCCATAGTTTTGCCTTTTCCAGAATGTAATATAGTTGGAATAAGACAGCATGTAGCTTTTTCAGATTGGCTTCTTTCACTTAGTAATGCATTTAAGGTTTCTCCACGCCTTTTCATAGCTTAATGGCACGTTTCTTTCTAGTGCTGAATACCTGGATATGCCACAGTTTATTTATCCATTCACCTGCTGAAAGACATCTTGGTTGCTTTCAAGCTTTGGCAATTACAAATAAAGCTGCTATAAACATCCATGTGCAGGTTTCTGTGTGGACATAAGTTTTCAGCTCATTTGGGTAAACACTAAGGCTTGTAATGGCTGGATCTTATGATAGGAGTATGTTTAGTTCTGTAAGAAAGCCAAATTGTCTTCCAAAGTTGCTGTACCATTTTGCATTCCTACCAGTAAAAAGAGTTCCTGTTGCTTCACATCCTCTCCAGCATTTGGTGTTGTCACCGTTGCCCATTTTTTAATTTGGCTATTTGTCTTTTTATTATTGAGTTGTAAGAGTTTTATATCTCCTAGATACAAGTCTCTTATGGAACATGTGATTTGCAAAAGTTTTCTCCCAGTTTGTGGGTTGTTTTAGAGATCTTTTCTACTATTTCCTTTTTTTTTTTTTTTTTTTTTTGAGACAGAGTCTCACTCTGTCGCCCAGACTGGAGTGCAGTGGCGCAGTCTCAACTCACTGTAACCTCCACCTCCCAGGCTCAAGTGATTCTCCTGCCTCAGCCTCCCAGGTAGGTGGGATTACAGGTGCCCGCCACCACGCCCAGCTAATTTTTGTATTTTTAGTAGAGATGAGGTTTCACCATGTTGGCCACACTGGACTGGAACTCCTGAGCTCAGGTGATCCACCTGCCTTGGCTTCCCAAAATGCTGGGATTACAGGTGTGAGCCACTGCGTCCCATTTTTTTTTTTTTTTTTTTCCAGTGAAAAGGAATGTTAAACGCAATGAATTTATTATAATAGTGGGTACTTCTGAAGGAGGCAGGCGCATAGAGGGGTTAGAATCACACAGATAGTATACCATGGTATAGGTGTCGTGAGAGTCAGAAAACCGACTTTTAGTCTTTTTGTGCCTCAGTTTTCTGATCTATAAAACGGTTATATCGGCTGGGCGCAGTGGCTCACGCCTGTAAGCCCAGCCTTTTGGTAGGTTGAGGCGGGCATATCACTTGAGGTCACCCTTTTCCACTAAAATACAAACTACCTCTACTAGAGGTCACCTGTTTCTACTAAAATAGAAAAATTAGCAGGGCATGGTGGTGCGCACCTGTAATCCCAGCGATTCGGGAGGCTGAGGCAGGAAAATCGCTTGAACCTGGGAGGCTGAGGTTGCGGTGAGCCGAGATGGCGCCACTGAACTCCAGGCCTGGTCAACAGAGAAGAATGTCTCAAAAAAAAAAAAAGGGGGGGGGGTATATCAACACTTCTCTCTCTGGTTGTTGGGAGGCTTAGACAAGTTAATGTTAATGTACCTAAAGAACTAGAGAACGCCGGCTACTGAGGACATCTAAGGACACTTTATGTAACCCTTTACTGTTACAGCTTCTTAAGTTGGCACTGAGGTTCGAAAGCTTCCATTTTACCATTACGCTTTTAAATTTACATGTTACATGCTTTCTTTTGTATAGCTCACTTGAGTATACATGCATTTTGGAAGACAATAGGGAAGTAAAAAGTACATCTAGTTTTTTAACCCTTCAAAATGGGAAAGTTTGGACTAGATGCAGGGTAGCTCAGCCCTGGCCCCGGCCCCTTCCCCAGTACTCACAGGCTCCTGTCAATTGCACCTTCAGAAAAAACCGAGACTCTTAGGCAGGAGTCGGGTTGGGGTGGGGGTTGGGGGATCTGTCCCGTGACCTGCACTCTGGGCCACCTCAGTTTCCTCACCTGTCAAACGGGGACGCTGACGGTACCTACCTGACCTATGAGAGCGGAGAACACGAAGGTATCTTGCCCACGGTCTGCCCTGTGGTTAGCTGTCCTTTTTTCCTTTACACTTCTAGGCTCCTCTTGACGTTTACATAACGTCAGTGGGAAAACGCCAGCGAAGAGACACCCAGAATGGACGCTCTAAGGTTCCTTCCAGCTTCCAAATTCTGGACTGGTTTTCAGCGATCCTGGGCTCGGGATGCGAATGTCCCTGCCTACGACGGGGCTGCCGTTACAGCAGCTCTGGAGACGCGCCAGCGCTTTGACGCCTCTTCTGCGCTAAGGAAGAGTTGCTTTACAGAAAAATAAGTATATCCTGGCCCTGGAGAAAGCTGCCAGGCGATAGGGCCAGCGCCACCGCAGCCCAGGCGCCATTATCTGCCTCAGCCGCCACCTCGGGTGCCCGCCTCGAGGAGGTTCTTCGAGCCTGTGCGCCCACGGACGCTACCAGGGCGCGCTGTGGGAAGCTGGACACCCGGACGCCGAGGGAAGCCTCGCAGCCGCTCCGCTTACCCAGCGCCAGCGCCAGACCCAGCTACCTTCTTACGGCGGCGCCGGCACGTCAGAGCGACAGGTGAGCGGCCCAACGGCCTAGCGGTGCTTCTGTGGATGAGCATGCGCAGCCCCACCACTCGCCCACCTAAGAGAGAGAGAGAGAGAGAGGCTTCCTAGCCAATCGGAGAGCCTGACAGTCATCCTCCCGCCCACCCAGCATAGAGGCGGGGCGTCTCTCCTTAGCCAAAGACAAGAGACTTTCGTCCTCCGGCCGCAAGCGCTGCTCGCGAAGGGGTGGAGTTGTGGAGTGGACGTTTTGGCAAGATGGCGGGGATGGGCGTCCGCCGAGCTGCGGCTACCGCCAGCACCTCTGTGAAGCCCATTTTCAGTCGGGACATGAACGAGGCCAAGCGAAGAGTGCGCGAACTCTACCGCGCCTGGTATCGGGAGGTGCCGCACACTGGTGAGAGGTAGCGGCGCACGTGGGGATCCGGAGGCCGCCGCTCAAGGTCGTAGCCACTCGGGCCGGGATTTCTCACGGGCCGAACTGAGCAGAAGCGACTGAGGATGCTTTAGGGGAAGCGGGTCACGCGAGCCTACCTTGGGCCAGACCCAGCATCCGTACGACGCCTTCGGAGCTTTGGTTTCTTTTGTCCCTCGTAGATGTTACCGAGCCGCTGGGCGGGAGGACGAGGACTGTCAGTGACACAGTTATTTTGTAGGTGAGGCAGCGGAGGCACGGAGAGGCGAAGTGGTGTGCCCTGGGCCCAGACCGAGCCACTGGTGTACCTGGAACCCACAGTCTAGAGTTGCAGAGTATGATTACAGATGCCCGTTAGATTTCTTGTTTGTTTGTTTGAAACTGAGTCTCATTGGCTGGGCGCGGTGGCTCACGCCTGTAATCCTAGCACTTTGGGAGGCCGAGGCGGGCGGATCACGAGGTCAAGAGATTGAGACCAACCTGGCCAACATGGTGAAACCCCGTCTCAAAAAAAAAAAAGAGAAAGAAACTGAGTCTCACTCTGTCGTCGAGGCTGGAGCACAGTGGCACGATCTCTGCTCACTGCAGCCTCCACCTCCTGAGTCCAAGAGATTATCCTGCCTGACCTCTCGAGTGGGACCACAGGCGTGTGCCAGCACACCGGGCTAATTTTTGTATTTTTAGTAGAGACGGGGTTTCATCGTGTTGGCCAGGCTGGTCTCGAACTCCTGACCTCAGGCGATCTGCCCGCCTTGGTCTCCCAAAGTGCTGGGATTAAAGACCTGCGCCACCTTACCCGTCACCGTTAGGTTTTATAAGCAAAGTGGCCATAGGATCTCAGCTGTCATCCATTTCCTACTCCCCTCACAGAAAAATGAACTGAACCACAGAAGGGAGGTGACTTTCGCAAGAGTCCTTTTCCAGTCCCTCCAGCTGAAATGGCCTCACTTCCCTCCAGTTTCCCAAACTCTACCTGCCTCTAGTATTCCTTGAATTCTCCCTGCTCCCTGCTAACCCTCCCTCAGGTGGCAGAACCAGTCTGTTAGTCTGAAGCATTTGTGTATAGGCTCCTAGAGTGCAGAAGCTGTTTTCCTACCTCGGTATTCCTCTCAGCTCTATGCCCACCGTACTGGATGAAAGAAGGGTTGGGGAAAATTCCGTCTAAACTGTCAAGGGCAGTACAAATATCAAGGACTGTCAGTATTTTGTTATTTTCTTTATTTGGCTTGATGTTTGTTGTTGTTTTTCGTTTGTTTTTTGAGACCAAGTCTTGTTCTTGTCCAGGTTGGAGTGCAGTGGCATGATCTTGGCTCACTGCAACCTCCATCTTCCGGCTTCATACAGTTCTCCTGCCTCAGACTCCCGAGTAGCTTGGGACTACAGGCGTTTGCCACCACGGCCAGCTAATTTTTTTTTTAAAGATGGGGTTTCACCATGACCACCATGATGGCCAGGCTGGTCTTGAACTCCTGACCTCAGGTGATCCACCCACCTCGGCCTCCCAGAGTGCTAGGATTACAGGCGTGAGCCACCGTGCCCGGCCCTAATTTTTTTTTTGTAGAGACGGAGTTTCGCCATGTTAACCAGGATGGTCTCAATCCCTAGACCTTGTGATCCACCCGCCTCTGCCTCCCAAAATGCTGGGATTACTGGCGTGAGCCACTGTGTATAGCCGACTTGGTGCGTTTTATTTTTTTTGAGAGGAGTCTTGCTCTGCTGCCCAGGCTGGAGTCTAGTGGCCCGATTTCTGCTCACTGCAACGTCCGCCTCCTGGGTTCAATCAACTCTCCTGCCTCAGCCTCTGTAGGTGAGACTACAGGCGTGCACCACCGTGGCCAGCTAATTTTTGTATTTTTAGTAGAGACAGGGTTTCACCATGTTGGGCCCCAGGCATGAGCCACTGCACACCTGACTTGATGTATTTTCACATGGCTGGTCATGCTAGTCTGAGAAAGAGGTGTTTTGGAGTGAGCTGGACCATGGTGGCACTCCTCAGAGCTGTCAAGTCCCTGCGTGTGTGTGTGTGTGTGTGTGTGTGTGTGTGAAAAGTGGTAGAATGTGGTGGTTAGGAGCATGGACTTTTCTCCAGGTGCTGCCCTCAAAAACCAGATTTGTGACCATGGGTCAGTTATTTAATCTGTTCCTCAGTTTCCTCATCTTTAAAATGGGAATAATAGTGCCTTCTTCAGAAAGTTACTGTATTAAGTTAAAATATCTAGAGTGCTGGCCGGCATGGTGGTTCACACCTGTAATCCCAGCACTTTGGGAGGCCAAGGCAGCCAGATCACAAGGTCAGGGGTTCAAGACTAGCCTGACCAACATGGTGAAACCTGTCTCTACTAAAAATACAAAAAATAAGCTGGGCGTGGTGGCACGTGCCTGTAATCCCAGCTACTCAGGAGGTTGAGGCAGGAGAATTGCCTGAACCTGGGAGACAGAGGTTGCAGAGCTGAGTCTGTGCCACTGCATGCCAGCCTGGGCAACAGAGTGAGACTCCGTCTCCAAAAAAAAAAAAAAAAAAATATATATATATATATATAGAGAGAGAGAGAGAGAGAGAGAGAGAGCGCTTAGAACAGGGCTTGGTGCATATTTAACTCTCATTAAATGTTAGCTGCTGCCATTGTTTTTGTTGTTATTTTTGTTATTTATAGGGATTACAGAAGTGCACCACCACTCCTGGCTAATTTTGGTATTTTCAATAGAGACGGGGTTTCACCATGTTCTCCAGGCTGGTCTTAAACTCCTGACCTCAGGTGATCCACTCACCTCAGCCTCCCAAAGTGCTAGGATTACAGGTGTGATCACCTGTAATCACCCAGCCTAAAACCTAATTTTCAAAAGACATCCTTATGCTTCATCCGAAGTTCCAGGTCACTGCCTCTTTGCCATTATTTTAGGAGCGTAATCAGGGGTTGTTGAATATTGTGATTTTATGGTTATTGTCCTAGCTCGCTGTCTCTCCAGTCAGAATGTAACACCTAGACAAGTGGAGCTACATCATAAACTTTGCTTCCACCAAGTAACCTAAGGTGGTATTAACTGCTTGTTGGATTGAAGCCTCCCTGACCTGTGTAACCCCCTAGCAGTTCTCCCTCAACGCAAAGTTTGTATAGTAATTACTAGCCTAGGCCATGTCTAGGATTTTACATTATCAATTTCAATCCTGTTTTCTTTTGCTGATTTTTCCATATAAAAATAATGCTACTACAAAAATTAGCTGGGTGTGGTGGCGCGCACCTATAGTCCCAGCTACTCGGGAGGCTGAGGCAGGAGAATTGCTTGAACCTGGGAGGCAGAGATTGCAGTGAGCAGAGATGGAGCCACTGTACTCCAGCCTGATGACAGAGCAAGACTCCATCTCACTAAAAAAAAAAGCTAATGTGTATTGAGAGCTTATGCCGTGTTAGGCACTATTGTGAGCATTTTGCATTGTCTCATGAAATCTCCATCAGAGTTCTATGTGCTGTTATTGTCTTCATTTCATTGATAAATCCACTCAGCCAGGCACAATGGCTTACACATGTAATCCTAGCAACTTGCTGGGGGGCTGAGAGACAGGAGCATCACAGGAGCCCAGGAGTTCAAGGCTGAAGGGAGCTCTGATCATACCACTGCATTCCAGCCTTGGCAACAGAGCAAGACCCTGTCTCTAAAAAAAAAAATACACTCAGGCACAAGAAAGTTAACTTACAGAGGATCATACAATAACAGAGTTGGGATTTGAACCCAGGTTGTTCAAACTCTTGAACAATGCTTTACTGCCTCTTCAAATTCAGTGGTCTTTTTCCCCAAATAAAATAAGTTCCTTGAGAGCAAATGCTGTGAATCACAAGTCACCTAGACTATGGTAAGGCTAATTTTTAGTGAAGGAATGGTGGGCGACCTGTATGTGTTCAGTGAATATCCTTTGACTCCAGGTTTTTTTTTTTGTTGCTTTTTTTTGAGATGGAGTTTTGCTGTTGTTACCCAGACTGGAGTGCAATGGCACGATCTCGGCTCACCACAACCTCCACCTTCTGAGTTCAAGCAATTCTGCCTCAGCCTCCCGAGTAGCTGGGACTACAGGCGCGCACCACCATGCCCAGCTAATTTTTGTATTTTTAGTAGAGACGGGGTTTCACATTGTTGACCAGGATGGTCTTGATCTCTTGACCTCGTGATCCACCCGCCTCAGCCTCCCAAAGTGCTGGGATTATAGGCATGAGCCACTGCGCCCAGCCTGACTCTAGGTTTTAAAAACATGTTTTAACCGTATAATTTCTACCCTGAATCATGTTTTTCTCTCTAGTGCACCAATTCCAGCTGGACATCACTGTGAAACAGGGACGAGATAAAGTCAGAGAAATGTTTATGAAGAATGCCCACGTCACAGACCCCAGAGTGGTTGATCTTCTGGTCATTAAGGTAACTGACCCTCCCTGACCAGTTTAAAAGATCGGCCAACTAGTCCGCAAAACTAGTCTTTCCAAATGAACATTTTGTCTCCAAGTTTAGAAAGCAGTTACTGGTTCAGCAGTGATTATTGCTGTGTTTCAGAGAAATGGTTGAACTTGGAGATTATCACCTGGTTAAATAGGTAAGATTGATCAAGGGAACATCCAGTGGGGCTTGCATTTTATAACCAGAAAAAGATATAGGGAGGAAAGTTTGAACTCTTCTTGAACCTCATCCCTGGAAGTTACCACTTCCTCTGGATGCCAGCTTACAGCTGGAGGAGGCAGTTGGCTGGTATGCGTCCTGTATAAATTGGGTTAAATCCTGGGGCTGATTCTGTCCCCCTGGCCAGTCATATTAGCATCAATGGGAGTTTCAGCATGAACCATTCAGTAACAGAAGAAATGATAAGCAGAAGCATAAGTTAAGCCAGTCAGGTTAGGTAGTCATGGGATAGGAACCTGTTAACCTCTAAGTTTCTCCTCCTGGTACCAGTTAACCACAGAGTTAAAGAATCTTTGAAAGGTCTCAGAAAGAATTTAGCCCCACCACCTCATTGTCCAGACATAGGAACTTTGCCCAGACAGAGTAGTTACTTGCTCAAGGTCACTCATCAAGTCCAGGCTGAACAGTGAATAGAATCCTGGCCTTCAACTTGACCACTTTGACTGATGACCTCTTTCCTCACTCTTCAGGGAAAGCTGGAACTAGAAGAAACGATTAACGTATGGAAGCAGCGGACACATATCATGCGGTTCTTCCATGAAACAGAAGAGCCAAGGCCAAAGGATTTCTTATCCAAGTTCTATGTTGGCCATGACCCATGAAGTCATGCAGTGGAAAGGTGCATGTTCGTATTATTTTAGAGAACAAATAAACTCATTATATGATGGTCACTTCGTGATAGACTGCCTTTGATGAACCAATTTTCTGCAGCCTCTTTTTGCCTGAACAAGTGGGGCCTTGGTATACACACCACCTGTTCTTTCCCTTTTCTGGAAATGTGGTGTTTGCTGTAAATTGGATTGAATTCTTTTTCTCAGAGCCTTGCGTGTCAGTAAACAGGAAGAAAGGAGGCCATCTGTTCAAAAACTGTCACACTGGGTGTGAGGCTGGATGACTTGTTAATGTAGTTGTTTCTACAGCCCCTATGATTAGACACCTTAGTGTCAGGCCACAGATGATCCAAAATTAGCCAGCTCTTGCTGTCAGAGAGGGATGAGAGCAGCACTACTAACAGGTGCAAAACTAGAGCTGACAAGATGGGCTAGTTTTCCCTGGGTTCTGAAGAAAATGGATGGGCAAAGGCCTGGCTCCACTACTTGTAACAAGCTCCAGCCATTAAAATGAACTTAACTTCCTGCTCAGGCACCCTGCTAGGTGCACAGCTGTTCAGTATACATACGGAGAATGGAAATATTCCTACTGTCTCTGTAAACTCTGGGTACCTCTTAGTGGCAGGAGAATAAACAACATCAGCCCCGGTTCAAGAACTGATCTGTTTGTTTGGATGATGGTCTTTCGTCCTTCCCAGGGCAATCCAAATGATGGAGAAGGGAGTTTGGTATCTACAGGTGTGATCACTGAGGATTCCCATACTTTTTTTTTGGTAGAGATGGGGTCTATCCATTGCCCAGGCATTTTTTTTAAGACCCAGAAACTTTACATACATACATATATTTTTTTTCTTTTTTTTTTTTTAAGAGATTAGTTTCTCCATGTTGGCCAGGCTAGTCTCAAACTCCTGACCTCAGGTGATCTGCCCACCTCGGCCTCCCAAAGTGCTAGGATTACAGGTGTGAGCCACCACGCCCGGCCTTTTTTCTTTTTTTTTTTTTTTTTGAGACAGAGTTTCACTCTTGTTGCCCAGGCTGAAGTGCAGTGCTGCAATCTTGGCTCACTGTACCCTCCACCTCCCAGTTCAAGCAATTCTCCCTGCCTTAGCCTCCCAAGTAGCTGGAATTACAGGAGTGTACGACCATGTCCAGCTAGTTTTATATTTTTAGTAAAGTTGGGGTTTTACTACGTTGGCCAGGCTAGTCTTGATCTCTTGACCTCAAGCGATCCACCTTGGCCTCCCAAAGTGCTGGCCTGAGCCACCGCACTCACACTGGTCTTGAACTACTGGGCTCAAGTGATCCTCCTGCCTCAGCATCCCAGAGTGTTGAGATTACAGGCATCAGTCATTGTACATGGTTCCAAAACTTATGGCATTAGGGATCCCTTTATAATCTTTTTACCTAAGCAACTTGAGGAAAAAAAAGTGTTTCTATGTTCTCTCACTGAACAACAATAATCACATAAGACTCCTGTGATTAGGCCAGGCGCAGTGGCTCACGCCTGAAATCCCAGCACTTTGAGAGGCTGAGGCAGGCAGATCACCTGAGGTCAGGAGTTCAAGACCAGCCTGACCAACACAGAAACCCTGTCTCTACTAAAAATACAAAATTAGTTGGGTGTGGAGGTGCACGCCTGTAATCCCAGCTACTTGGGAGGCGGAGGTTTTGGTGAGCCGAGATTGCACCATTGCACTCCAGCCTGGGCAACAAAAGTGAAATGCTGTCTCAAAAAACAAAAAACAAAAAGACTTCTGTGGTCAAACATGAGGGTTTCTCCCCACACTAAGCAAGTAGTTGTCTAGCAGACACCAGCTGGCTGTTCTCCAGTTCACTTCCAACACTATCTACCTGGAGATAGCATCAGATCCCACAGGTTGGGGGCTTAGCCCCACAAGACCACTTTCTTTTTTTTTTTTTTTGAGACAGAGTTTCGCTCTTGTTACCCAGGCTGGAGTGCAATGGCGTGATCTCAGCTCACCGCAACCTCCCACCTCCTGGGTTCAGGCAATTCTCCTGCCTCAGCCTCCTGAGTAGCTGGGATTACAGGCACGCGCCACCATGCCCAGCTAATTTTTTGTATTTTTAGTAGAGACGGGGTTTTGCCATGTTGACCAAGATGGTCTCGATCTCCTGATCTCGTGATCCACGCACCTCGGCCTCCCAAAGTGTTGGGATTACAGGCCTGAGCCACCACGCTGGCTGCTTCCACTTTCTTTAGACAACATTCTCAAGTCCAAGCCTTCAGAACTTCCAACCAGCTTCAAGTTGAGGTTCCCATGACTCCCTTTTTAATTTGCTAGAGCAACTTGCAGAACTCAGGGAAACACTTAGGTAGCTTTAGTGGTTTATTATAAAGGATATCACAAAAGATACAGACAAAGATGCATAGGGTGAAGTACGGAGGAAGGGGCATGGAGCGTCCATGTCCTCTCCCGGCATGCCACTTTGATAAAGCAAGTGTTCTGCTCTCCGGAAGCTCTCTCAACCTGTCCTTTTGGGCCTTTTATGGAGACCTCATTGGATAGGCATAACTGAAGTGTGGACAACGGTGGAGAGGTGGGATTGGCAAAAGAGGCATGATCTAACATGGAGCAGGGAAGTCCAACCAGGCCTGTCCACATTTCTTCCTCCCAGGTATGGGGCAGAATCCCTTCTGAAATGGGAGATCTCATGACCTAAACTAGACAGGGTAGGTCGGAGAATTCTTTTTATGGCCAACTCGAAGACAGAAAGGCAAAGGAATTTATATAAACTCAAAGTTATACTTTTAGTTTCTAGGCCAGCCTTGGAGAGAAAAAGCAGCAGGTGAAAGGTCAGAAGGTCCAAGAAAGAGAACTGCTGTTTTCTGAGGCCTGAAGTGCCCAACGTTGTAACCAAAGCCTATTAACAAAGGCTTTGGGAGATGGTTATGAGCCAGGAAACAGATGAAAACCTACATATATCCTAGTATCACAGAACCCAAGTTTTGGATCATTCTAGTCATATTTAAGTAGTTGTATGAAAACAAGCAAAGCTCTCATGACTGGCACTGAACACAGAATGGCTTGAGGCTTTAGTAGCCCATTAGCTTTCTTAAGGGAAAACGGACAGTTTCTGCTGGGCTTTTGTAGACAATGAAAATAGTTCCCAGGCCTCCAGAATAGTTCACCAGGCTCCACTGAAACCTGGATAACCTAGGCCTATGTTTCTCTCATAAATAAACAACAGCAGAGAGAACCACACCAACTAGAGCCTACACATACTGAGAAACTGCAGCCATCACTCAGTCACACACAGCTGGCATTTATTATGTATATTAATAATGTGATTGCTTGTTAGTCCAGTGCTTAGTGGACAGCACATCTCAGGGAGCCTTCCAGAGCCTGGGGATCTGGGATACAGTCATGGACCACAGAGGCAGCTCCACCAGACTGGGAGGTTGAGGGCTTTCCCTGAGTCCTGCTGATAGGGAAGGCAGACAGGCTGAGAGCATCACCATTTCTTCAGTTAGTGCTTTCTGCTTTCTGTAATTCCTGGAAGAAAGGAAAGCAGCAGTGAACTGGGTAACAGAGCAGTTTTCCATCCACACACTGAAAGAATTCCACAAAGTGCTTCTGTCAAACATGGCAGAAGAAGGGCAGCTTTGAGCACATTTGATTACTTATGCATACGTTAAATGGGCATTCACCACAGGTCAGGCACTGGGGACCCAAAAGTATAAAAAACATCCCCTGCCAGCAAAAAGCTGAGTGGAGTAAAATTTTGGTTAGTGTGTTTTAGACACACAATACTGAGTGTTTGAAGAGGTACTGGTTGCTCAGAGGAAGGAGCAGTCACTTTCAAATGAAAGGAAGGAAGACTTCAAAGACACTGAAGGATGGGTAGAATTAAGACCCAAAGAGCCTCTGGGAAAGAGCCTTCCATGTGGGAGGAACAATGAGCCAATATTTGGGGGTGGGTATGAGTGTGCAAACTCAAGAAATGGTGAATACTGGGGATCAGTGGGTGGCTGGAAATATGGAAGATGAGACTGGAATAAGAGGCACGACCAAATCATGGCAAGCCTTGAATGCCAGGTAAGGAGTCAGGAGTGTCCTCATCTCTGACAGTGATGCCATGCAGCACATATTAGAGCACAGGAAGTCAACACAGGAAGCTGAATGGGAAGGACTAGGACTTAGGACTGCTAGGGGAGGAGTCTGTGAGCAATGCATGAACCAGGCTGTCGTGCCCACGGACAGGATGTAGTGGTGAGAGCTTGGTAACGAGAGCTGACGGGGAAGGACCTGCAGTTTCTACATTTCCATACAGAGCTGCTGAAATGATGCTGCTGGTGGTATGTGTGTAAGGCACATTAAATTGTCAAGAAAATGGGTGGCTTGATTGAATGAGAATACATCAAGGGCAACTGAAAAGGCTGGCTAGGATCCCAAACCAGTTGGAAGAGATCCCAGTGAATGTGTAAGTCAGTAAGTTACCCTCATCCAATAAAGGGAAAAAGCAAAATAAAAACATTAGCCGCCAAGTGGGTCAATTCATTAAAGCTTCTGCCCCCAATGTCCAAATGCTGCTACCAGGCCAGACTGCATCACAGACAGATGCTCCACCCTGCTTCCTGGTCCATCTAGGGTAAAGCAAGTCTTACTTGTTAGTCGTCATCATCATCATCCTCTGGAACAAAAATGTCATGTTCCTCAAGCAGAGCAGCAAAGTTCTTGCTAATGAGCGTCCCGACATAGAGAAAGGGGATCACGATGGAAAACACACGGAGAAGGCCGAAGGACATCTGCAGAGGGTCAAAGTGGTGGCTGTGAGCTCGAGTCGCCTCTGGCAAGACCAAAGAAGACCCGGCCCTCTCATGGACACTCCCTCCTGTGGAACTCAGACCCATCATAAGCAACTTGACTTTAAAATCTTTGTTAGAAAAGGAGAGGGCCAGGCGGGGTGTCTCGGGCCTGTAATCCTAGCACTTTGGGAGGCCGAGGTGGGTGGATCACCTAAGGTCAGGAGCTCGAGAACAGCCTAGACAACATGGAGAAACCCCATCTCTACTAAAAATACAAAAAAATTAGCTCGGCGTGGTGGCGCATGCCTGTAATCCTAGCTACTTGGGAGGCTGAGGCAGGAGAATTGCTTGAACCTGGGAGGCAGGGGTTGCAGTGAGGCAAGATTGTACCATTGCACTCCAGCCTAGGCAACAGAGTGAGACTCTGTCTAAAGAAAAAGAAAAAACAAAAGGAGATAAGGTGACTGTCATGGCCATCAAAGTGGATGAAAAGTCCATTGGAAAGAAAAGTCTAAGGTACCCTAGACATCTAAAGTTAGGACACAGCCTGCTAATTACTTTAAATTTCTACAGGCAGACGGGTGCGCCAGTACTAGGAGGGCTGGACTATGGTGAGCTCTACTTGAAGACATGAAATACACAAAAACCTATGACAGAAAGATGTACAGTGAAGGAAGTCTGGGCACGGGGGCTCACGCCTGTAATCCCAGCACTTTGGGAGGCCAAGGTGGGGGGGCGGATCATCTGAGGTCAGGAGTTTGAGACCAGCCTGACATGAAGAAACCCCAAATACAAAATTAGCTAGGCATGGTGGCGCATGCCTGTTAAACCCAGCTACTCGGGAGGCTGAGGCAGAAGAACTGCTTGAACCTGGGAGGCAGAGGTTGTGGTTAGCTGAGATCGCACCATTGCACTACAGTCTGGGTAACCCGAGTGAAACTCTGTTTAAAAAAAAAAAAAAGATGTACAGTGAAGGGATATTCTATAGTTAATTAAGTAACAGTTTCCCTGATGCCTGAGAAATTTGATTTAAGCAAATTAAATTTTAGAAACTAATGTGTGTGAAAGGGGGCATGTATTTACACTAAAAGACTATTTAGATAGATTGGGAGAGTGTCAGTAAAATCTGAGGAACATTTCCTCTTGTATTCCTGGAGTTTAAAAAAATGTCACTGGGCCTTCTGATAAGGCAGCTCTTTCCCAACGTGGACCTTGCAGTCAATTGTGTGAGTTAGCATAGGCTAGACTAGCTTTAAGAGAATTTGTGTTTTAACTCCCATACCACACAGCCCTGCAGTCATAAAGCAAACTTTGTTTGCCATAAGGGACTGTTTCCGTTTTCCATAGAAAAACTCAAGGGCATGTGATAGCGTTCAATGGTGGAAAAAGATAGGACCTGGCTGGGATAGTACCAGCAAGAAACCAGGACGCTGCGACCTCAGCGCAAGCCTTGGATATTGGCTTCACAGCTCTAGCTCGATTCTTCATTTGGAAAAACCGTGATTGTAACAATTCCCTGCACCTCTATCAGGACTGTAAATCACATGAATTAAATACTAGGTGACAACTCATAAAAAGATAAGGGCCGTCCCACGTACCCCTTGTTTACAGAGTCCTTTCACAATTCATATTTCATCCCATAAACTAGGAGACAGGCAGGGCAGAGATTACAGGACTAAACTAGATTACAGGGAGGGCAGAGATTACAGGATTTAGATTACAGTCTAAGCTAGATGCACAGGGCCGAGTCTTCGACTCCAGAGGAGCAGCGCACCATACCTCTCAGGATAAGCTAATGTAAAAGATCATCTTCCTAAGCGTTTGCCCCATCTTCTGTCTACCTACCATTTTCTACCCACCTGTCAAAATTAGCAACACCTTAGCGCATTTATTTTTGGCCCGCCTTCCACTCTAAGGTAATCGTTATGATTGGCCTTGGCTCCAGTCAATCAGCGCCGCCCGCACGCATTCCCCACAATTGGCCTCAGCCCCTTCGCCCCGTTTCCAGGAAGACACTCACTTTGACTGGTTTGGGCAAAATGGCGCCGCTGCGGGTAACGATGACTGACCTCGACGGTACGAGGCTCCGGCCTGGGTCGCTCCGTGCCGCGGCGGCATCGCCACCTTTCCTCAAGCTAGGCCCGCTCCGGAAAACCCCAGACCTGACGGCTGCCAACGCTAGCCAGCGAGCCGCTCCGGACGCCATCCCGCAGCTCCGCCCCTCGCCCGGGCACCCGAACCCCACCGCCCGGCCCCGGTGCCGCCCTCGGGAAGAACGCCGCTCGAAGCCTCGCGAGACTTTGAGGAGCACACGAGAAGCCCACTCAACTCGCGTAGTGCCGGCGCCTCCTGGGGCGGCCAGAGGGAGGTGTTTGTCACCGGCCTACGTGGTGACGTTACAAGAGCTGCGCGGCCGCCCCAGCTGCGTCTGCAAAGCCAGCAGTCCAGGTTCCCGCACCTGGGACCCCCCCGGCCGCCAGAGCAGGCCTCAGCGGCTGTGGAAAGAAACCTAGGGAGCCGAATGAATAATAATGAAAAAGCTTTACTAGTGTTTTAACCGCGTACCAAGCAGCAATAAGAAAGAAAGGCCCGTGCTGTCTGTGTATAAAACAAAGTGCAGCGGCTGCGGGGCTCCCAGGCAGGGCTAGGGAACAGGCCGGGCGCCCACCCTGGGTGCATCTCAGGCTCCTGGGGGAGGCTGTGAGCCTCTGCCTAAGGCCTAGTTGGGTGCCGGTCGGTGCTGCCCAAGGCCCCAGTGAGGGTAGCGGAGGCTAGGGAGGGTAGGTTTTGTGTGGGGGGGAGGGGGTGTCTCCTCTGGGGCTCTGCGGCTTCCGCCCAGCCTCTGCCATCGCACCCCTAAGGCGTCAGTCTGGTCAGACTCTGGTGACCCAGCACTTTGCTTCCCAGAACAATAGAATAAACACGTTTGGGCCGGTGCGGTGGCTCATGCCTATAATCCTAGCACTTTGGAAAGCCGAGATGGGTGGATCACCTGAGGTCAGGAGTTCGAGACCAGCTTGGCCAACAAGGCGAAACCCCCGTCTCTACTAAAAATACAAAAATTAGCCAGGCGTGGTGGTAGACACATGTAATCCCAGCTACTCGGGAGGCTGAGACAGGAGAATCGCTTGAACCCAGGAGGTGGAGCTTGCGGTGAACAGAGATTGCCCCCACTACATTCCAACCTGGGCGGCAGAACGAAACTGTCTCCAAAAAAAAGAAAAAGAAAACACAGGCTGGATACTGGGAATAGTAGCAAGGAGGGGTCCTGGCAAGTACACGCTAGGTGACAAACAGGGCTATGAGAGTTCCCAGGTGGTTTCTTGAGCAGCTTCACTTGCAAGAACACTTTTACCGGAGCCCAGCCAGGAGAGGTTTTAGCACAGGAAACTGGGAATCCCGTGTCCAAGCTCCTGGAATGCCCAGGACTGAGCCAGAGCAACCAACCTTCCCCAGGAACCACACTGCCTCCCCACCTCTTCTTTAACCCCTCACTTGGCAGCTCCAGGAGTTGGCTGCTGAGGACAGAGTAGGGCCACTGAGGACAGAGTACAGGAGGGCATTTTGCTGACATAAAAAGCTACTAGCCCTTCCTGGGGCAAGGTCCAGCACCATCTGTTAACAGGGCAGCCAGAGAGAAAGGATGGGGCCCCAAATTCTTAGCAAATAAATTTATCTTCACTGGCCAAAGACTTGCTGCCTCAAAGGGCCCTACCCAAATTGCTGAGTGAGGATTCCATCCCCAATCTTCCCACCCTTCTCAGGAAGAGCTGTGTCCCAGAAACTCCTATGACATGGTAAATCCACTTTCTCTGACGATGAATGTCAAAGTCTCAAGCCAATAGTGCAGGCAACCTCGGATTTAAACACAGGAGACTCCCCAGGTTGGAATTTACGGCTCTAGAGTCTGGCATGTAGGTCAAAGGTGAGGAAAGCCTGTGACACTGACACTCTCAGGTGACATTGCCCACTTCCTCCATTTCATCAATATCCCCTGGGTGGGGCAGTCAGGCCAGTGCAGTCAGGAGTTTCGGCCGGGCGCAGTGGCAGCTGATCAAGCCCCTTTCCTCCCTGGGCCTCAGGAAATAAAAAGGATGGAAGGAATGGTCCCTCAGTCCCTTCCAGACACACGGGTAGATCTGGAACCTGGAGAATGCCTAAATAGTAGGAAGAAGAGAACCCATGTCACCTCCCAAAATGCAACCTTGGAAATGGGTAAACATTTAGCTCCTGGAAAAGAACTGGCACTGGCTTCCTGAATCACAGTGCCCGGGCTTAGGGCTTATCCTGTTCCTCACATTCTGGCTGTCTCCCCTGGGCCCTCTGCTGCCAATGCTGCTGCAGTTTCATGATCTCCTGGCCATACCAGTCATGCAGGGTAGAGAAATTGGAGGTCTCAGGGGACACAGGACTCTGCCCCCTGCCGAGAAGGAGGCTAGCAGGGCCCTGTAGCTCCCGCTCAGCCAACCCCAGTCCTGCACACCTGCTGCCTGCTTCTTCAACCAAGCCCACAGGGCTGCAGTCCTTGGAGAGGGGGTGGCCATTCTCTAGGACCACAGACCGGTTGTTACGAGCCTGGGGCTTACAGCAGCTGGCAGTGGGCTTCCAGGATGAGTGGTGTTGCAAAGCCAGGCTCTGGCGTGCGTCCTGCAACTGGCTCTCCAACTCTCGTACCACCAGGCGCATGTAGCCAAAGCTTGCCCGGGACAGTGCCTTCACCCACGCCTCCTGGGCTGCTGGCCCTTCTGCAGCAAGCAGGTGTGGGTGCACTCCGGGGGCATCAAAGCAGATGGCAAAGGCAAACTCCTCGGGCACGGGAGCCTCGGCCAGTTCCACTGTGCAGCCTTCCAACACCACCAGGCTCAGCGGGACCCGGCCCTTGCGACTCTCAAAGGAAAACAGCAAGTTGCCCTTGAGGACAAACCAGTATCTTCGGCCAGTGCCACTGGGAGTTGGTGGGGTCCCTGGGCTCCCCCAGGTGCGCAGGAAGCCCATGTGGTCTGCTGGGGAGTCGCTGAGTGCATAGTGAGCCACACTTCTCTCGTTCAGCTTCATGGCTCCCACGGGAACTGTGGGGCAAGAGAAGTGGCAGTGGATCAGAGAGGAAGGTGGCTCCGTGCCACCCTGGGGAAAAGCACTGGCTCTGGAGGTGACCTGGGCCCAGCCCTGGGACTCCTACTCACTTGCTGTGTCCCTAAGACCCCTAATGTCTCCTGAGAAGTATGCTCATCTTTCCTTCCTTTCCTCTCAAAGGGTTGTTGTGAGGATCATACCAAAAAAATCTCAATAGCAGACTTGGAGAAAATGACAAGATTGGATCAGACAGGAGTCCTGGCAGGACCTGGGCAAGGCTTTCTAAAATCCAAAGAAACAGACCCCAGCTGAGCTGAAATGGATCACAGACCCATGGAAACCATTGTGCTTAAACTATTCCCTAATTTGGGGTCCTCTCAACTCCAACTCTGAGGCCAAACCTCCAGGGTTTCCATGACCCTCCTGGGCCTGTGCTGGCCTCTTATTTGCATATAGCAGTTGCATCTTATTGACCTGAAGGCAGAAGCTGAGGCACAAAATATAACTTCAAGATTTTACTTGAGCCAAAGTGAAGACAACTGCCCAGAACAAACCTAAGTTGCCATGGGGTGTGCTGCATTGGGCACACCCTTTCTTACAAGCAGCTTCTTATAGGCAGAAGGAGGCAGGGATAACAGAGTTATTTGGCAGGAATTCTCCTTGGTTTACAGAAATAGCACTGATTGGCTGGGTGTAGTAGCTCGAGCCTGTAATCTCAGTACTTTGAGTGGCTGAGGCAGGTGGATCACCTGAGCTCAGGAGTTCGAGACCAGCCTGGCCAACATGGTGAAACCCCATCTCTACTAAAAATACAAAAACTAGCTGGGTGTGGTGGGGGGCACCTAGCTACTTGGAAGGCTGAGGCAGGAAAATCGCTTGCTCCCAGGAGGTGGAGGTTGCAGTGAGCCAAGATTGCGCCATTGCACTCCAGCCTGCATGACAAGAGTGAAACTGTCTACAAAAAAAAAAAAGAAGAAGAAGAAAAAGAAAGAAAAAGAAATAACGTTGATCAGTGATTGGCTATACATTGTTGAAGTATAGGGTGTCCAGTGTATGGCATTTTATTGCTACATGGTATCACTCTAGAGTCACATAGCAAGTGGCTTCAAGAGGTAATTCTTGACCTTTTGTAGTTCATGAGGGTGATGATTGGGAGTTCCTGTGCATGTGTGAGATGTGCTGCCTTCGAATCTTGTTACCATGGGCACATTACCAGTCTGACATAAAAAGAAAAGAAAAGAAAAAATAAAAAGAGATGATTCTTTAGCTCTAGGGAGGACTAAGACTTGACAGCCGTTTCATTTCAATATGTCTGGGCCCGATTATTATAAAGGGCTCTAATTCCACAGATAAAACATTATTTTTCTCTCTCAATCTGCAGTCTTCAGGGACAGGTGGGGACCTACTCTGTAAACAAGAGTGTGGCACAAAGCCAGGGTACAGCTGAGAAGAGCTAACCACAACCACTGAGTGTGGGTGTCCCTGGATTAATGAATGGCACGTAGTCCAACTGTCCATACTCATGGAAAACCCAAGTCCAGCAGTGGGGGATCTTGCCCAAGACTACATGGCCAATGGGACACAGAGCTTGGTCTCCCAAATCCCTAGCACTGTACTCACTTACCAGCAGGGCTCCCTGGGGGAGGGCAGAGACCTCTTGTCTGGCCACACAGCTCAGCCCCTGGACCACCTGGTTCCCAGGGAGCCTGCAAAACAATTCTCAAGCCCAGTCAGCTCATCCCAAAGAATGAGACCACCTACTCCGCCTTCGAGGCCTAATGAAACCAAGGCCTCCACCAGGAAGCTTTCCCTGAACCCTGAGAATCCCCTGCCCATCCACCCAGCCAGGAACCCCTGAGCAACATAAAGGGCTGGGTCCCCTTTGTCTTGTCCTTTACTCTTCAGACCTCAGCTCCTTGCCTGAGTCCAGGTCAGAGCTCTGTGTGCCCTCATGGTTCCTAGCATTTCCCTTCTAGCACTTGCCACTCAATTTCTTTGTGGCTTTAACTGAAGTCACCTAATCTGGGAGGCCTTCCATGATCACCATATCTAAGGTGGCCCTGACCACCAAGGTGGCTTGACCTAAGGTCACCCCACCAACTCTGGTTTGTTTCCTTCATCCCACAATGACGTCATTTGTGTTAAAGCACTACTCCCAGCCGCAGAATGCGTAGGGTGGGTCTCAGCTAGTTTCCCAGGAGAACCCCAATATCCAGCACTGTGCAGGGCTCAGAAAGGCCCTCGGGAGGGATCTGTTGGATTATTGGGAAGACATCAGCGGACAAAACAAAGTCTCCCGCCCTCCTGAAGCCTACATTCCCACGGAGGAAACACCGTAGGCGCACAGAATAAATACTAATAAATTAATGAGATAATGGCCGGGTGCGGTGACTTACACTTGTAATCCCGGCACTTTGGGGAGGCCGAGGCAGGCGCATCACGAGATAAGGAGATAGAGACCATCCTGGCTAAAACGGTGAAACCCTGTCTTTACTAAAAATACAAAAAAATTAGCCGGGTGTGGTGGTGTGTGCCTGTAATCTCAGCTACTCTGGAGGCTGAAGCAGGAGAATCGCTTGAACCCGAGAGGTGGAGGTTGCAGTGAGCCGAGATTGCGCTACTGCACTCCAGCCTGGAAGACAGAGCAAGACTCTATCCCAAAAAGAAAAAATTAATGAAATAATAATCAGTGAAATAAGAGATAACATAAGGACCCGTAATGCTAAGGGTTATGGAGGAAAACCAGCTGGGATGGGGAGAGAGGCCACTCCAGTAGGGTGGCCCAGGAAGTGGGAGGAGGCGGTCACAGATGTTTGCCAAAGGAACAGCCTCACTGGTGGTCCTGGGCCCAGCAATGGGGCACATGGAGCGGGTGGGCAGCCCGCGCCATGCCCCCTCCGCTCCCCGCGCCTGGGTAAGGGCGCGCCCTCCTCTCCACCAGTAGGGGGGCCAGACCCGCCCGCACACCCGGCCTCCTGCCCACCTCTGCGTCTTCCTGGATTCTTTTGTTGGAGGAAAGGCGGGATGGGGACGCGGGACCACTGGGCCAGTGGCCACTGCGGGGCGCCCCGACCCGACTGTGACCCTGAAACAGGGTGACACCTCAGTCAGGATCTCCCCGGCTGCCGCCGCGGTTTCCGTGTCCTTGCGTCGGGGCCGTTCCCGTCACGTCCCCGGGACCACCTCCTCCCGGAGCCCGCCGTGCCCTCTCACCTCCCACTGCCGATCGCACCGAAGCCCAGGAGAGCGATTCTGGCTTCAGGCCCCGCGCCTCCGCCTGGGTCGCAAACGTGGCCGCGGAATCTGGGAGACCCCGCCCGGGAGGCTCGAGTTCCCGCCCTTCCCCGCCCAGTAATCACCAGGCCCAGGATCTGCTAGGTCGCCTAGGGATCCGCGAGGGCGGGAAACTGAGGCCCGAGAGGGTCACAGAGCTGGTCGGTGTGAGCGGCCTCGAACCCGGAGGACCTCCTCAGACGGTCCGCCGGCCTCGGACCTGGCCCACCGTCCGGAAAACTCAGTCTTCCCCTCTGTGCCCCCTCTTCCCTCTCTCCCTGGCCGGCCCACTTCCCTGGCAGATCCAAACTGGGATGGTCTCACTCTGGGCACGTCCTAAGGGCGGGCTCCTACACAGCCCTTGAGGAGCAGACAAGCTTTCCTGGCCACCCACCGGGCCACCGGGTGGGCTGATTTCTGCCTCTGGGAGTTACCCATTTCTACTTCCCTAGCCTGAAACCCACCGGCAGCCCCAAGGCTCTGCCCTAGTGGGTCCAGGAGGAGGCCTGCGGTGAAGGTCACAGGAATATACAACCAAACCCAAGGGACTGGAGCTTCTGGAAGGCCCTGGAAGCCTGAGGTGTGCTCAAACATCTGCCCATGAACTTGGCTCCCACCTCAGAGCCTTTGCCCTTGCAGTTCCTGCAACCTAGAATGCTCTCCCTTCCCACCCCGAGCTGCAGCTCGGCTCCTCAGGACCCCTCCGGTCAGGCATTGAGTCTCAGCTCAGAGGTGCCCTCCGGGACCCCTGTAGAGCAGCCTGGCCTGCAGTCTGCCCATCCCTGGGATGTTGTCTTTATCTTATCAGAGCACTCGCCACTGGACTAAATGTTCCTATGCTCATGCTTTTGTTTTCCTGTTTATTGTCTGTCTCCCCTACTAAATTTTATTTAATTGATACTATAAATCATAATAAATGTATTAGAAGGTAACAAAGAGGCATGGAAACAGAGCAGGGTAAGGGAGACGGGAAATTGTGGGAATTGGGAGGTTGCAGTTACAGACAGAGTGGTCAGGGTAGTGGGCCTCACTGAAAGAGCGACACTGGACACACACTTGAAGGAAATGAGGGAGCAGCCATGCCAATATGGGGGGATCATCCCAGGCAGAGGAAACGGTCAGCACAGTGGCCCTGAGGCCTGTTGTGTTTGAGGACTGCAAGAAGGTCAGTGAGGCTGGGAGGGTGGGAGGGGGTGGGCAGTGGGAGGTGGAGTGGCAGGGGTGGGTGGTAAGGTCTCGCCGCCATGAATGGCAGGGTAATCTCTGGTTGCACGCACACCCCAGATGAGTTCCCAGAAGAAACGATCAACCCCTGCGGCGCCCAGTTAACCTGAGACCTTCTTCTGTTGTTTCTTATTCCCGCCTCAACTGACAAGGCCTTGGATTTTGTAACTGACCTTGGCCAACCTCGTGACTCCACACCCTGCGACCCTCTCCCAGCTTGCAACAAAACGCCCTAAACTTACTTCTGCAACTTTCCACTGTTTACCCCAAACCTATAAAACCAACTTCTACCCCTCTGCCCTTTGCTGACGCCCTTATCTGCCTCAGTCTGCCTGCACCCAGGTGAATAAACAGCCATGTTGCTCAGATAAAGCCTGTTTGGGGGTCTTTTCATTTAGGGTGCACGTTTTAACATTTGGTGCTGAAAACCCGGGACAGGGGTACACTTTTGGGGAAACCAGCCCCCGTCCCCGCTCTCCCCCTGTGAAGAGACTTCCTG